GATCCATTAGGATTAATTGGCCCTATAATAGTTAATGCTAAAATATTCATGCAAGATATTTGGAAGGCAAAGATTGGCTGGGACGAATATTTGAACGATAGTCTTCTCACAATATGGAATTCTTATTTTCAAAATATTACTCAACTCAAGTGTTTAAAAATACCCCGGTATATATTCCACGATAACCAGATATCTTCTGTTGAACTTCATGGATTTTGTGATGCCAGTCGCAAGGCCTTTGGATCTTGTGTCTACCTGAGAACTATTTACCTTGATAATTCTGTATCATGCTACTTAATTACTTCAAAATCTCGAGTAACTCCAATCAAGGAAGTTACAATACCCCGATTAGAACTCTGTGGTGCTCTATTGCTTTCAACTTTGATTAGTCGTGTCAAATCCATATTTAAGGATAGGTATAATTTTCATAGCGTGAATCTTTGGACAGATTCAGAGATTGTTCTAGCATGGCTAAAGGCTGATTCTTCACGATTCAATGTGTTTGTTGCTAACCGAATATCGCAGATCCAATCTCTCACTAATAATTATGTTTGGCGGCACATCCCTGGTGCAGAAAATCCTGCTGACTGCCTCTCTCGTGGTACAACTTCTGAGCAAATAATGAACTCTTCTCTTTGGTGGAATGGACCACAGTTTCTACAAACCTTTGATTTCGACTTAGACTCACTAAATATCAAGGTACCTCCAACTCACGAAGAAGAAAGAAAGGAAAGTACTGTCTTACTCCTCAGGAATGATAATTTCTGGGAAACACTGTTTGACCGATTTTCCAATTATTCCAAATTACGAAGATCTATTGCATTTATATTAAGGTTTATTAATAATAGTCGCGCTAATTCTCAAAAACTCATTGGACCTCTCACTGTTGATGAATTAAGAAACTCTGAACTTTTCATAATAAAAACAATTCAGTCTACGTATTTCTCAAAAGAACTAAACGAGTTAAAAAGTCCAGCTCGGAAGATATCGGACAAACAAATATTAAAATTAAATCCATTTATCGATGGAGAAAATGTAATCAGAGTAGGAGGAAGATTATCACAAGCTCTAGTCCCATATGATCAAAAATTTCCCATTTTATTGCCCTCAAAAAATCGCGTTGTCAAACTACTCTTACTTAAAGAGCATATTAGACTCGGACACGCTGGTCCTCAAACTGTCTTGTCAAATCTTCGCCTCCGATATTGGCCCCTAAATGGATTAAGGGAAATCAAAAAGGAATGCTTGCAATGTATGACATGTTGTAGATTCAAAATAAAAAACCATCAACAGCTGATGGCTGATCTCCCAAAAGACAGAGTCATTCCCTCTCGGCCATTTTCACGCACAGGTGTAGATTTTGGTGGCCCCTTTTTTGTGAAATCGTCGAGTCTTAGACGCTCAAAAACCGAAAAATGCTACATAGCATTATTTGTTTGCATGGTTACCAAGGCTATACATATAGAATTGGTGTCAAGTCTCTCTACAGAAGCATTTTTGGCTTCATTAAAACGATTCATTTCAAGGCGAGGAAATCCACATGTCATTTTTAGTGACAATGGAACAAATTTCTTAGGTGCACGAAACCAACTCAGAGAATTTTACACTCTATTCAAGTCTAAGTCAACCCAAGAACAGATAAATGATTTATTGGTATGCAATGAGATAAACTGGAAGTTTATTCCCCCACATTCTCCCCATTGGGGCGGCTTATGGGAAGCCGGAATCAAAAGTACCAAATATCATTTAAGGCGATTAGCAGGACAGCAGAATTTTACTTTTGAGGAGTTATATACAATACTCACACAAATTGAGGCAATATTAAATTCACGACCTCTTCTCCCCTTATCCTCTGACCCCTCAGATTTTACTTGTTTAACCCCGGGACATTTCTTGATAGGAACTTCGTTGACCTCTTTCCCAGAAAAAGACCTTTCCAATATTTCAGAAAATAGACTTAATCGCTGGCAACGATGTGTCAAAATTCAACAACAGTTTTGGTCCAAATGGTCTAAAGACTACCTCAATCTTCTCCAGAATCGACCAAAATGGCTATACCCCGCACCAAACCTTCAAGTTAACGACATAGTTTTCTTAAAGGAAATTAACACTAAACCTCTAGACTGGCCTCTGGCTAGGGAACTTGAAATTATACCCAGTAAGGACGGAAATGTTAGACTTGTTAAAGTAAAATCTAAAAATGGCATTTTAACAAGAAACGTCACTAAATTATGTCCCCTACCCAAACTCGATAACTAGCCCTAATCATAAAATAATTTTCTTTATAGTATGTTTCCTTTAAATTTTGATTTAAGTTTGTCGCGTACGGCTAAGAATTAGATTGTTTAGATATATTGTAAAAATGCAATTGATGATTCATCATACCTCAGTTACCCTGTTGTTTGCGGTTAAAGGCAGAGCCTTTAAGGCGGGGAGTATGTTCGAATACAATTCAAACGCATTTGTTTTTTTTTACTATTTTGATAAACACCTAGTATTAGTTTTGTAAATATGTTAAAATTATCCTACTACCTAATGTATACAAAATAGAAAGTTGATCACGAAGGGATGCTTTCACACGCTTTGCTAAATTGACCTGCAAAACACTTAAAATACCACCCTTGACGGCCATGTGTTTTTTTTGTCTTGTTCGAATGGCAGATCTTAACTTTCTATTTTGTCACGAGGAGACGCCCGTGAACCCTCTCAGGCAGCATCACGCCTATTAATTTAGTCTCTGAATTGTACATTTTTCGCTAATTCTCGCAATATTACTCTCGCCTCAGTTAGGTAATGTTATTTCTCTCTCTCACCTATTTATTGTAGGTATTTTATATATCAAGTTTACCTTTAAGTTAATGGGAAGCTGCAGTGAATTTGTTTAATTTCAGTTTGATTTACCGTGTTTAAAGTTTTATCATTTGCCAATATACGTGTTGTTGTTGACCCTAGTAGTTTTTTTGCGACGTGTACTGGATCCACTTTGAAATTAATTACACATTCGAGAGTAATTTGAATATTACTCTCAATTTTGGATTTGGTGCTCTCAAGCAGTAGTACCGATACAGTTTGAAACCAATCTAGATTTAGTTGTTTTTCTGAGTCACAAATAGAGTTTCTTTTCTGAATCAGATAATTTCAATAATACAGGAGGGAATCTACAATTACCACTTCAAGATCTTTCTTGAAATTCTTCAACAAAAGGCCCTACATGCAACGATATCTCAGAGTTTTGAACTGTATAGCCCAGTGGCGGCTCGTCAGGGTAGGCCTCTGAAAGAACCAGCTTTCTTAAAAATTCTCGTTTTCCCGACGTTGCTAGTTCTTGCACTATTATATTTTTATTAAGGTTAATTTGTCAAAAAGTGTCAAAACGTCCGTCGTCGTACGGTCTTTCTCCATTGACGGGCTGGAGTAAAAAATTTATGGATGAAAAGTGGCGCGAAAACGCTATGACCAATCAGGGCGCCGCACAGTAGAACAATCGTATGTTTGACGTTGGACATAACACTTAAAATCGTATTTACACTTTTAATACAAATTTCTTCAAATACATATTTAGAAAGCCATAATTTAATCAACTAAAATCGAATTTTATTGAAAAATTCACCCAAAGCTATATAATATTATGGTATATAATATATGCGTTTCTTGTTAAACATATTTAACATGTGGGAAATTTACAGAGCAAATTATGGATTAAAGGACTTAATTCATGTGCCCCATACAAAAGTTTTAGCTCATATTTTAACGAATAATTTAAAAGAAATTTTGAAACACTTGGGTGTTTATTTAACTCTATTTTCCGTGAAAATATACATTTTTCAGCGAAACTTATTATAGTTTGCGTCTTTTTTTCGTAATTATCGTTGGTTAGGTTAGGTTAGGTTGTATACCTGTGATGTGGGTATGACATCTCTATTTTATGCTAAACTTATGAATACAAAGTTTTATTGTAGCCGCTTGCAGCACCGATGGCTATGGAAAATTGAGTGATACACTATACAATAATTAGACTTTGAAAATTATTGTTATTGAATACATGTTGGTATTAAAGAACTAGACAAATCGCAAGGTCATAATTCATATAGAATAAAAATATAATAAAAAGTTCATTACGTTTTGAAATAAGTATGAAATTATGCAGTTTAATTTGTAATACTCAATTTAATCCGGAAATTCAAATAAAATATATATTCTGGAAAAACACCCCTGCACTATTCAGTAAGTTATCTATAATAAAGGTATGACCATTTTTAACAAATTTGAAGATTTTAGAACACATTTATTCAAAAAATGTCTTAAGTTAGAAATTTTGCATAATTGCTGAATGTCCCATGCAAATTGCATTGGGTCGATCCACTGTGCGCCGCGCCGTCGGCCACGGACCATCGTTTCAACGGATAACGGACGCATAAAAATTAAGCTTTAAGCAGAGAGGGAAACGAGAATTTTAAGGAAGTTGGTTCTTTAATATATCTTTTGCTATGCTCTTCTGACCAAAGTGCGGGCCGTCTGGCTGCCGGTAGACTACTGCGGTTCACTACTGCGCATCGCATCTGTACAGGGTATCCCATTTTCGTATGGTTTAGGGGATTTCTTGTTTATGAGTAGAGATACAATGATGCGATTTTCACATTACTTTTTTATGAAACTAATATGCTACACATATGTTCGTCCTAACCTCCTTAGTTCCTGAAATACAGGGCGAATTTGTGATGCGCAGTAGTGAACAGATAAACAGCGAAATCCTCATGGAAATGAAAATATAAAATGACACCAATCACAAGCAAATTGTATATCCGATGAACAAAAGTATGAAAATGCAATAAATTTGAAAACTGCGTAATTTTCTACCAATTGAAGTCCAACCAATAAAATTAATATTGTATCATCGTATCGTCGGATAACGGATGCATGGGAGTCAAGCTTTAGGCATACGAGGTTAGCCGGATCATCTAGCAATCAATAAGCAATAAAAAATACATCAATAAACCTACCTTTTTACATCATCATTTGATATTTCGTATATCCTAGAATAACCTGTATGATTATACAAAGCAACCTCTATCATAACGTCAGTAACTTGTTGGATAGTAAACCTTTGGCGCTGTTGGATGTTTCTCTTCATTACTTTGGATTTTTTTATCCAATTTGGTTGTTCGAAATTAATAGGAACACAAATCTATAATCGTAAAAAAATATTCATTTATATCTTAGAATTTTTTTAAAACAATTAATAATTGATACACTTACAACTTCTTGTCCGGGATAATAGGTATCAAATGAGATTCTATTTCTTTTAGAGAGCCAATAATCATCTAAATCATTATTAATGCTTGTTAAAACTTCAACTACCGATCCATCTTTGGACTGCATTGAAATAAGTTGATCAATATTCTATTGAGAAAAAAATAAAGTTAGTAAACAAATGACTCGGAAATGCAAATGCTAAAATATTGAAACAAAATAGATATAAATATAAAAATTATTTCTGTTTATATCTATACTTTTAACTAATGTTAATTGTACCGGTAATTCTATACCAGGTGTCTTAAATTCAACTCTCACCATTGGTATTTTGAAAACTGTAAGGCCGGATTCTCACCAAATCGGACCGACCATAATCGTCCTGGTCCAGATCGATTCGATTGTGGTCGTTCCGACCGAAATCGATTGAATGTGTTTATCGGATTGCATCGGGACGATTATGGTCAGATTTATTTTAAAGTGGAGATACCTAGTCTTCTCCAAGATGTCGTCAAGTGAAGACGAAGTTGTAGCACTCGCGCGTATAAGACGAAGACGCCGCCGTCGTCGCCGGTTTTGGGTACATCCGTACATAGCGAAAAAACAGAGGTGCTTTCATTTGCGCTCGTGAATTGACATGCCAGAAAGACAAGTTTAAAGCTATGTACCGCATGTCGAAAGACAGCTTTAACCTCCTATGTAACATGGTGCGGGCGTATATTTCCAAACGAGATACAAATTACACAAAATGTGTGTCAGTGGAAGAAATAACTGCCGACCAAAGACGTTGCAAGCAGCGTCGCGTACGACTAATATCGCCCGATTAAAATCGGTCACGACTGAAATCTTGTCAGTGGGCACGTACCTATTTGCGATTAGGTGCAAGATCTTTGTCGCGCGATCGAAATCTGGACGATTGGTGTCGGTCCGATATGGTGAGAACCCGGCCTAAAGATTTAGAACGATTCAAATTAAGACAAAGTTACTTAGCGATCAGTTTCTAGGTCAACGTAGAATAGTAAAAGTAATTGTTAGCGATAAACGCTCACTGTACCTGTGAATCAACTTTTTTACCATTTTAAGGTATAAAAAAACCTAACCTAACCAAAAACGACACATGCAGGGCCCGAAATCTGTAACTTTGCCATAAAAACGTTACGCTTTCAAAGCGGTGAGCGAAAGTATGCGATTAGTGGAACGTCAAGCAGTCGATTTTGGTATTCTCGTTGCCGTGCGAATCGTTTTCTGGATACGCGTTGAGCACATATTGACAGCATCGCAATTTCAAAATGTCAATGTTACGGGAATTTCATAACCTATTATTGAGTTATGTCAACCTATTTTTCTATGGATATGTCATTATTCTTATTATACCAAGAAAATGTTGAAAACGCTTCTCAGCATTTTCGATGTTTTGAACAATATTTATAGCTGCCAAGTCGTAAATTATCAATTACTTATTGAGGAAAAAACACAATTTTTTCGATTTTCACTGACAGTTCGACAAGCAAAACGATCCTTTAAGGCAACCGTTTTCAAAGCGCTCAGCGAAAACGTCATATACGCTGAGCGTCTAAAAGCGCTTAGTGTTTTCGAAGTTACAGAATTCCGGCCCAGGGCCCGTATTCTGTAACTTTGACATCAAAACGTTACATTTTCAAAGCGGTGAGCGCAAGTATTCGATCAGCGAAACGCAAGGCAGTCGATTTTGGTATTCTCGTTGCCATGCGAATCGTGTTCTGGATACGCGTTGAGCACATATTGGCAACATCACAATTTCTAATGTAGGTAATAGTCAAAAGTTGATAAATGACGGATGTAACTATGAAAAATGTCAATGTTAAGTAAATTTCATAACGTATTGTTGAGTTTTGTCAAGCTATTTTTCTATGGATATGTCCTTATTCTTATTATACGAGGGAAGTTGTTAAGACGCTTCTCAGCATTTTCGATGTTTTGAACAATATTTATAGCTGCCAAATCGTAAACTATCAATTATTTATTGAGGAATTTATAGAAGAAGTAGTAATTTACACTAAAGAGCAAGATAACGCACAAAATCACAATTTTGACAATTCAAAATCACTGACAGTTTGACAAGCAAAACGATCCTAGGCAACCGTTTTCAAAGCGCTCAGCGCAATCAGTAAAGACGCTAAGCGCGTCAGACGAGAATACCAAATCGTTAATTAAGTGCGCGCACAGCGAAAATTAACGTCATATACGCGGAGCGTCTAAAAGCGGTTAGCGTTTTCAAAGTTACAGAATATCTATTTCAAAAATAAAATTCACTTTCGCCTAGTATGCGCTTGCAAATACGAATACCAAAAAGTTGAGAATATTTGCAAATGCGAATATTTGTTACATTATCCTAAGTAATATATATTTATTACATTATCGTTATTCGTTCATTTCCAGTGAAAGAGGAAAGGACCAAAAACAATTGAATATGTCAATCAATCCTAATTTATGTCATATACTAACATACCAAATCTCGTTTTTTAATCTGAAAAAATAAAAAGTAATGGCACTTTTGAGACGCACCCGGTATAATAAACGGCGACGAAAAATATATCAAATATTAATAAACTACTGAATAATTTAAAAAACACTTACTTCAATTCTTCCGAACTTATTTCCAAAACAAACAGCATCATCGACATCATAAGGTCTAACGCTGTGTAGTCTCTCGCTGGAAACGTGTTCAATGACCTATAAAAATAAACAATTTGTTTCAATATTTTCTGTTATTTTATAATTATTGTCTTTAAAAAAATACAATTATTTTAAATAACCTACGCAATGTGTGATTGTACCTTATCAGTTCCCACAATCTGAACAGTTGCAATTTGCTTAGTTTCTTTACAGTAACCCCTCTGGGTCTCTTTACCTTTCTCCAATCTACGCACAATATCTCCAGGAATTATACTTCGGTTAATTAACCTAACCTGTAATAAAAAAATTTAAGCATAAGTTGGGTATAAGTTCTGATTTCGATTAAGTATGCAGTGTTGTAACACGGGTTGTAATATATTTGAGTTTATTTATGGAGAACGTTCCTCGAGAATAAAAGAGAATAAACGAGCAAAATCGAGCAAATGTCCAGAATTTATAATTAGCATAAATAATATGGTTTAGAAAATCATCAGTTACTTGTTTAAATTTTATTCTGAATTTCCTCATATTAAGCTTCAATCAGAACCTCGAAATTAGTAAATACGAAATTCGAAGGGCGAAGATGATCTTAGTTCGTCTGTTAAGATTGAAATGATTCTTTTTGAGAAAGTAGATCGTGGGGGATATTTTAACAATTCTGAAATAATTTTTTGCTTCGGCTGGTTTACTTTGCAGTAATCTGGACACACAGCCTACCAATTTGTTCTCTCAATATCTCCCGTTAAAATGCCAAACCGCAACTATACCGGGTGAAAAGTGGCTCACCCCTATAACTTTTTTATTTTTTTAGTTAAAAAAACGAGATTTGGTATGTTAGTATATGACATAAATTAGGATTGATTGACGTATTCAATTGTTTTCGGTCACTTCCGGTTTCACCGGAAATGACTACAACTTTTGATTTTTAAATAGCACCACCGGGATTTTTTTTACTTTATTGGAGAGAAAATGTCACTCTGAATAGAATGACATATCATTTGTCAACTTTTGACATTTTGGCATATGGTTTATTTGAAATTATAACTTGCGGTTCGTAACGAAAATTCGACTTGAAATACCAAGTGTGTGGTATCAAATTATTCGTAAAGAAATGCTTTTTCCAAATATGCTAATGAGCCACCCTCGTTCTATTTGAAAAAATTGAGATATGATTCAAAAAGTGATTTGAGCATTTTCTAACTGGCCAGGACAAGACTCTTAGACCATCAACATTAGACCATCAAATCTATTTTTCCAAGGCTCCTTGATGAAGAATTAGTGTTTTTGACATAGGTACCATGGCACTCTAGATTGAATTTTAAAATACAATTTTTTATTAAGCGAGAATGTGAAAAATTGACATGATATGACATTCTATCCAGAATGTCATTTTCTATCGAATAAAGTAAAAAAATACCAAGGGTGTCATTTAAAAATCAAAAGTTGTAGTCATTTCCGGTGAAACAGGAAGTGACCAAAAACAACTGAATACATCAATCAATCCTAATTTATGTCATGTACTAACATACCAAATCTCGTTTTTTTTATCTGAAAAAATGAAAAAGTTATAGGGGTGAGCCACTTTTGAGACGCACCCGGTATAGAAAGTTACGGTTTGGCGCTGACTTTTTGGAAATTTTGTACCCTGCTTAAATTTGTAAAAATGAATATACAATAGTTTGCTATTTAACTTTTTGATACAAAAACGCAGTACCTATCTGTTATGACGTCAAAAAGCTCCTGTCAAACAGCAACCTAAACCAGAGTTATCCTTTAATAAAAACAAGTTTAATATTCCCACACCACTTTATTTTATGAGATAGAACAGAATACTCTATGCCAAAATAATACAAATTATCCACTGACTACAATAGCAATATTTAAAATACCTCATCACGTGCATATTTTTGAGAAAAATCCCGTTTTCTGATTGGTTATGATAACTGCGCCCCCTGGCGGTCATTTTACAAACTTCCAGCGATTTCTCGTAGCCGATTTACTTAGGTATTAGAATTTTTTCCCAAAGTTGTAAGATAGGTAGTTTCTGACAGCAAAATAAAGCACTAAATCACCACAATACACCAAAACACTTTTAGTCAGTCTTAAGATGCTAACATGGTTAGCGAAACGCGCGTCCAGTGTAAAAGTATAAATAAAAGTGTTTTGGCGTATTGTGGTGATTTAGTGTTTTATTTTGCTGTGTAACACCAAAAGTCCTCCAACTGTAAGTTTCTGACATACAGCCGGCGTCCATTCTTAGTTGGGTAATGGGTAGGTCAGTAAGTCAGCTGAAGAAAAACTATTTTTATTCTCAAAAAGCATGCGCGCTAACGATATTTTACAAGAGACAATAAATATTGTAAAATACTAGAGGACCATTTTACAATAAAAAAAGTCGTCAGTAGAGTCAGTAGTTTTCACCCTTCCCTTACTTTTTCTTGATATTTGTATAAGTCAAATGTTAAAGCTTTTAGCAAAACATAGACACCCCAAATTTCATTCAAATCGGAATAACAGTTTGTGAAATTGGGACACCCTGTATATATTTTCATGTACTTGTTTTTATTAGAAAAGTGCACAAAATATACAAATCAATCTACAGTCTAGATAATTCACAAAACACAGAATATTTTACATTAGAGGTAATATTTAATAAAAATATCTGTCCCTGATGTTCCCTACAAATCGACTCCTGACAGTTGAAGTAAATTATAGGGGTCTTGTTGTCTTTCTTTTGAGACAACAGGTGACATTGCCCTCTCTCCAGTTGTGTGAGGACGGTTTTCGGTTGATGTCTAAATTGCTATTTCCATATAAACAAATGCATCGGTACAACTGTTGACGAGGAATACTGAATGCCAGTCAACACTATGGAAATATCCTTTCCAAAAATACCGAGTAAAGTGTCAGGTGGTATCATGGTTATACTCCAAGAGAGCACTGGAGTAGCACTAGAATAGCAATACATAACTAATAAAAACTTACCTTATTCTGACGCCAAATTTGTTCTCGCGGTCCCGTACTCCACAAAACTCTAATTTGGCCTTTTTGCAAAGCTTGTGAATCGTCTACATCATCGCTGGATGCTTCGTAAGAATCTACGACGACTCCGAATACGATTCTTTTATGTTTATCAAACCTGTATACGATATCGTTGGAATAAAATTCTTTAACTTTTTCCTGGGCCATTTTTACGAATTATGTTTCCCAGAGGCATGCAGTACCATAGACACAATAAATGATACTTTTAAATCTGACCAGAGATCTGACTTAAATTTGGAAGAGTACAAAAACGGCTTATTTGATTTTTTTGGCGCATGACATGAATGTAAACAAAAAACCCGCAAAAAACTAATCAGCTGTTTGACATGACATACCGAAGTTCAAATGTACCAAGGTCTTAGTAGGAATGAAACTAATGTATATTAAGGTTTTCGATAGTGGTTTCATTTATCTATGATTTCCTTCAAACAAATATTTTTATACAGCAAACAGCAATACAGCAAGTCTTGCCTATTAGGAAATTTTCTGTGTTGTTTTAATTAACAACCCCTTTATTTATTGCCTTATATTCTGGGAATAGGTACTGTATATGTATAGATCACATACATATTCAATAGATCTAGGTGAGCGTTAATGAAGAGCGGGCCTTCGTAGTTCTACTAGATCTTCTGGCTCATCTCTAGTACTGGAAAAATAAAAACCAAGGCGTTTAATAAATCCTGATAAATCCCATCCCATAGGCTGAAAAAGCAAAAGTAAGAACTTTTTATTATTTAAACTAAATGAGTCATTATTTGAATCCTCTTTTGTCAAAAGTACTTGTCATAATTTTTGCATAATTTTCAACGTACATTTAATTCAATAATGGCTGATCCAAGATTAAAAACATTAAAAATCAAAACAGGTGTTGTAAGAAGGTTGGCCAAAGAAAAAACCGTATACGAGAAGGAAGCTAATCAACAGAAAAATAGGTATATTGTAGTATTCCATCGTGATTATCTAGGTACTCTACGATGGATACATTTAAAAATTGGATATTATAAGATTATTATATTTCTATAAAAGAAATTTCAAATACATATTGTATATTATTTTTTATATTATTAGATAAATATTTACTGTTGCTTTGAGGACACAAATGAGGGGTATAGAAACAAAACCGGCTATCTCCACTCCCCCTATTTCTTCAGGAGAGAAAATTTTCAAATAATGCAACAACGAATCGCTTATAGCTGATGACTTGATGATTCTTATTTATTCTCATGTTTATGTTACTTGTGTGATGAAAAAACCCTAATCTTTTTGATACTTTTTAGGTAATGTGTAATTAAAAATTGGAGATAGTCACTTTTACTAAAAAGTGGAAATTGCTGGTTTTGCTTCTACAATTCTTTCAGTATCTCAAATAAGTTTTTTAACTTATGTTGAGGGAGGGATATTTTTTAAATAAAGCCACTTTCATACTTTAATAGAGAGAAAATGTTCTAACTGCAGTTGAAAAATTACAATTTATACATTCACTAATATGCCTTCATTTATTTTGGAATAAAAATATTTATCAATGGAACAATATAAAGATATTTAAACTCAAATATAACAAAAATAGAATTAAATATGTGCCCTAATATAGATATTTGAATTACCATATTAAATAAATACTTAAATAATGATTAGATAATATAATACATGATTTTACATACACATAATATACATCTATCATACTATCAAAAAATACTATCATATACAAAAATACATATATGAAAATATCTCCAAAATCAGTTTTAGCCAACCATGTTGAACAATATTTTGATCTATTTTAATTTTAATAAAGATATTACCTTTTGTTGTTAGTCAGATATGCGTCACTCAGCAGTCACAATGATTCATCAGCAATCTTTTATAAATAATTACCATTCTGTAAATCGATTATTGAGTTATTTTTATATTGCTATATAGCTTATATACAGGGTGCTACAAATTCGGGGTAAGAGCACTGGTATCTCGGTAACCGTAATAGATACAAACATGGTTAGATTGGGGCAAAGTTGCGCCTTTGGATGTTCACCAAGATGCCATCAAAAAAGTTTAAGGGTTGCTGAATTATTTGGAAAAAACAGATGTTTTTGAAAATCAACCTTATTTTTTCCTGTGGTAACTTTTTAGAAAATCAAAAAACTATTTACACAATCTCATAGCCACTTTATCACGAATAACGATAATTTTTAAGATTTTCAAATTAGCTGATAATTTGTGAGATACATAGGCTAAATTAATTTTTTTAAAAAGGGCCTGTATTTTTTATTATTTAAGTATTAATAATATCAGATAGCCCTGATAAAGTGGAGAACGTTATAAAAACTTGTCCTATAAAGCTATAAAAAAGTATTCCTATATCAAATATACCCTATATCGTTATCAAATAAATACAGTTAAGTTACACTTGCTGTTGTAACGTTTAAATACTTTAATAAATCGAAAAATAATTATAAAAGATCTAACATATAACACATATCCCTAATATCTATTCATCTATTAAAATGTTGGACCGATTTTTGAAGTTATTTCATGTGAATCCATTATACTTCTAAATGGCAGATATTTTGATTTTGCCAGAAATCTGGTATTTGAATACATTTCATTCGCAGACTCTAGTGCAGGACTAGTTTCTTCTGATGTCAGGTTATATTTTTTATTCCCGAGGACTAATCAATGTCAAAGGATAAGCTAAAGTAAAGTGTTTTATACCTTTTTTGAAATAGCCGAATGTTGATCAAGCTAAATCTTTCCGTTTTCGTATATCAACCGAGGCGAATGAGGTGCGCCACCTGTATATATAACTATACCCATTTCTAAAGTGTCTAAACCAATTGGTATGGCTGATTTTCGTCCAAGAAATTTGCTATTAGTCCTTTAAATAAAAGTCTTCAAAACTGTTACAGGTACCTATGTAAACAGTTATGTATATTGGACCTAACTTTGATTGTGTGAAAAGATATTGTCTTAAATCCATTATTTTTTTCAGAGTTGAAAAATATAAAGCTGAAGGACGCGATGAACACGATATTAAAAAGCAAGAAGAGGTTCTCCAAGAAAGTTTGATGATGGTTCCAGATTGTCAAAGAAGATTGGCTAAAGCATTTGAGGACTTAAAGGGTGAAAATTAGTTTAATTTTATTAATTCAATAATTACATCTATATTTCAACCAATCAATATCCAAACCAAACTGTATTCCGGAAACTTCGGCAACATATTCTGCAGATGAAAATATGTAAAAAAGTTTGTATAAATGTATGTCCGAAAATGCTTAGTTTCGGAGATACAGGGTGTAGAAGTTTCATTTTTATTTCGATTTTTTTCAAATAATTTCTGAAGTAACGTCAGTGTTTGGATGAAAATTGGTGTCTAGGAGTTTTTTGACATGAGAAATTTGATTTTGATGTCAATATGACTCCTATTTGTAGGGAGCGCCACCTACATGTGTTTTAACTGTTTTGGAGAGTTCCTATTTCTTTTCGTCCGTACTTGTATAAAAGTACTGAATGAAAAATGTACATACATTTCCGTGATTTTTTACGTACAAAATGTCTCTTAGTAAAAATCGCTACGAGCAACCGTTCCCAAGATATTTAGAATGGAAATGGTCAATACATGTCATTATTGACAAAAAATAAGCATGTGTTGAGTAGATAGTTATTTGACTGAAATGATAAATTTGGGAACTTTTTATTTTTTTTTAAATTAATAATAAATTTTTCTTCTAAAAAATGACGATAAAACAGTTTCTGTTGAACTTTTGACACAAAATATATCAAATTTATGATTTCAGTCTAATAACTATTTAGTCAACATGTTTAATTTATTGCAATGATGACAGGTATTGATAATTTCGACTCCAAATATCTCGAGAACCACTACTCGTAGCGATTTTTACCAAGAGACCTTTTTTACGTAAAAAATGTACCAAATGTATATTTTTTTACATAGTAGTTTTTTACAGGGACGGACGAAAATTTATTACCCTTCATACCAGTTAAAAACGATATGTAGATGGCGCCCTCTACAAGTAGGAGCCATATTGACATCAAAATCAAATTTCTTGTATCAAAAAACTCTCAGACAAAAAACTCTCAGAAATTAATAGGAAAGTATCGAAATAAAAATGAAACTTCTACACCTCGTATCTCAGAAACTAAGCATTTTAGGACATACATTTATACAACGTTTTTTACTTATTTTTATTTGCACAATATGCTGCCGACGTTTCCGGAATACAATTCGGACCACCCTGTATATATGATCGAAAAAAAAACGGCGTCAGTGATGAAATGAAATGAAGATCGCTGTCGTTTTATACCAATTTGCTCATTTTAGAAGTGTGGTCTGGATTTTAACGTGTAAGACAGTGATGTAGGCAATTTAATGGAAAATCAAATGTATTAAAAAGAGATAAAAGTTGGGTTGATCCATTTCTTTTATGTGTTATTGCCGGATTTTGCATCAAAAGTTCAAACCGCACCAGTAGGCGTTTATGGAAAATGTCGCATCTAGGGTTGGAACCTTATTTTTCACAATTAGTTACTCATTTTACTACAGATATAATAGATTATATTTAGCTTAGATATATTATCTTCATTTCAGTAGTATACATGAAAGTTTTTAAAATAGTTTTTTTACACAAATTTTCCTACAAACGTAAAAACCAGCAACAGTGAATGCCACTTTGCATTTTGTCTCTGTTAACCGGTCATTTATATTATTCTCTATTTTACACGTTAAAATCCAGACCACACTTCTAAAATGACCAAATCGGTATGGAAAATTATATGGGAAATGTCATCGATCCTTTTCCAAGCCAACTGGATGCCGTTTTCTTTTAGATCATACGGTACAACTAGTATTGTTAATTATAATTTTTTATATTATCATTTGGCTATTAATATAAAAAAATCCTTTTCTAATTTTTGTTCTTTATCAGAATTTTATTACTACAAATGATTAATTAATTATATTAAAATGGGCCCATTTCCTGTTCCTCAAGACCAAACATTTCTGAAATATCTCAAATAACTATTAATAACTAGCTATTGTCAGAGAGGCAGGTATTACATTTTTTGTCTATGTACGTTCGGCATCAATCGGGTAAAATCGAAACTCCTTCGGTTCGATACGTTTGCGTTTTGTACATACGTAAAAGCACGCAAAGATACGTATCACGTATCCGTTTGTATTTTAACATGATATTTTGCAACATTAAATCAGTTTTCTTTGTAAAAGTCAGTTCTGTGACATTGTTTGTTTTTTTCCATCACCCTTCATATAATTTAAAAAATGTTTTCAAATATTAAATTTGAAAATTTTCATATTGCAGTATTTTTCTCTTTGGTAGGTAACATTATGATGAAAAACTTTTATAATCATAAGAATTTTCATGTCGTCATTCAAAGCTCGCTTGATTATAAACTATTTTTTGATAACATTGTATTTAGAAAAAAATATTAATTAGTTTTTCAATTCATGTAATACTCTTTAAGTGTGACTTTTGATGCTGCAATGCAATTTCATGTATTTTTTTGTGAAATTAAGGCATTTTATTATTATTATTCTTATAAACATTCATGCTCATAAACCTTCTGGTTTATCCTAGCTCAGAATCTTAGTTTCGTTTTTGTTAATTAAGACATGCTTTATAGGATAGTCTAAAAACGGCAAAAATGAATAGTTTAATAGTTTTAGTAAAATCAATAGCTTGCTTAATGGGTTTTGGTCGTTTACTCGATGGTCACGGCGATGGACGCGTGGCTGCCTGAAAACAAGACTTTCGTGTCCCATGGCAAGTGTGTAAAATCCGTTAGTACACACTGCTCATTCGAGGTCGGATGAGAGCGGATATCTCGTCAGTAAGAATCGATTTGACACTCACCAGTAGGCCAATGACAATATGGCCGATGACCGCGGTTCTGATTCTGCGTAAACAAAGAAGGCCCGGTCCAGTTTAGTTTTAGCAGCAAAAAGGAGACGTTAACTTAAAATACTTTACTTTAGTTTTTATTCTCGGAGTGCTTCTTCATAAACCCGAGCTGACGCACAGCTTCTCTCAAAATGTCGTTCTCTCATTTCACTTGCCTTTTCGTTGGTGACGTATAAGGGCTCGACTGATTTGGGCCATAAACGGTCCAAAGCATAGACTTAAAATAAAATATAGACTACACGATTTACATCTAAACGCGGTCAATCAATCTTTTTTGTACACATGTTTACTTCTGGGTACAGCCGACCGAGCCTTCCTCATCCAGCCTATGTTGTCACGTCTTTAATATTATTAATATTTTTTTTCTTACTATACACATATATATCTTACTATACACATAATACTACATTCTAATAAAGTAGGTTTTAATATTCCATAGATGTATTAAATAGTCCTTATACTACTAAATTATAAGTCCGATACTATTTAAAAAGGCTAAGTTCTTTACAATATGGCAACACCGATTAGACGTGAGGTTGCCTATTAATTCATTTATTATCTTGTAGTACGCGTCGCACGTGTGCAGTAAAGCTTTGTTGCCGCTATGTCCCCGGCTGTATTAACGCATTTTCTTAATTTGTAGTCCTTAAGTGTTTTTTTATTTACTTTTTCTATTCAAGAACTATAAAATATGGTGCCAAATTTGCTAGAAATTTGACTTAAATAATCCATTTAAGTCTTGAAACGACTTTCGACCGGTAGGCAATTCTCAATTTACCAATTGAGAGTCAGTGGCGTTGTTGTAGAAAGGCGCTTATTTAGATAATATTTTAGTGAAATGTAAAATCTGATTTTTTTCTATTACATAATCATTTATATTAAGAGAAATTAAAATAACTTTGGTTGCCCATCATAATACGACCACCAGCAAACTCCATAAGACGACGCATGGTGTCATTGATGACGTGCAGCCAAAGTTGTTTTAATTTGGCTGTACTTAAACTGCCGTTAAACGGTAGCTTACTAAAATGCCGTTAATAGGTATGACGTCGTTGATGTGACGCACTTGACGAGCTTTATGAAATATAGGAATTTTATAAGGACGCAATGCTATCCACCCCACCAAATAACCAACTTAACCAACACAACTAACCTCGACACTGATAAAAATATATAAAAAACAAATATAAATTAGTAAAAACCAACCAACCCCACCAAATAACCAACTAACCAATGAATTAACACCCTCCAAATAACCACGCTAACCAACCCGCCAAATAACTAAACCAATCCAACCAAAAAGAGTGAAACCAATGCAATAAGATCACGCTATTAGCAAAAAAAAAAAGTCTTGGTCGGCGTGAGATTTGAACCACGGACCATTCGCTCACGAAGCGATAGCCTCAACCATGGTACAAAGAATACAAGGTATGATCGATAGCGGCTCCAATTTCGTTCAGTTCGCGCATACCACCTGTGACGTCACTAGGAAAATAATGAATAAATAAAAAATAAAGAAAGTTGACAGGAGATCTGTATTTTTTGCGGTTATGGTTAAGAATTGTTTATTTTTAAGACTTTTTAGTTCGTTTAATTTAATAATTACTAAAACCATCAGTTCCAAAAATACATTTAAAAATAATAATTATCTATTAACATGGATTTGGACGATAATAGGTAAGAATACTAAATTTATTTCTATATTCGGTATAAAATTGTTTATTAGGTTTTTAGTTTGCGATGTTTATGGTAAATAATTTTCATGTTCATTGCCTCTGAATTCACATGAGGACAGAGATGAGGATATCTATGGAAAAGTAACCACAAGAGGAATTGTTACATCATTTAAAAAATGTTGGAAAGTTTATTGTTTCCCATCGAACAGTAGAAAATGCCAATGCAGATGAATGTATTGTAATTGTGATAGAAGTAATTCCAAGGGTGAAGTTTATTATAATTAGTGGAAGTAATTCCAAGGGTGAAGTTTATTATAATTAGTGACCTGTGCTTTTCTTTTTATATGTAGATGTTTCAGGTTTTGAGAATAAATCGGTTGAACGAAACCTAAAATTTAGAGGAAGATGCCCATCAAGGATTATATAGCTCAAATTTCCTTAATGGTAGGCAATTATTCAATGCAAATTAACTTTTTAAGTGACTGAAATATTAAATAGTTTACAATATGGTATATCACTAAAAATATATTTTACTTTTAGGTACAATTAGGGCCCGATACATTTCAAAAAGTAGAATATTATTTTATAGTAAATGAGGTATTGTACCAACAATTAATTTATATTAATACCGGAGATTAAAAAATCACAGAATAAATAGTTCTTTTTTTTATACTACAAAAATAAACTATAGAATACAACAGTATTTAAAAAAATAAATAAAAAATTATGTCCCGGCCGAGATTCGAACTCCGGTCTCTCGCTTCCTAGCCCGACTCCTTACGCACTGCTCCACAGTAACTTGCTTAGCGATAATTCAATGACAGTATATAAACAAAAAAACAGGTTTATAACAATATCTTGACGATTTGAACTGGCGCGCGGAGCGTGCTGACCAATAGCGCCTGTTATCACCTGTGACGTAGCAACCAACCTGCGCAATATCATACCTTGTATTCTTTGTACCATGAGCCTCAACCACGGAGCCACAGGTCCTCTTGCAAAATGCTTATAGGTAGGCATTACTTTCCGCCGATATGAACGACGTCACAATATCTATTAACGGCATTTTAGTAGTCTACCGTTTAACGGCTGTTTAAGTACATCGTTTTAATTTCCCTTTTATAAAGGTTTTTGTAACAAAATCATAATTATAACCCTGTTATTATTCTAAAACTATCTTCAGAATCTAAAATAACATACAAGAATTTTAAAATGATATTACATTATGAAACAATATTTTTTAATATACTGGGTGCTTCTCAAAAGTGGCTCATCCCTATAACTTTTTTATTTTTTTAGTTAAAGAAACGAGATTTGGTATGTTAGTATATGACATAAATTAGGATTGATTGACGTATTCAATTGTTTTTGGTCACTTCCTGTTTCACCGGAAATGACTACAACTTTTGATTTTTAAATAGCACCCTCGGTATATTGCTACTTTATTCGATAGAAAATGACACTCTGAATAGAATCACATATCATATGTTAACTTTTGACATTGTCGCTTAAAAACAAATCGTGTTTTAAATTACAATCCAGGGTGCCATGGCGATCAAGGAGCCTTGGAAAAATAGTTTTGATCGTCTAATGTTTTCCGTGTCTTATCTAGGCCGGTTAAAAGATGCGCAAATCGTATTTTTAATCATATGTCAGTTTTTTCAAATGGAACAAGGGTCACTCATTAGCATATTTGGAAAAAGCATTTTTTTTATGAATATATTGATATACGAAAATGTCAAAAGTTGACATATGATATGTCATTCTATTCAGTGTGTCATTTTCTATCGAATAAAGTAGAAATATACCGACGGTGCCATTTAAAAATCAAAAGTTAGTCATTTCCGGTGAAACAGGAAGTGACCAAAAACAATTGAATGCGCCAATCAATCCTAATTTATGTCATATACTAACATACCAAATCTTGTTTTTTTATTTGAAAAAATAAAAAAATTATGGGGATGAGCCACTTTTGGGACGCACCCGGTATAATATAGACAGTACCGAGTGAAATAAATGTAGTTTTCATTTTATCCACTTCCTCTAAGCTTGCTTTAATGGAGCAGATTTCTGTTTTCCCTAATTTACATAATAATACGTCACTTACCAAAAAAAAATCATGAAGTTTTTTCTCTTTCCGTGTCGCCGATTCTATTATATCTATAGAATAGATCCTGTTTTGATTAATATTAGGGTTGTAAATGTTTGACTAAAATTAATAATTTATTATTAATTTCAAAAATTAAATACGTAATTTCGATTATTATAATTTCTTCTATAACATGTATTTTATTATTTTTATCGTTTTTGGACTCCAAGACGTTTTTTTTCTAAACTTTTATTTAAAAGAACCTCTCCTAAATCTTAATAAAATATGCAAAAGTTTAAATACGATATATTTTTAATTGAATTGTAGCTTCATTAAAATAAAAAAATTACCCGGCTATGATACGGGGAGTTCAGGTGTACTCAGAAACTAAAGACAGTGTTGTATTTCTCGTCAGAGTCGTCAGGGAACGACCGTTACGACGGAGACAACCTATCTATCGCTCGTGTCGCACTCGTTAGAACCTAAAACAACAACACAACAATAACAAGACATTGTCTGACCGCATTTTCCAGCTATTTATGAATGAGATGCTCAGTCTATATTTTATTTTAAGTCTATGGTCCAAATCAATGACCACTGCAAGATGAGCAAGCGCTGATTATGCAGTGGTCATTGTTTCGTTTTAGTATCTTTCTTAAATAAATAGACTTTACAAATAGTATTTTTTAGGTATTCTAGAGTCAGAACAAGACTTAAAAGAAACTGAAGAATATTCTACTGCCCAAAAAGTGTTAGATGAAGCTAAACTGCAATTGCCAGGACCTGGTGAACTGCACATGTGTTAATTTCAATTCAATTTACTTACCTTATATCTAATTTTTAAATAAAAAAATCTAATTTATATAAACATTTTTATACTGTTGTAAGTTCTATTATTTATATTTTGTATTTCATACTAAGGATATACTTGTAATTTCTAATTATTAAATAACATAAGTGCTTTTTAAGAATTTTCAGTCGTTAAGATTTCTATTGTTAACTTTATAGCTTTAGAATTAAGTATTTGTAAAAATGAATTTTAATTATTATTTTCACTCTTTGCCTACTACAAGCCGTCAAGCTTCGGAAGTGGCCGCTCAAATATTCCAGAAACAAAATTTAGACAAGTCCAATATTTTAGGTAAGTTGTCTTTATTTTTAATTTATTTTATTATCTGGACGACACGTCCGTGTGTGCTTTGGCATTCGTAAAATTTACGAGAATATTTTGCGCATATCAATATTCGAGAAATTATATAAAAGGTAAATAGATTAGTTTAATTAAAAGAAAGAAGTATGATTATACTACGTTAAGGATAATGATTTTGTAATAAAAATATTATATTTATTACAACACCATTATCCAGGATTGGGTAACGACGCGTAAAAAATTAATTTTCTACGTGTATCTAGAAAAGTGCGTAGAAAATATAGAATATTAAGTAGAAAATGTATAAATCTTGAGAACAGGTAATAAAATGGTATAGAGCAGTTATAATATCTGAGAATATTAATGTTGTTTATTTAAAGCCGTTTTTATCACTTTAGAGGTTTCTTCATTTCTATTTTCTTTAAATTCTATCAGTGTTAAAACTAATATGTGTTCGCGCGCTATCTCTCTATTCTGTGTCGGTACTTACCTTAGATTAAGAATAAAAATAGATAGAGCAAGTCATTCATAAATTCACAAAATCGAGGTGCCTACATCGTTTTATCGGTGAGTGCCCCCACTACCATAGTTTATGGACAGCGGGGTAAAGAGGAAAGTGGTAGGGGAGTTTACAGCAGAAGAGCATCAAAACAGAATTTAACCTTGAGATTCATTGCTGATAGTAAAGTAAAAGCCAGAGATATAGAAGTAGGTGGTTAGAGGCAAAGATAAAATATTTTTTTAATAATAAATTTTGAAAATATGTTCATGCAAAAATTATTATAAATACATAATAGTATATGCTATATGCTATAAAATATTTAACAAACACTATAAAAAATTTGTTTATTAAATATTCAATAATTAAAAGTTAGATATAATCCTAATTAAAAGATATTATTATACGTATTGTATATCGTATAGTGATTGATAATTGATAAACTAAAATGTTAATGGATCTATTATATAAGATGTCTTGTTATTTAGATAGTATTAGTTTAGTTTAGTTTAGTTTAGTTTATTTATTAGTAATAACATACAAGAAAAGTATTTTTACAAGTCAAAAAAAATATATATATATAAAATGATAAAAATTGATAAAAATTTAGTTTCTACAGTTTTTTTTGTTGTTTTTACATTGCATCATTAATACACAAATTTGATAAAATAAAATTTATACAATTAAACAATAGAAAATCATTAAAACCTTAAAATTAAAACAAATATGTATGTCAAATATATGTTATAAATGAACAGATACAACACACAAACACTAACATAGACAAAATAAATGAAATCACAGACTAAAGCTGGAACTGAAGTACTCCTCAAAAGAAAAAAATGCATTAATCATAAGGTAGTTTTTGATTTCTGTTTTGTACTGATTAAAATTAAGAGCCTTAATTCTAGCTGGTACCAGGTTATAAAACTTTATGCTCAAATATCTTGAACCATTCTTGGATCTCCAAGCCGGCAAAGTCCGGTACAAGATTGCTATTATTTCTTGTTGGGTAGCTGTGAAAATATTCATGTGACCTGTATAGATCAAGATTTTGCTTGACGAACAACAAACACTTATAACCTTAGAGCGCCTTTAAAAATGCGAGCCAAGAAAATGACTTCTGGGCTTGACGCTGAAATTATCATATTTTCATTCCCAGTCTCCTTTGAAGCCGTTTTTTCCTAGATCGTATGGTTTTAACTTATTCAATCAATCAATCATTTATTTATTTCCATATAAAAACAATGTACAATTGTATAGGAATAGTCAATAAATTCTTAAAAGCTAACACAAATATATAATACAAAATATAAATACTACAGGGCAAAGCTAAAATCTTAAATTTTTAAATAAATTACGACAATCACTCCCTGTAACCCACCCTGCAATAATACACGCGCACTTGCATCTGCTGCGCAAAAACCTTATCCACAACATGACAAGAATGACCCCAGCAAAGAATAGCATAAGTCAGATGGGATATGAAAGTTGCCATGATATACTGTGAGAAGAGTTTCTCTTGAGGTTATCTGCACTGCAGATTTCTAAACAGGAAAAGTTCTTTTGATAATTTTTTTTGACAGGTTGACTTGAGGTGGTTCTCCCAGGTCAGTTCTGTCTCTAAGTGCACCTCTAAGAAACTTGGCTCTAAACTATGCTGTGATGAAGTACAGGGTGATCAAAATTAATATTGTTTCTTAGAGTAAAGTTCATACTTTGCGATTTAGAGTGATTTAAAGATAAGACGGTTAGCTAGAAACCATTGATTTAGGTTTTCTAGTGAAGTGTGATAATCAAGATTGTCAATCTCTAAGGGGTGGTAACTTATGTAAAGGTTATTTGTGTCATCGGCAAACAAAACAGTGTTGACTCCCCCCTCCCTGGCAGTATGCTAGGTCGTTTATATAAATAAGGAACAAGATAGGGGCCTAATACAGATCCCTGAGGTACACCATACTTCAGGGGCTGTTTTTCTGAGTTGCATTGGTTGAAATGAACATATTGATCACGGTCAGAGAGATATGACTTTAGTAATTGAACAGCATCGTCCTGAAAGTTGTAGGATATTAATTTTTTTAACAATATGATGTGCGTAACACAGTCAAAAGCTTTGGTAAGGTCTAAAAATGATGCAAGAGTATCAAGCCACCTCTCAAACCCTTCCAATATACCACTGGTAAACCTGTCAATCGCTAATGTTGTGGTTTTGTTTTTTCGAAAACCAAATTGATTAATGGCGAATAGTTTATTAAACTCAAAATGTTCATTGATTTGATTCTTTAGAATACGTTCATAAACCTTAGTTAAAATTGGCAGCAAAGATATCGGGCGATAGTTGTTACAGTCATCAACTGAACCCTTATTTTTAAAGAGGGGAACCACCTTTGCAGTCTTGAAAACCTTAGGAAATATATTGCAAGCTATAGATATAGTTAAGAAATATGGAAAAATAAAAGCACGACAAACAGCTGATCATGCCAATCAGCTGTTTATCGACAGTATTGACACTGTTGACCGCGTCCAATTCCCCTACTATAGAAAATACTGTTGCGGACCCGTGTGAACTCGACCTAACCTAACTATATGTCCCGCCCTCGGATGACCTTAAGGGTACGAACATAGTGGAGGCAGGTTTCTGCTTTCCGGCAACCAGCGCCGTCTCTGGGGACCTATTCTTGACCACTCGCATCTTCAAATATCGCTCACATCTCGCATCTCCGAAAAAGCCATATAACAATACACGTGATGCGTAATTTTGCGTATATGCCGTGTATTGTTATATGGCTTTTTTCGAGATGCGAGCAGGGTTCGGAAGTAGTTAATTAAGAGGAAATTTACCTGATTAACTAACCTACTAACTATATTCAAACGCCGCTCCCGCCGCGCCAGCGCCGCACATATAGGGGTATTTGGTCTATAAACCTGGCCAAAAGTGAAATATTTTTATTTTCATTTTTTATCTTAACTGAATACAAATCTATAAATACTAAATGTAAGCGCGTTTATTAGCTTTTTTTAAGTCGTAAGTTGACTATCAAATAACGTTTTCTTCTATTCTATTTCTTTATAATGTTTTATATTTAAAAAATCAGAGGCATTTTTATAAGGTGTAAGACTATTCGGCAATATTCCGCATGGAAATTAGTATCCGTTCAATGCTTAAAGTCTCCAGCTTTGGAATATGTACAAAAATCTTGCCAATATTTGCCACTGCCAAAAAAACATTGATTTAAATAGATTCTTAAAGGAAATAGTCTTTACCCTATAACACCCATCCTCGCTCAAATATCGTCTATAATATACAAATTACTTTCTTGTTCTAGCATCCTCATCCAATTGCTTGATTTTGCACAGAATGGCCCTATTTGATCGGTGGAAAGGGTTTCAGAGTAGAGGAAAAAATATTGTGTAGGAAAAACAAAATGGGGTTCCATATTAGCAACCTCTCCTCTAATTAATAATTAATATTACAAGCAAAAAAGCAAAAAAATCATAAAACATAATTTTGGCCAACTTTTAGTTCTTAATACCCTCTGTGTGCCGTCGGCGCGTGCAAAAGCAGAAATAAATAAATTTTCGTTCCGGTAAAAGCGAGAACGCCGATGAACGCTGGTTGACGGTGCCTGCCTGCCATCTGCCTGCTTTCACTGTGAACTAGCCGATTTGATAACACGCTTTAATTTTTCAAGGTTATAACCGCGAGAGGCGGCGCGGCGCTACGATGTACCCATATACAGGTGTTCCAGAAATAAGTGCAAGTATTTTATATTTAACTGGTAGTATAGTTCAACCCCAGAAACACGCCAATGAGGTTTTTTCTAAATATTTTTTTGAAAATTCGGAATTTTTGAAAATTTTTTGGAGTTTTTATTTAAAGAAAATAATTTCTTGATAATATGGCAACATAGGTAGTAGATTAAAGTTACAAGAAAGAAAATCCAGAAAAGATCCAGTGGTTCTCAAAATTTTAGCAAAAAATAATTTTTTTGGAAATTTTCAAAGTAAAATAACTCCGTTATTTTGGACTTATTTGAAAAACGATAAAGAGAAAATATGTTTCTTTTATCGAGATCTACCAGCCTTTAAAATACTTGCACTTATTTCTGGGATACCCTGTTTATAACAATACACGTGATGCGTATACGCAAAATTGCGAATGATGTCAAGAATAGGTACCCAGATTGACGCCGACTACCGGTAAGCGGCAAACCTGCTTGCACTGTGTTTGCACACTAACATCGCATTAAAGAATAGACACCGTAATGATTCATTCGTTCGAGAAGAATCGAGTCCCACTGGAATGGACTAGTACATACGAGAACATTCGAAAACCTTCTCTACGCACCTAACGATCTATGGACTATTCTAGAGTTCTTTACCTGTCGGTATAAAAGCCGGCGGCTGTGGCCTACAGGGGGCAGTTATAAATATACCAGTGCAGTTGACGCGCGAAAATTCAAAATAAATTCTTAGTTATAAATCGTTTGTAAATAGTTCTATAAGTCTTTTATCGTTATTGTTTTTGTTAATTAGTGTTAAATAAATAGTGTTTAAATAAATTGTGACTTTCTATCCACACGGAACCGACGAAAAACGTAACAATACTATAACAACAGAGCGGCGTTGTCAGATTAAAAATTAATCCTAACGGCTGATGAAAAATGACGAAATTTACAAATATTTCAAGTTTATTTTTCTTGTAATCTTGACTGAATCTTAATAAGTACTAAATAAAATTATAAATGTCGAAATTTTGAAAAGTAGTAAGCTAATTATATTATTATTTTCTTAAGATTTCCCCAAAGTATACGTATACAAAATTAAAAATAAACAAAAGCGGAGATAGACTTGGCAACATACCAAACAATAACAATAGGATTTTGGCATTCGCACAAAATGTAAACAGTTCCCCTGTGGTACTTACTACCCTGAAGGTACTTACTACCCTGAAGATGAGAGACAATATTCAATCTGAAGACTTAGAATATTTTTTTCTGTTTAATCTGAAGACTAAACAAAAAAGTCTGATTTTTTTCTTTAGAATTTTTCGTTGTTCCTTTTTTTAATTTTATCAGAGAGCTTGTGGTTTCATAAACAATATACGTATATTCATAATTATTGTAGTTTTTAGTTCTTAGTTTCATTATGTTAGATGTTATTTTTTGTTGTTCTGTTTGAGTCTTACCAAAGTTCACAGAATTCTATAGAATTATTCTGTAAACTTTGATCTTACTATTGAAAACTTTTAAGATATCTGTAAACTTCGACTATAGTGTGTAACAAATCAAGGAAATTTTCAACAGAAGACAACCAGATGAGAAAAAATACGATATGCCTGTGAATTATAATGACACAACAGCTGACAACAGTCACTGTCACGCATCCTCCCGTTGTTGAAAAACAATGATTTTAGAATAATCATTTTGTTCATTTCATTCGACATAACCCATAACCTTACTTTAAGTTACAGCTCATTTTATATGACATTATTAAAAAAAAATAAAAAACTTCACTTTAAGAATATTCTAAATTAAATTACCAGTGTTCTTATTTTGAGTTAATAAATAACTTTAAGCATACTAAGGGTCGGCATTTCTGATCTTGTGTGCCGGTTTTCGTGTGTAGGAAGAGTAAGGTCAACACGCTTAGTAAAATAAGATGTACTGAATAAAGACAGAAGGCGAGTATTTTCCCAAGCGCCTGGAATCTAGCGTCAGGTTAAGTAGTTATGTAATAAATACCTCGTATTTTTGCTCACTCCAACTTACTAGATTGCCATAACGACTCACTCCTATACATGTAAACGCCGACCCAAAGGTTGCCAGCAGGGTATATACTTAAATACAAAAACACAGTATGACACAGTAATTGACAGTGACAGCACTTTGTTTTGTTTAGAACTAAATCATAACAAAAATGGCCGACGTATCGTCATCACTTCCGTGGTCCATTACATACTAGGTACTATACTTTATTTACGACGACAGCCGTCTTTGATGCCGTTTCTTTTTCGATTATACGGTAAACGTTATTAATAAATTAGCTAATTATTCAATATATCGTTCGCTAAACGTAAAATTTAAGCCAAAAGAACAAAAATATACAAAAAAATTAAAAATAAATGAAATTTTAAAAACCTATTCACAAAATTATAACTATGTATTTTCAGAAACCATCTATAATAAGTCCAATGATGAGCTGTGGGTAGAGTCGTGGCTTCAACAAAATAATATTTATCAGCCTATACCTAAACTAAAAAAAATTAATGTTCCACCCAATGCGATGACCATACATCAAGCAAAATTATACATAAAAGATTGTCTTTCACTTCTACAAAAGCTAAGTAAACGTCAGAAGGAACTCGAGGAGAATGTTACTACTATTTCAACTGCCGAATGGAAAGAAAAAACTATTGAAATTGGTAAAACGTTTTTTTTTTATTTTAGTGAAATTCTATAAGATTTTTTTAGGAGGAATTAAGGATGATTTTACCAAAATAATGTGCATCTTTCAAAATGCAGAAGTTATGAAGCATTTAAAAATTTCCTTGAAAAATAGACAAAAAAAGAGGTTGAATGAAAAACGGAAACGAGAATTAAGAATTGCAAAAAAGGACGAGGAAACTGAGAACCGAAAAAAGTTACATAAGGAAATTTATCATTGGTTAAGCAGAAAGAAGGAAGAGGTAATAATTGAATTGAAAGTTATTAGATTTCTTCTTAGTACCTGTAATAATTTCTTTAAATTAACTTTTACTGATGGGGTTTTTAAATTGAGTCTGTAGGTATTGACGATTGACGTTAAACTCACTCCGAATATAAAGTGTTCTATAAACGTTCTAAATATTCTACTAGAGGAAAAAATCTCTCATTTTAAAATTGTGAGAAAATGATGCTCATATTGGCTTGGTGCATTCTCCGTTGGATAATACTGCAAACAACATGGTCGTTCATAAAGTCGTGGCACATCAAAGTTTAGTTTTTTAAATAGAACACCCTGTATATTATTACATATTTCAATTCTTCCTTCAATTCTAAGCAAAAATCGAAATACACACAATGTACCTCAAAGCAACCGTTTCCGAGTTATTGACTTTTAAAAATATCACTTAAACAATAATTCGATTTAAATAATTTCGATGTGTTTGGTTTGATGTAATGATGTCATTGTGCCGAAACTGTGATACTGTTGTAATGGGTTTTTAAATTCCTATTAGCTACTAGTAAATTTAAGAATACAGGGCCCTGTATATTATTGGATATTTCAATTCTTCCTTCAATTTTAAACAATAATCGTAATACACAATGTACATAAATTGAAGAATTGAGAGAGAGAGAAAAGAATTGAGAATTTTGTAATTTCCAGACTTGCTATTACTCTCATTTTATACATCTATAAATGCTAACTTGAGAACTAATGTCAAATATTATTAAGTGTCACAGTTTCAGCAAAATGGCATCGTTAAATGAAACTGAACATATTGAAATTAATTAAATCAAATTGTAGTAATATGTATTTTCAAAAGTCAATAACTCGGAAGCGGTTGGAACGAGGTACGGTACATTGTGTCTATTTCGATTTTTGTTTAGAATTGAAGGAAGAACCGAAATATGCAAAAATACCCCTGTATATTATTGCATATTTCGTTCCATTAAAAAAAATGAAACTTTGATGTGCCACGACTTTATGACCGACCCTGTATACTTAAATTTATTACCCGCTAATAGATATTTATAAACCCTATAACTTTTATATTTAACTTTTTGCGGTATCTCCTATATTTTACCTAAATAATCGACCGTTTTCATACATAAAAGCGACCCTGTATAATTATTAGGGTCTTATATAATTATTAGTAGGTTAAAATAAATTAAATTCTGCACATTACCTTCCCACATATAGCCATAAATTATTTTGTTTCTACATGTTTCCGTTTTCGTATAATCAACCGAGGAGAATGAGGTGCGCCACCCTGTATTTTAAATTATCCAATATCCCATAAGTAAAATATAGGATCATTTACGGCTAATTATCTTTTTTAGACGATTAAGGAGAATTACTTATGGTAAATATCTGAAATTTTTGTTGCTTATAGTCTAAGAGCTAGCAACGTTTTCGAGATAGTATTTTAAGACGTCTGGCTCTTTGATATATCTTTTACTATGCTCTCTGGAACAGCATGCGGCCTGTCTGGCTGCCGATATCCGTTGCGTTCACTACTGCGCATCGAAAGAAGATCCTATATTTTTTATTAATTTAGTCCTATAAATTCTAGTATTGAATATAAATCGAACATGTCTCCATAGCGCAGTGCGTAGAGTTTCCGACCACGAACCGATGATTCAGAGTTCGAATCCTGGTCAGGTTAAAGACTTTTTTATTTTATTTTCGTTTATATTTTGATATAAATATTTGTTTTTTTTAATTACCAGAATTATTTAATACTTTACTATCAGAATATAAACGAAAATAAAATAGTCTTTGACCTGACCCGGATTCGAACTCTGATTCATCGGTTCGTGGTCGGAAACTCTACGCACTGCGCTATGGAGACATGTTCGATTAATATTCAATACTAGAATTTAAAGGACTAATGAAAATATAGGATCTTCTTTCAATGGGCAGTAGAGAACGCAACGTTTACCGCCAGCCAGACGGGCCGCATGCTGTTCTAGAGAGCATAGTAAAAGATAGGTATATCAAAGAGCCAGACGTCTTAAAATACTTGTTTTTCCGAAGTTGCTAGCTCTCATACTATTAGGTAAACGAATATGAGCTATCTTTAAAATATTTTTGATCATGTGGTTAGGTTGTAGCCAGATCTTCTCATATCTACAGTACGTGTTCAGATTGTCCCAAGAGGAAATACTTTTTTATTATTGACATTTTGAAAAAAATGTATTCTTCATTAAAATTTTTGCTCGTTCTAGAATGGTTAATCCCGTTTATACTTTTCTAAATTTCCATACCGTTTTAGAGAAAATTACAAAAAAAAAACATGAAAATATATTGATTTTTTTTCGAAGTCCTTTGTCAAAAAGTCCTAAAAATCAAACCGCGTTTCTATGGTAATATAATTTAGATTTCATTCTTTTATAGATGGTTATTAATAGTTATGATTCACGTCATATTTTTTGCTGTTGTTAGAGTTTCGCATTTTCCGATAACTATTATCCCCCCTTCCATAGCATTGAACTAAATAAATTTTGTGCTTCTTTAACATTTTAAAACAGCAAAAATATGACGTTGATTAAAATTCTAACAATAACAATCTATCAAAGAATGAAAACGGAATTATATTACCATAGAAACGCGTTTTAAGTTTTAGGATTTTTGTTTGTTTTAGGAACTGTCACTTGTTTTATTATTTTCCTTTTCTATTTCACGAAAGTAAAAAGAGTTATTTATCTGATTCGTTCAAGCACTCAATTTAAAGAATATCAGTAACTTTTTTGACCGAGGGATTTTATGTTTGCCATGTTGGTAAAAAATAACGGTCAGAATTCAAAGTTATTCATTTTATAGACTATAACAATAATTTTTTCGCAGAAATATTTATTATTAATTTAAAAAAAAATAAATATTTCACACATTTTGTAATAATGATATGTATTGATTATTAGCATTCTAAATAACTTGAGAACGGTAGCAATTTTTGCTAAGAGACATTTTTTACGTAAAATGTCACGGGAATACATATTTTCTCACTCAGTAGTTTTATACAGGTACGGACGAAAAAAGTTATTACTCTTCAAAACAGCTAAAACACATGTAGGTGGCGCCCCCTACAAATAGTCATATTGACATTAAAATCAAATTTCTAATGTCAAAAAACTCCCAGACACCAATTTTCATCCAACTATTGACGTTACTTCAGAACTTATTTGGAAAAAATTGAAATAAAAATTAAACTTCTATTTTTTTCTTCTATTTTGATTTTAGGACATAATTTATACGAACTTTTTTACTCATTTTTATATCCAGAATATGCTGCCGAAGTTCCCGGAATACATACCACCTTATATATAAACTTTCTTTTTTTGAACGAAATACCCTGCCCTGTATATTATCCAGGGGCGCATATACGGGAGGGGTAAAGGGGATAATTACCCCTCCCAGGAAGAAATTTGTAAATAAGATAAAATGTAGTATAAAATAAAATTGTTATAATAGAAATTAATAAGACCAATCAAAATCGAAGATTCAGATGAATACAAGTTTATTGTTTCCGCAGTAACAATACCTTTCAACGCAAGTTTAATTTAAATATAGTATTTTCCTTAAATATTGCCACTGCCCCTCCTTGCCTCAATCTCAGAGGCAAAAGGTTCTGTAACTCTCATTAAAGGACAGGTTAATGAGAGATCGGCCATTCTTCTAAGCATTGAATGAAGTTCAACTTTAGATATCGGCGGAATATCTTTTTCTAATGCATCCTGTGAAGCTGGTTCATTTCCCCAGTCCATATCATGTACAGGTACAATAGGGACATTTGTAGCCAATGAAGGGACAGGCCATAGCGAGGGTACATCTGTACAGGTACAGGACATGGCCTCTTTACGACTGTTCGCATATTCGGCAGTAAATAATAAGGCACCAATGTGGCTACATACTTCACCGTTTCCTGCCATACATGTGCAATGTGCAGTCAACACACTGCCATCTTTCGCAATAATGCACCAAGCTTCCGAGGGATTTGTCGTGGTTCTTTGAGAGTGTTCTACCTAGAAAAGAATAAAGTTATTGCAGAAGAATATTATAATACCTCAGTAACAATTTTTTTTTTCGAGTCTATTACGCTGTACTTTCGGGTTGCTCTCGGGTAAAGCGGGTGTGTGGCCGAAGGAAATATATATTATATTTCAGAAATCTGCCTAAGCCTTAGCCCGATCCTGTCGTGTTAAGCCACACCCAAAATTCCAAACACACGTGCTATGATTAAGGTTTGATATGGTTTGCAGAGTTTCAGCATTTGCCATAAAATAGCGAGCAATTTGTTACAAAACCATATCAATTATACAGGGTGTCCCAGAAATAAGTGCAAGTATTTTAAGGGGTGATTGATCTCGATAAAAGAAACATATTTTCTATTTATTGTTGTTCAAATAAGTCCAAACTAACGGAGTTGTTTTACTTTGAAAATATCCAAAAATAAATGATTTTTTGCTCAAATTTTGAGAGCCACTGGATCTTTTCTGAATTTTCTTTCTTGTAAATTTATTCTACTACCTATGTTGCCATATTATCAAGAAATTATGTTTTTAACTAAAAACTAAAAGAAATCCAAAAATTTTTTCAAAAAATTCCGAATTTTCAAATTTTTTTTCGCGAAAAAAACCTTATAGGCGTATTTCTGGGGTTGAACTATACTACAAGTTAAAATACTTGCACTTATTATAATCACAAAACTTCAATCTATTTCCGCATTGTAACGGAATTTTAAATTATGGCTCTTTTAATTTATTATATTTATTTTCGAGAAAATTTAGTCCACACATCAGGAATATTTTGTTGATGTTTGACCATCAAAATCTGAAAAATAAAGAAGTTGTCTAAAAATGTGCTACAATACGGATATAGTATAATCCTTTATCTTTAATTTCCTTCTTCATTTGTGTAAAAATACCTAGCCAGTTTTACATAAAACGTTAAATGCCGAACGCTTATTTTGCTACTTTTTCGGACTAGCGAAATGGACTCTTAAGGCATACATTTACAACTAGAAATTATACAAATATCAAAAAAGAATATATTTTAATTACCTTGCCCAGTAAAACATAATAATTGTTAATTATCTTCGTCCCAATATTTACAACAAATCCACCTTGAAAATACTTAAAGGCTTGTGAACTTTTGTAACCTCATGGTTCATGGCTAAAAAAACTGTGTTTTATCACTAAATACACAATGATGTCCATGTTTGTAATGGGAGGGATGCCGTTTAAGGAATAGTCCAATTCACTATTCTGAATAGTGTATGGGTCCAGATTGCTAATTAATCCCAATTTTTCGATGTATCTAAAATAAAAAGAAAAATATGTTTATTGTGCTTACGTACAAAAAGGTTGAATTTGCACATTTATACAGGGTTATTCATCTCATTCGACACGGAGTATTGTAGCCACACTATTAGATTTTTAGAAATTTTGAATGAAGGGTTCGTTGGCGTACTACTAAAACTACAATTTAAAATTATTTTCACAAGGTGCAGAGTGTCCCAAATAAATAAAAAATATAAAAGTTTTATTTTTTCAAATGGAACACCCTGTATATTATTATGTTTTTAGTGTCTGCGATTAAAATAAAGATAAATTTAATTAAGGTTTTCCGCACTTTAATCTTACCGTTTTTGAAATATTTACGTTTTTGTGAAAATACAGTAATAATTTTAATGCTAATTAATTAATATTTGGGCGGAAATAATGGTGGTATATTTAATTGGTATAATCTTTTACAAAAATTTAAATAGTTTTCTTTTTGTAAACAAATAGGCTAGTAATATTATCGTTTTTAGCACCTGTACATGTGTTGTTTTAAAAAAAAATCTAGAAAGTCAATATTCCATGGGTATATTGTTAAATGAGGTCTAAATTATAAGAAAATGCATTTTCTACGAAAACTTGAAGAGACAGGTAAAAAATCGTATAATACAATAATTGGATAGAGAATTAAATAATTGTGCATTTGATTCGCGTAAAAGATACAGGGCTGTTTAAATTAAACAATTTATATATTTTATATAAATTTTTAGACACTCTGTATAAGGTAGTATAATTTTTATTACTGCAACACAAAATATAGTATATAGAAAAACTTTAGTACAATATTTGGTTTTAAACACTTAAATATACGCCTAGAGAAATGAAACATTAAAATTGTTATTGCATTTTCACAATATCGCAAATATTTAAAAAACGGTAGGATTAAAGTGCAGCAAACCTTAATCAAATTTACCTTTATTTTAATCGTAGAAACTAAAAATGTAATAATATATACATATTCCATTTAAAAAAATAAAACTTTGATATTTTTTATTAATTTGGGAGACTCTGTACCTTTTGAAAATAATTTTAAATTGTAGATTTGGTAGTCCTCCAACGATCCCATCATTCATAAAAATCTAATCATTAGGCTACTCCGAGTCGAATGAGGTGAAAACCCTGTATGCATATTTATATATCCTTAAAATAACAAGAGTTTATAGTACCACAGATAGTACTTTAAATAAATATCTGTTAAGCTAATGTAAGAAGATAGAAATTTACAGTTCGTCTGCTGGATCTGTGTCTATGAAAGGAATGCGGACAAAAAACATTTAAATAAACAGCAATATATTTTATACGTCGACTTGACGAGTACGTCACCTCAAATCGCTCCGCCCGCTCATTTTATTGGCTACTTGCAAATTTGTCGAATTTTTATTGATGGGATGCGTCGTCTATTTTTTTACGAAAAACATCGAGAGAATATCGTTTCCCCTCTCACGGATACCCCGTAGCCACAGAACGGACAGACGTACTGTAAAATGAAGGTGGGTCCATGTTTCCGATCATAACCCTAGTTGTAATCTCAAGAATATGAACCAACATTAACGAAGGTTAGTTTACATTACCCTTAGTCCTAACGGCTCCTAAGAAATATGGGATATTTTTTAATCTTAGGGCTAATGTTAATTCAGAACTGATTTGCGCATGCTCCAGACTAGCGGTTTTAAGAATTCTCGAAATATTATTTGACATATTGAATTTGACGGTTTATGAATGATAATAAACTTATTTTTTAGTTTAGAAATCAATGTAAAAATTAGTCTTTTTAGTGATCCAAAATTCTAAAAATATTTGTTGTGAAGTTAGGTTAGCTGAAAACATATGTTTCATATCAGCGCAAGCGCTTACTAGAATATTCTAGGGAAAGTATGATTGATACTTTCTTAAGTTCTTAAGGTTAATTCCTTAGTTATAATTAGGGTTAATGGTAAGGATAAGGTTAGGACTAATAGTCTCGAAGTATGAACCCACCGAGACTATTTGTAATATAATTGTCAGAAAATTAGTTTAAAAAATATCATATATCTTCATTAAACCGAGTTTTATACTAGAAAATAAAATACGATCGAAGAAAAGGGCGTCAGCGGTGGCTATGAAATAAAGATCGCTGTCATTTTATATGGGGAATGGCATCATCATTTCTAAGCCAACTGCATACAAATTATATATTTGTATGCAAATTATATATTATATATTTATAAATGCTATACCATTAATACACTTACCTCCTACCAACATCTCCATTTTCTCGTAATAAATCTTTTAAATATTCGCTTGCCATTTTAAATAAAATATTCACTCGGCTGGCTACAACAAACGTGGGACAAAGCTGCGAACAAACTGAATCGTCGACAGGTTCGTGGTCGTACATGAGCCGTATGTTAAACAGCTGATCGCCGTCATCGGCTGAGCCGCCATATTGGAATCACGTGGTTTGGAATAGTGATGGGAATAATCGAATTATTTTCACCATCGAATAATTAGTAATAATTCATATTTGACAATCGAATTAATAATTCGAATTATTTAGTAGAATTATAAATTTAACCTAAAAATAAATTCGTCCCAGCTAGTGCTCGTCTAGGGGCTATTTTAAACAAATCTGAACCATTCCCCATTGCCAATTGCCATACCTATATTCTATCATTCAATAAAGAATAAAAAAAATATTCTCTGTTCAATGTATTCTATTAACTGTGCCGAAGCCGTTTAATAAACTAACCTAACCATAATTTATAGTTTTAAATTTAAAAGTGCCGAGTTTATGATTGTTATTGTTATGGCCTTTTATAAACATTTCAATTCCTATTGAAAACCTCCTCTCTAAAATAAAAGCTTCTTCTAAAACGATATAAGTATGTCCTTGTTTACGTGCGGTTCGTATTTCTTTTTATTTTATTAGTGGCAATCAATAATTATTTAGATAAAAGAAGAAAATTAATTTTAGTGTTCGGCAGGTGTTCGGTGAAATTTGGGTGAGATGGAAATGAACCAAATAATAGTAGTATTCTTTCGTTCTGAACGAAATGAAAATTTTCACTTAAACTGATTTATTCCTACGTGGTATAGGAAATAACAATGATTTCTGGATTTTTCTATATCGGATCGTTCTTTTCTTTGTCGATTCCCTTTATAAATCAGTTTAAGTGAAAATTTTCAGTTGGTTCAGAACGAAAGAATACTACTAATTACTAACATTCGTCCATAAGAGGTTATGTTTTATGTTCATTTCACGGAGGAATAAGACTTTTACGGACCTGCACACTGTTTATCTAACCTGTGAAATGTTACGCGGGTGAGTTTCTTCGAGTCGATACCTTTCCTGCTCCTACAACTGCGTACAGCACACAACACCATGGTTTTAAATGTTTTTGTAATAAAAAACAACTGAACGAAATGAAAATTTTCACTTAAACTGATTTATTCCTACGTGGTATAGGAAATAACAATGATTTCTGGATTTTTCTATATCGGATCGTTCTTTTCTTTGTCGATTCCCTTTATAAATCAGTTTAAGTGAAAATTTTCAGTTGGTTCAGAACGAAAGAATACTACTAATTACTAACATTCGTCCATAAGAGGTTATGTTTTATGTTCATTTCACGGAGGAATAAGACTTTTACGGACCTGCACACTGTTTATCTACCTGTGAAATGTTACGCGGGTGAGTTTCTTCGAGTCGATACCTTTCCTGCTCCTACAACTGCGTACAGACAAAAGAACAGGACGCCGACGTGCATAAAAATGTTCCGTAGCAGAAATTGACAGAAATCATATAGAAATATTCAGATTTTTGTCTAGGACAGTCTAGAAGGCCATGCTTTCTGCCTGGGTAGAACCGCGCCACAACTGTTTCCAATTTTCCGGTTTACTGTCACCCCCCTGGGTGAACCTCTTTTTGTAACAGCTGTAGCATCTCCCCTCTCTTATTCCTCCGTGTGTTCATTTGTAATTCGGTTACCACAGATATAATATAAGATACTAATTTTTATCTCGATTATATCGAAAAAGATAATCGAATTAGTTAGTTTGAATTTACTATCGAATTAGTCGAATTATTTAATTCGAATTTTCCCAACACTAGTTTGGATTGCTTAATTCTAGACATGTTTCATGATACAAAGAAAACAAGATCTGATATTGCGCAGGTTGGTCACTACGTCACAGGTGATAACTGTACCATTGGTCGGCAAGTTCCGCGCGCCAATTTCAAATCGTCAATTGATGACACATAATATGTAGTATGTAAATTACTTTTCAAATGTCAAGCTCAATAATTTGACATAACTTTTGATGTTATGTCCTAATTCTTCCCTATTTTAGGTCATTTTTTATTAGTGGCAATTGAACAATATGGATATTTTTTTTTGTATGGCGTACTGAACGAAATTGGAGCCCTTATTGATCATGCCTTGTTTTCTTTGTATCAAGGACATGTTTGGCATGACAACTTATTAATATCTAACCGTCTTTATTTATAGTCTTACCGTCGACATTTGCCTGGGGTATAATCTCGTTTATCTATTTTTAGATCAATGGGGTCTACTGGTGTGATCTGGTACCGCAACCCAATGTCATAGCATGGATCCATGGATGTCTTTTATGCATCCTGCTATGATACGGGTCCAGCTACCGAGATTTTTCCATCAGGTATGGGGTATTTTTCGCTCTCCAGTTTCCCGTACTCTTTGTATGTATCAATCTTGATTTGTGTATCACTGTGTTTAGATGGTGGTGACTATTTTTGTGCTAAAAACTCCCCCGCTAGCCATATCCGACGATGTTCTAGGTCTGTTTCTTGCGCCTCTGTTAGTAGCGCTTTTGTAGCAGTTGGTTTCGTTTTAGAACTGGGTTGTATTCAGGCTGTTTTGCAATCTTATACTTGTGGGTTTTATGAAAATTGATCTATAATGTAAGTGTGATTTCACTAACCCGTTGTATACTAGTAGCAAAGTTCAGATATAGGTTATATCATATCAATAAGGAATTCAAAGTAAAATCCGAAGATACAATCAGCGCATTCAGGGATGGTCAGCGCCTTATGGGAGTAATTGAGAAAACGACTTCCCTGAACGGTCAATTTTTACATACAACAACGGTCAGCCGCTGTGTCCCCTGAATGCGCTGAATATGTACTATATGTACGGATGTACTAATCCTGTATATGTACGGTGTTCCATTACAAAAGAAACCTATTATGGCTACGGGTAAATCTGGCAACACTGCAAGGCTAAACATATTTTATACAGATAGCTCGCAGTCGATTACATATGCAACCAAAATTTCATATTTCGTAAATGTCTAATAGGATACTTACCGCGAATAACCCAGCATAATAAGTATATAATATTTTCACTTCTCCTGGTTTGTTTTATTAAAACCTGGAATATTTGATATATTTGTGTAGTATTGCCTTTTACGGAGTACCTTTAATCTATAAAAATTAATTAAAAACAATATATGTATAGGGTGTCCCATTTTCGTATTTTATGGTGTTTCTCGTCTATGATTAGAGATACCAAGATGCAGTTTTCACATCACTGTGTTACTTTTTTATGAAACTAAAGATGATACACAGATTTGTATTAGCCTACTTAGGTAGGCTAGAAGCCCTGAAAGAAGATGCCCTAGCTTTAGCCCAGAAATACAGGGCGAATATGAAATTGTTGCATTTTTCGACTCCTCCAGTATCTCGGTTATTTTAGAACTTATCGAAAAGATGAAAATGAAATGATCTTAAAATAGGACCGAAACATATGCTTTTTAAACGGGATATCCAAATTATATTCCTTTTTTATTTTATTTCTCTTGTTATGAGCTTTCTAAAAATATAATATACTCAATACTTATTTTCATAAACAAGGTAAAGAGTGCATTATTTAACTTTTTAACATAGGCGGTTGTTTAAATTAGGTAATGAAAACAACCAAATCAAATTATTTATTCGATGTTAAATATGGGTTATTGGTAATTTCACTCTAGTTTCTGTGTGTGAAATTATTGCACATGTGCATCAAAAATATCAATAATTCTGATTGGCAGCGTGTTATCTAAAGCTGAACAAGTTCATTTTCAGTGCAGTTTATTAAGAAAACAGATGGAAAGCGAAATTATCTGGTTAAATTAAATAATAAAATAAATACTCTTTTAAATTAGGTTGGTTTATGTTAAAAAGTTAAATCATGCATTTTTTACCTTATTTGTGAAAATAAATGTAAAGTATACCTAACGTGACCATATTTTTTTAAACTGAAAACGGGACATCGGTTTTTTTATCCATTCACCATATTATTAGAAAAAAAAAGCACATATTTTTCAATAAGCTTTACTAACAGCGTTAAAGATACATTAAAAACGTTGGTTATTTATTGAACATAAATTCTTAATTATCAATTTTATATTGTCAGATGAACAAATTTCTCTTAATATGTTCGGTTTTGATTTTAAATAGGAATAGAATTCTTGGCATGTCTTTTTTATATTCACTTTAGTTACCAACATCGCCTTGAGGACGGAAACCTGTAACTGAGTTTTTTCAGCTGTCCACAATTTGTTCATTAAAGAAAATACTCTTTCTACTGCTGCATTTGTGCCAGGCAGACACAAAATATATTCTATTAGAATAGAAAACTGTTCATGTTTAAGCTGGTTCGACTGAAAGTGCTTAAACACTTCTACCCAACGACTTTCCATCGAAATATTTCCATTATTCCATTCGGTTACTTTTTGTGACGTGACGTATTTAGAAATTAGAGAAAATTCGTCAAACACTTCTGTGTCCTTATCAGAATCAAGATATCCCTTTTCAATCAACGTATCCAATGCTCCTTGAACTTCTTCCCATGCAGGTACTTTATTTAAATCCGCCCAATTAAATATATCCAACTCTTTAGTAAACCAAGTCCACTGTTCCAAATATTCACGACTAGTTTTGTAAAATTCTGTGGCCGTACTTTTTACAAAGACTTCGTCAATATATGTGCCACTAGCTTTCAATTTCACCATCAAACTACGGACTGTAAATGGAAGAAACTGACTAGCCTGTTTCTGAGCCAAATTGTCTTTCAATAGGTTTATTTCTTTCGCAGCTTCAATTGCCGATAAAGTCTGACCCTCAATTTTTAAAACAGCTTGATGAAAGCTTGCCGACTGACCATGTAAGAAATAAAGCCACAATTCCGATGCTGGGTTCTCAAAAAAGGTTTTTAATATTTGAGGACATTTTTCAATGCTCAAAAAGTAGTTCTTTAATGACTGGTACATCTTTAATACCCTTTCAATGGCAGGCATAAGCGCAAGCCACCTGGTTTTACTGTAGCCCAGCATTTTTTGATATTCTGTTTCACTTTCGGTACAAAACTCCTTTAGAGCTTCAACTCGGACTGTGTAAATATAAAAAAACGAATATATCTTTACAATAATGCATTCGTAATCTATGGGTAAGCCATCTGCAGCGGATTTTATTGCATTGTGGATTATATGAGCTCCGCATCCAATACCTATTATTGCTTTATCCAGAGATGATTGTAATTTCACTAACACGTTATTAGTACCTCGCCTTGCTGCCCCTCCAAAATTGACGTTGGCATTGTCTCCACAAAACGCTACGACTTTAGCAGACAAATTATTATCTCTTAACACTTGGACTAAATAACTGACAATGATATCAGAAGTTTCACCCGGTTGGTTTTGTAGGTCCAAAATTTTTACTTGCACACCTTCGTAAGGTTGAAAAAAGCGCACTAGAACAGGGTATATTTTCTTGCTACCATGATTTGAAGCGTCGGTTGAAATTGAAATGCAATTGGACTTACCAAGATCATCTTTCAGTTCTTTAATCGCAGTTTGCGCCAAAATATTTACAACAATAGCTTCTGTTTTAGTACGCGCGCATCTAAATTTCTGATCGAAACATGATTGGATTAATTTTGACGCACAATCATTGGAGCGGAAACTATGGTTTTCTTGTATCGTGTGATAAGCCCAGACGCCCTCTGCCGCAGCGATATCCAAGTCCTTTGAAGTTGGCACACTCGACTTCTTAAAAAAATTTAACATTGAAGAACTTGAAGCAGCTGCGCGATCGGCATTTTTGTGTTTTTCAGATTTTAAATGATGTTCAATATCACCAGCACCGCTATGGGAAACACTGAATTCTGTACGACACTTTTCGCATCTGACATTTGACGGAGTATTTGTTTGCTTAATAAACGGATATTTTGCTTTTAAATTGTCATTAAAAGTGCACTTACGTTTCGGCATGATTAAATACTATTTATTAAGTCTAATAACTTTTTAAACGTTAGTTGCGTCACGATTACAAATATTACGCGGTTATCAAAGAAGAAATATTCCGACAGTAAATAACCAACATAATAATATGAAACATTACTAACGTCTATTACCAACCCAAAACTTGTTATAGTTAGGCAACCAAAGATACCTTGCACATATATCTTTCAGACACGGATGGTCTGCACCAATCAATATTTGTTGGTTTGTTGGATTTTTAGTATTTTCTTGAAAAACGGGACAATTTGGCGTCCCGAAGCGTCTTTCGGGGACACCGGGACAGATAGTCGAAAAGCTCAACGGTCCCATTCAAAACACGGACGAGGTTGTCACATATGCTTTAGTATACCGGGTGCGTCTGAATGAATGATTTTATTCCATAAAACTTTTCGATAGTTGAAATCATTCATCCAGATTAACCATTCGATAGTCTAATTCATTCGATAGTTCCCATCGCTAATTCAATTGTTTTCTGTCACTTCCTGTTTCACTGGAAATAACTACAACTTTTGATTTTTAAATGGTACCCTCGGTGTTTTGTTGCTTTATTCGATAGAAAATGACCCTCTGAATAGAATAACATATCATATGTCAACTTTTGACATTTTCGAATATGGTTTATTTGAAATTGCAACATGCGATTCATAACGACAATTTGACTCGAATCACCAAGTGTGTGGTACCAAATTATTCGTCAAAAGATTAAGATATGATTACAATTACGATTTGGGCATCTTTTAACCGGCCAGGACAAGACACGAATAACATTAGATGATCAAATCTATTTTCCCAAGGCTCCTTGATTAAAAATTAGTGTTTTTAACACCGCCTAGATTGAAATTTAAAATTCAATTTTTTGTTTTAAGCAAAAATGTCAAAAGTTGATATATATGTCATTCTATTCAGAATGTCATTTTCTGTCGAATAAAGTAAAAAATACCGGGGGTGCCATTTAAAAATCAAAAGTTGTAGTAATAATAGCCGAAAATAATTGAATACGTCAATTAATCCTAATTTATGTCATACTAACATACCAAATCTCGTTTTTTTATCTGATAAAATAAAAAAGTTATAGGGGTGAGTCACTTTTGAGACGCACCCGGTATGATATTTTTAGGAACTCCTAACAACCCAAATAAACTTTAATAGAATAAACGCCACGAATGTTTGGGTAATGATTCATATATAATGAATGTTAGCTCCCGACAGGCGCGCTTACACCACTACATTAAATGTGAAAACTTTATGGGACTAGGTTTTATAGGCCCGATAAGTTATAATAAGATCTGCCTGCGCTCCTCCAACTCCTTCAAAAATGTTACGTGATTGACAAAGACGATACTATATCGCGTTTCTTTGATTGATTCGTTTTTGTGCGTCAGTTCATTGGTGTGCTTGCAGTGCGACCAACGGGCCATTCCATTTTATATTTATAACCAAATATATGTTTTGACAAGACTTTGACAGTTAAAACAACAAATTACAACAGATTATATATTGACTATTATATGACTTGAAAGACCACGGCACTGGAATTAAGTTTTATGTGACCTTGAACAGATTAGTTCACATGGTAGCGACCTTTGAATAAGAAGACTAAGGAAGGAGCATATCAAAAATCTTAGGTACACCGCGATGGGCCTCAAATATATATACTTAAATTCCAGTTTATCAGTGTCGTTCCTAATTTCATTTAAAAATGTAAAACTATGATGTAGAACCAGACAAATGGTAGACTCAATAATTTGTTGTTTTATTTTACGTTGTGAATAAATGTTGGTAGTTATTAAAATTGTTATAAAATATATAATTTAATAAAAATAGATAAGTTATAATAAGTTTATTTATTAACACAAACATCCGATACGCTACTGAAGCAGGTAAGTCAAATTAACGTATCTAAATTCTTTGACATCTAATCTTTGACAAGTAATAAATAAAAGCTAAAATGCAAGAAAAATATATAATTTAGTTAATTTAAGTGAATTTCATAAATGATCGGTTTACTACACGTATGTATATTATATAGTCACTTACTAGCGAAAAGTTGTTCCATTATTTCTCTCAATTTTTGCCGAGATCTACCGCACGCTACACAACCAACTATTTTAGTGTCTTTTTCGATAAATCGCGATAGTGTCACTGTTAATTTAAGTTCTGCCACAATTTCCATCTAGATTTACTACCTTTATACAACTATCACTAGTAGAATAAATAATAAATAACATAAAATAAGCTCCGTAAACACTGACAAATCCACAAAATTTTAAATCAAATTCAAATGTGTCAAATGAATCGTCAAACAGAACTGTCAAGGATCCCCACCCTAGAGTGCTTTTATGGTGGTTTTTCCGCCCACCATGCATGAATACATGGATAGCATTATGCTCCTTCCTTAGTCTTCTTATTCAAAGGTAGCGACCGATGAATCACTCCCAAACATTCGTGGCGTTTACTATAGTTTACAGCTATTATAAGTTTGGGTAATATTTATATATAAAGAATGACAGCTCCCAACGAAAAGTTAGTTACACCACTAAATTTTATGTGAAAAACTCTATGGGACTCAGTTTTTACCTTTTCGATAAGTTATAACTAAGATACGAGGGGAGTTGCAACTCCCCTCCAAAAATGCAACAATATGAAATTCGCCCTGTATTCCAGGTACTAAGAAGACTAGTACAAATCTGTGTGCAGCATCTTAATTTCATTAAAAAATGACGTGAAGACCGCATCTTTGTACGTATCTCTACTAAGAAAAGAGGAACCCAGACACATGAAAATGAGATACATTGTGCATTTTTTCATTGGGGCAAGTGATTATGACAAAAATAATGTAGAAACATAAACCTAAGACTTTTTGAATGTTATAAAAGTAAATTGATTAATAATGCTTTTAGGTAGAAAAAGCTAAAATGGAGGAATTAATGCAAAAAGATGCGGATTCTGTTCTTTCGGAAGTAACTAAGAAAAAGTCTGAAGCTAGAAAGCAACTGTCCTTAATTAGTGCTTTAATAAAGTTAAGAAATGTCAGAGAAAATGTGGCAACACAGAGAGGTAACAATATTATATATTTTTTTAAATAATTATCGACATTCGAGTTATACATACAGGTGAGAAAGCGTTACTTGAAGATAGAAGAGCCTTCAACATTACTACTGAAAAATTAATCAAAATGTGGGAAAATACTCTCAAGGTCTATCTCACTGAAGAGCAGGGATTAAAGCTAATGCTGGGTATGTTTTGTACATTTCTTTTTGAAGTGAAACTTCTTTAAGCGCGTTGGGAGTAAAAAATTAAGGCCGTGACACTCGGCCTTAAATAATTGTGAAAACAAGCGACATCTGTTTAAAAAAGACAGCGATTTAAGGTTGTCGCCCACTAGACCGCGTCGCGGCGCGGCGCTGTGAAGAGAATATTTTCCGGCTGCGAAGGGACTGCGCCCACTATAGCGAGCTTTTGAAACGCGGAAACGCTATTTAGTTAGTCGAAGTGTTTTTTACTTACTGTAGTTTAGTTTTTAAAGCAATGAGTTCAAGTACGGACAAAAGCGTATTTTTTTGCTCTTCTAACAGAGAAAGAGCGGAAGAGCAGGTGAAGAAGAAAAGGAAAGTTTGGATTCATAAGATTAACAAAAAAAAGAAAGAAGTTTGGAGAATTTTACCATCTTTTTCCTGATTTAATAAAAGACAAGAGCGTTTTTTCAGTATTATAAAATATAAAGGAAACATTTTACGAACTCCTCAATTGAGGGTTTTAAAAGCAAAACACCGGGTAGGTTGTACTCACCATATTTTTTTCAGAAGAGACAAATTACTAATAATGCAATAATGAATCGCTTCTAGCTGGCGACTTTTGATAATTCTTATTTATTCTGATGTGTATATTAGTAATGTGATGAAAAACCCCTATTTTTTATATATTTAGGAAATTAGAATTTAAAAATTGGAGATTGTCACTTTTGTCAAAAAGTGGAGATTGCTGGTTTTGCTTCTACACCCCTAATTATATTAAATCATTGATAGAAAAACATTTCGTCCATCTGTTAAGGGAAGACTGAAAAAATATCATATTCCTTTATGAAAATCTGTTTGCCTAATTTACCTTTAAAAATACAATTCTACCATTGATACGAAATTCCGCGGCGCGCTTCGGCGCTGCGCGCTCTAATGTGCGTTGGTCTATTTAGATACATGGCAAGCAAACAAAAGAAATTTCCACATGGCGCCACGCCGCGTCGCGCCTCGGTCTAGTGGGCGACAACCTTTAGAGTGACAGTTTGGTTATGTAAAATTTAGAGTATCGATTTTGATTATGCAAAAGAAATACTGGTTGCCTAACGATTAATATTAATTTAAAAATAAATCCTCAACATGAATAATGAACAAAACATTTAAACAAAAACAGACCACAGACCACACAAAACAAATTGTTGGTTAGTAGCAGTTATTAGTAGTCAGAGATATAGATGTAGTAGTATTTTGGTTTAATGGCCACAGCTGCCACCCAGTCAAGTGATAGAATTATCGTTTTTTAATAAAATTGAGAAAAAAAACATAAAATGATAAAGAGCTAGAATAGTATACGGTTTTATATTAACTCTAATATTTTTGAAGTTTATAAAAAGCATTCATAAAAAAATATATATCTTTCAAATCCTTCAATTTAATAGCTGTTAATAAGAGGTTTCACTTCAAATATGCGCACATAGTGCATACACATTTTTTTAGGGTTCCGTACCTAAAGGGTAAAAACGGGAGCCCTATTACTAAGACTTCCTTATCCGTCCGTCTGTCACTAAGGTCTATTTTATGAACCGTTATAGCTAGACAGTTGAAATTTTCACTGATAATGTATCTATGTTGCCGCTATAAGAACAAATACTAAAAACAGAATTAAATAAATGTTTATAAATAAAAAAGTACTTTCACTAAACATTACCTTTTAAGTAAGAATTTTACATAGAATTTTTCAAGTCCTCGGTGGCCGCGTGGTTAAAGCGTTAGGACTTTACGCTGCTATGACGTTGGAGCTGTAGTAAGACAGGTTCGAATCCTAGTCAAGGCGACTTTTTTTTAATCTTTTTTTTTAATTATGACATTTATTTTTACTTTTTACAATTTATTATTGATTAATACAATTTTTAGTAGGTAATGTGTTTCTTCATTTTTTTTTAATTATTTATACGCGCATTCAAAATTTCAGCCAAATCGGTAAAAAAGTTTATAATAATATAGTGCCTAATGTTGTATAGATAATGAATGGTACGGAACCCTTCGTGCGCGAGTCCGACTCGGACTTGACCAATTTTTTATTTAAATAATAACATTTTCTTCTTTGTGTAGAAAAAACTCAAACTGAAGATTCTAGACAGGCAAAACTTAAAAAAGAAAAAAGATTAGTGGAAAAGTGGAAGGTAGTTTTGTTCAGTCAATTGCATTCTATGCCTTCAAGTCACCATACCTACTGGGCGTTAACGGCGGCCGAGCGAGATATGGACACATTTATAGCGATAAGGAAAAGTTGGGATACATTTTTGGTTTCACCAAATAATGAGAGCGGATCAAAAATTCCTATTGGATGGATACTGCCTGATCCGAATCCCAGCAATGAGTGGAGTCAATATTTAGATCACACTATGAACTAAAGGCGGTACTTTATTTTTAACAAATAACAATGTAGTTTTTTATTCAGTATAAAATATATTAAAAAGTTTATAGGAATATAACAGTTATAGGATGTTTTAATTCAATATAAAAATATACTTCATATACAAACAATAACACAGCCACACACAAAAAATGGGGTATGCTTTTTACCAGACCATTATATCCTATAGTATTTTTCGACGCTGAGCACGAATCCGCTATCACATCTCATTTTTTTCTAACCTCAAAAACTCGCTGAAAATCCATTAAAATTTAAAAAAATGTAGCAGGAAAAAATAAAAATTAAATTTTTCTTATGTATAACACTATAACCTAATGTAAAGAGGCCTGATAAACTCAAAACACCCCATCAGAATTGAGCTACCATGTCTCATATTTTTTCTAACCTCAAAAAAACTACCACAAGTCATGTTTCCGAAAATCGCACGGATCTTAACCAAAACCGGTATAGGGTTTTTTTTGGGTCGCTGATCATGAATCTGACGTTGAATTGGCAGAATTCAAAATGGCGGATCCAATATGGCAGATGCGCATTTCCAAAATCGCACGGATCTTAATTTTCTAATTCTTGAAGTTTGTTTGTTTTTTGTTGAACTTAAATTATTGCCCTTTATGATTTTAATTTAATTGTTTTAATTTTCAAACTGAGCTTGCCATAATGTTATCTGTGATAGAAATAACTTTTTAACCTTTTTCTGAAATTTTTTTTAAACTTTTTAATTTCTTTTCTGATTGTATTTTATATTTTTGGACCTCTGTATGACTATTGGAATTTGTTTATTATTCTGATTGTAATTATTTTAGCTTTCTTGGGCCTGAAGATGGGAATTGTTAAATCCCGAAACATGTCGCCCCCCTTCTTTTTTTGAAGCAAATTAAATTTAAATAAACATGTTAAAAGATTGTGAGTTATTTCTACCCCTCAGAGGTTTTACTTTGATATGTACTCACAATGGGTTGGAGAACGTTTTGTTTTTAATTTGTTATTTACTAATAATGAGAAATAATTACCCTTTGAGCTGCAGGAGATTTTTTCCATATTTATAAAAATTATAATTAAATTTTTTTTTGCCAAAAATATTTTTAGGTTATTTTTATATCATAATAAAAAAAAATTAGGTATATTAAAATATAAAATATTGTTATCTTTTATTAAGGGGAGTTTACACGGTGCGAGCTAGCGGGTCAGTTGAGAAGGCCAGTAACTATATGCGAGCTACTGTAATCGTTTAAACATATCCGCCGAGTTACTGTTCCTGGGCAAGTATGAGCAGTTACTGAATGCAAGTTACTTCAACAGTTTTTGATTTTACTGGCCACTTGCCTTCCCCCACCAGATATTAATCCAGTAGTTCGCATCCTATTTGCCTAATTTTAACGAAGAGTACAGTACCTGGCTAGACAGTTCAGTTGCCGTTAACGCGACTTTGACGATACGATTACGGCGAAGTTCTTAAAATGTCTGAACGCTGGAGCAGCCACCAAAACATAAAATTTGTTAACCTTTATAGAGACCAAGAAAATTTATGGATAATATATATTAATAATATATTATCCTGATAATCTAGCTCTTTCATAATCATATTTGAAGCTCCTGTTGATTATTTTGCAACCATTTTCTGACCCAAATCCGTTTTATTCTTCTTCTTTTCAGATCACTTTCAATTTCTTCTATCAATTTTTCACACAACATTATGGAAACACATTGTATTACTTTGCGAATCGCATTTTTTCGTACTTTCGACAATGTACTCTTTTTCAAGACTTACCAAATGACTGCCCAGAAAATGACAGTTTATACAGCTACTTTACTTCGTGTAAATATGTAAGCAGCTGTTCATTTTGTCTCCCACTCGCCAAGTTCAGCTACTGTCTACTGGCTAATCCAGCAACTTGTACTGTGTAAACTCCCCTTTAGTAATGTAAGAAAATACATTTTCTGGCGGTGAAAATCGAATTTTCCATTTTTGTCCACTATCCCCTATACTTCAAAACACCGTGTGTGGGGTTGGCAAAATTCGAGATGGAGCACACTGTTCTTGAGATCGACCATATGGGATCTGCCATCTTAAATTTTGCCAACCCCACGTCAGATTCGCGATCAATGACCCATTTGACTTCAGACGATTTTCGAAAATCATGACTCGTGATAGGTTTTTTGAGGTTAGAAAAAAAATGACACGCTAGCTCAATTCTCAGGCCCATTTACATTAGGTTATAGTGTTATACATAATATTTTTTTCCTACTCATTTCCTACATAACAGTTGTCGCATCTCAAATATGAAAATTATTTTTTGTTATTGGATATGCTGAAAAAATTCTGCGTAAACTTTATTTTAAAACTTCAATAAAATTTTGTTCAATTTGTTGGAAACTTTTTCGCACACCCTGTATAACAGTTTTGGGATGACTTAATTTAATTTTAAAAAATATACATACTTATACTAATACATACTATACTCATATACAAATAATAATAAACATAAAAATATTTTCCTACTCAATATATAAAAAATAATTTAAGTTTTTGATTTTACTGGTGAAGATTTTATAATTTTTCGTTTTGAGCCTCTAGAATGAACCCAACAAACTGCAACGTCTGCACCATTATCTTTTAAATATTTTAACCAGAGTAACTGATTAACAGCTAGTCTGTCATTTTCACTCTTAACTTCTACAAATTTACAATGTTGTTTTTCAATATTCCATATTAACAAATCTGGCATTCCACTTCTGTACATTCTTAGATCTTCAATTAGTCTCGCAAATATACTAGTTAATAGTTTTCTTCCAATAACATTGATCAATTTTGGAATAATATCTAAACTTCTTATAGCATTCTGTATTAGACCAAATATTGAGACTTTATAGCAGTGATTTTTCCAATTATTTTTTGCAAAATCAATCAATTTGTCAACAGACCAACATGATATTTCATTTAGTCTTTCTTTAAACAAGTCTTTCCTGTTGTCATAGAAATATTCAGTAAAAATGTCCAAAGGGCCTTGTTGAATTGGCTCAATAAATATGGCTGGTATGTTAATTGATGGATTATAGATAATATCCCAAAAAAACAGTAATAAAAGACCATTCACTAGTGAACTCTCACAATGGATGCCTTCTGGATATCCATTGTCAGCATAGTAATTTAAAGCAACTTGTTCAACTGTCTGAATAGTAATCTCGTCAGACGATACGGTGATATAATTCTTCTTAACTCCTGTTTGCTCTAAATGGCGTATTGAAGTTGAGTCAATCTGCTCTTGAGGAATTTCATCCTCTTTAATTGTTCTAGGCATCAATTGGGCTATCTTGTCATGATACAGTTGATCAATTTTATATTTTTTACTCTGTTTTAATTTTGTTCCAAGTTTTGCCAGCTCATAAATTGATAAAATGTTTAATTTGTAAGCCTTATTTTCCAATACCTCTATCAATAACTTGGCAGCCTAAAAATAGAATATTAATATTTTTTTTTCACACATTTAATACAACTTACTTTTTCATAAGAAATCTCATTTAAGTGCCGCATATGTAACCAAATAAGTTTTTGATACCAAAACCCTATATAACGTGATTCTGGGAAACGTTGAATTAAGTATTCCAACCATTTCTTGGCTTCGTTTGGAAAACCATCTTTTTTAGTATAAATATGATTACAACATAATGAAAGAATTTTAGAATAGACATGTACAGCTCGAAATTTATATAAATGTGGTGCAACTTTATCTCTTTCTTCTAATTTTGATTGTTGTAATTCTAAATATGCTTGATTTCCAATATTCAAAATTCCTAAAAACATCATTAAAAAGTCAATTAGTGACTCTTAGGCTTCATTTAGAACCTCGCAATTACTGGAATAAATTGGTGGTTTCAATTAGCCTAGAAGTTTGTTCCTTTAATTTCAATGTAAGCATTCAGAACGTAAAAGTTAGTGGTAGACATTTTCAATTAGTAGAAAAAATTGTCAAACTTTTAGCTTCATTCAGAACCTCGAAATCAGTGGAGTAAATTAGTAGTTTCAATTAGCCGTAGAAGTTTGCTCACCTAATTTTAATGTAAGCATTCAGAACGTCAGAATTAGTGGTAGTAATTTTCAATTATTGGAAAAAATTAACAAACTTTTGACTTTTCCACTAATTATACTTCAAAATTTGCGAGGAATATCATTTTGGCCTTTAATTACCACCCGTCAAGAAAATGTTTGGCTAGAAATCAAAAGTTTATTGTTTTATAAGCTAAATATTATGCTTTCTCTATGGATACAACAGACTACCCCAAGCTGTTGCTAGGATATTTTATTAATTTTAATTGTGTTTTTTAGACATTGTGAATGATCGTAAACTAAAAAGTATAAAGTGTAATTGAAACCATTAATTGGGAGGTTCTGAATGAAGCTTTTAACTTTTCCACTAATTATACTTCAAAATTTGCGAGAAATGTCATTTTGGCCTTTGATTGATTATCTTTCGTCAAGAGAAATTGTGGTTAGAAATCAAAAGTTGATTGTTTGATAAGCTAAATATTGGGCTTTCCCTATGGAGGCAACTGACTAACGTACCCAAGTAGCATTTTCACGACTTGCGACCACATGTTTACTAAACACAACGTTGGATTAGTTACAAAAAATAGTTAGCTCCCTACCATGGGTATTAAAATAAATTTAAACGTTTTTATAACGTTGTGCCGACGTTGGACTAGTGCTACAGCAAAGTAGAAGCTTCTGCGACGTCGAATAAACGTTGTCTTGTAACCTTTTTTTGCTTAAGTGATCTTTAGGTGATTCGGACAACGTAGTTACAACGTTGGACAATATAGAGTTTTCCGACGTCAGTTTCAGGACCTATTCCAACGTTATGCAAACGTCGTCTGTTTTACTAATTCCAACGTTGTTTAGATTTCCTTATTCTTACGTTGGTAGGACGTCGAGTCACTACCTTTTTGCAACTGTATTGAACCATAACCTTAAATTTTAAATTTTCACTTCATTGTTCTGTTCAGTCAGACAGTTCAGTGCTGTTTTTGTTTTTATAAAAAAAACTTAATTAAAAAGGGACATAAGAAAGGTACATATAAAACTAAATTTAAATATACATCGACATATATTACCGATAGTTTATCCACTCCCTCGTTTATTTATATTATAGAGGTCGGCACAAGCTAGACTTTAGGATGACTAAATTAGGCAATCTTGCGACTAGTATACTACCTGTTAAGGCCGAACTGCGACTTTATTAGTCCAGTATGCGACTACTCGAACTACTCCATCTTAATCTCAAAAACAACAAAGTGAAAGCCGCCATGTTGTTAAATAAGAAAATGTTTCGTTCCTAAAATAGCAATTCCTGCTTTTTGAATACATTAACTTGAAATATTTGACCCTAAAAAACACGCGGAAACAATTTTTTCGACTGCGAATAAATTATTTCATTTACTAAAAAAAAAAAAAATTCAAGAAAATTTTTAAAACTTCTTTAATTTTAAGGCCCATTAGTATTTTTCAAAGTAGAAACAATACATTTATCAATAAAGTTGTTTGCGTTTAACTTTTTTGCCTTGGGTAACGAGTTACAGAGTCGGTTAAAGTGTTTCAATAATTGTGATCTTCAAACATCCTCCACACTTAAATACTTTTGTTTTGTTTTCCTTCACTGCCATCTGACATATGTCTCTAACTAAATCATAAAAATAATATTTTTACTATAATTATCCCAATTTAGGATAAAACGCGACTTAGACGCCATATTAGTTTTGTATTTCTGTGAATTAGGATTTTAAACAACGTTGCAGTTTGTACTAAATTAGGCTTCTAGCCAACGTCGGTATCCAACGTCGTTTCGACCCAAAAATGATTCTCCAAACTAGTGCAGACTAGGGTTGGCACGAGGTTGCGCCCCGACGTTTGGTCGCGTGACACAACGTTGTCCCGACGTCCAAATGCTGCTTGGGTAAGCTGTTGCTAGGATATTCTATTAATTTTAATTCTGTTTTTTAAACATTGTGAATGATCGTCAACTAAAAAGTATAGTGTAACTGAAACCACTAATTTATTCCACTAATTGCGAGGTTCTGAATGAAGCTTTAGACAATTTCATATCTAGATATAGAAAATTTTTAACACAACTTATCATTAAACGTTTGTTGAATGGTTGTTCTTTCTTTCTAATTTTTTTTCAGTTTCTGGCACTTTAAACAGAAATAACTAAATTTGCCTATTTTATGTAGAATTCTATTTTGCAATTCTAAGTGAAATTCTAAACACATTTTTGTGTATGTCATATGCCAAATTTAGTCATTTATGAAATATGTAATTTCAATTTTATGTCATAAATTCCAAAACGGGTTTTGGAATTTAAATGTAAAAAATGCAAAGGTTTTGACACACTAGATCTTCTGCAATGTAGTATTAAGGATAAGGAAAGGATTATAAGGGATCAAGATCAAATAATCCAGCTAATGCGAGAAAAAATATATTTACTTGAGAAAGAAAGTAGCATTTCAAAGAAGACCTATTCTGATGTGCTGATCAATAAAGTAAAGGATAGGGAAACGATTAGCATTCCACCTATAATAGTTAAACCAAGGGAACCACAAGATCCTAAACAAACGCAGGATGAAATTAAACGGAAAATAAGTCCTAGTGAGATTAAAGTTGGAATAAAGAATATATATACTGCAAAACGAGGAAATGTAGTTGTTAAGTGTTCTACTAATGAGGAAACTGAAATTTTGAAAGCGGCAATGGAAGAAACGTTGGGTAATAACTATGAGGTGCAAATACAGAAATTGAGAAACCCTAGAATAAAAGTGGTCGGTTATAAGGGAGAACTAAATAAGATAGAAGAAGTGGAAGAATCTATAAGGAGACAAAATCACTGGACAGGCGAAAATGATACCTTTACTGTGACTTATATGAATTACATAAGAAGTAAGAAAACAACAACAATATTTGCGGAATGTTCTGCTACGTTGTTCCAAAAAATAATTAATTTTAAAAGAATTGCGATTGGATGGGATTGATTTCCAGTATACGAAGACCTGATGATACGAAGATGTTATAAGTGCCAAGGATTTTACCATAAGGACTCTGATTGTAATAATAGAAGAGCATGTGCCAATTGTACTGAAGATCACGATACACAGGCCTGCAATAGTGAATCAAAGAGATGTCAGAATTGTTTTCTTGCGAATTCTAAATACAAAAAAATTACGATGTATGTCACGCATCTACTGACGTTAACTGTCCCACTTACAAGTATCACCTTAACGCCTTAAAAAGTAGCTGTCCTACAAGACATAGAAGAGGAGCTTTTTGAATCAACAAGGCTGGAACCGGACAACATACAACTTTCGGTAAATTTATCCCATAAGTTATTAAATATCTTACATATAAACATACGTGGAATTACTACTAACTTTGATAGTCTCTTAGTGTTCTTAGAAACATACAAACTGGATTTTTGTGACATTATAATCCTGAGTGAGTGCCACCGGTTTGACATTCTTAATAATTTTAATATTCCAAATTATAATTTGTATTATAATAGAGCAAACTATAATGCTTTTGATGGTCTTATTATATATACTAAAACATCTTTAAATCCACAATATAAAAACTATAAATTGTTACAATCAGGAGCCACAATTACTAATATATTAGTAAATTTGAACAATAACACCTATAATATACACGCATTATATAGATCCCCGTCATGTAGTATACCTTTCTTTTTGGATGATTTGGACTTGTATTTTAAAAGAAAAGTGAAACCTTGGATTACAAATGGCATAATAGTTTCCATAAAGAAAAGAGACAAATTAAAAAAGGAACTTTTAACAAATAATTCTCCTCAAGAGATTCTTAAATACAGAGATTATAGGAACAGATTGAATAAATTAATAAAGTTTACAAAAAATGAATATTATAATAATAAAATCAATGAAAGCTCACATAATATAAGGAAAATTTATAATATTATAGCGGATGCCACAAATGAAGCTCCAAAAAAAAATACATTAAACCTGTTAAAGAATGGCACTACAGTTGTCAAGGATTCTAAACAAATTGCTGACTTTTGTAACGATTATTTCATATCAATCGGGAAGTATCTTTGTAATAGAGTTACTACGACTAAGAGAACAAATATTGCTCTCAATAATAGACCTTTTTCAATGTATTTAAAACCAATGTACCGAGAGGAGATTATTAAATGCATCAATAGTCTAAAAAGTCGAAGCTCTTCTGGTTTTGACAATATCTCTGCCAGGATAATAAAAATGTTATATTTTTACGTCGCTGGCCCTCTTGTTCATATAACGAACTTAATATTTAAAAAGGGAACAGTACCTGATACCTTCAAGGTAAGCATAGTAACTCCTATATATAAAGAGGGTAATAAAGAAGAAGTAAGTAATTATAGACCGATAAGTATTATATCAAACCTTAAAGTATTTGAAAAGTGTCTTAAAGAACGACTAATAATTTTTTTTGTTGCCCATAATTTGCTTTCTCCCAACCAGTACGGTTTCGTGCAGGGTTCGAGTACGGTAGATGCGATGTTCCAGTTAGTTAATGCAGTAACTCAGCATTTGGAGGGTGGGAGGAAGTGTCTTGCTATGTTTCTTGACCTAGCTAAGGCGTTCGACACGGTGTCCCATTCTATTTTATTCCAGATACTTGAGTCCTATGGGGTAAGGGGCATAGTTTTGGACGTGTTTAAAAGCTATCTTTCCAACAGAACTCAGTGTGTCAGAATTGGTAATATGTACAGTTCTCAACTGAAAATTGAATGTGGGGTGCCGCAGGGTACGGTGTTGGGCCCAATTTTGTTTAATATATACATTAACGCCTTGTGTGAACTTAATGTGGACGGACAAATAATTGCATATGCCGATGACACGGTCTTAATATCTGCTGGCGACACATGGGAAATGGCTGAGCGAAATTTAAAGTCCGGATTTGCTGAGATTAAAAATATGTTAGATGCTTGTAAATTGACATTGAACTTTCAGAAAACTACATATTTAGCATTTTCTATTACATCGGCAAATAGGCCTAATTTTCATGAAATTAAAATGGAGGACTTGGATGTGTCATTTAGAGAGGTAGATTCGATGAAATATCTTGGAGTGGTAATAGATAAACATTTAAAGTGGAACCTACATGTGTCATATTTGAGCAAAAAAAATAGGGTCTAATACACAGATTTTTCATCTTGCGACAATTTTTAAATAAAAAACTACTCTCAAATCTCTTGTAGAACAACTGCTTAGATATGGTATTCTAGTCTGGGGTGGTATGTACAGTGTTAATTTCCAGCAGCTTAGAGTTGCACAAAACTATGTTGTTAGAATAATCAAAAGGAAATCAAAATTGGCTTCAACTCAAGATCTATACTGTGCCGAAGTGTGTAGTGTTAAAACCTTATATGTCTTGGCCGTATGCAATTTCATGCAGAGCCAAAATGTGCCTAAACTATCTCACCAGTACAGCACTAAAAGTAAAGTTAATATTAATGTCGCCATTCCTCATTGTAAAAAAAATCTTTTACATCGTTTTGTTACATACATTGGACCTAAACTTTACAACTGCATTCCTTCAGAAATAAAGAAGCTTAAAACTAAATACAAATTTAACACAGAATTAAAACAATATATTTTTGTAAACCCCAGGATATTTCACGATATCTTTTAATTTCACGATGTCTTTGATTCCACAAAATTTCTTAATTTCACGTTGTCTTTTAATTATGTATCCTCCGGGTATTGTCTGTATGACATTTGGATTGTTGGCGGAATTATTGTGGTTTGTAGATTTATTTATTCTAGATTTGTGTATGCCATGAACATTAGATTGTTATAGTGTTATGATGTATTATTGTTTTGGATTAATTTATACACACGTATATTATTATTAATAATTGCGTTATTATATGTTCTTATTAGTGTTAATGTGCAACTTACGCAAATACATTTGTTATTATACACATACAGGTGCTTTTTGCACCTAGGTGTATTTAGAAATTTTGAATTTATTGTAATAGGTTAAGATTATTGTTAAGTAAAATTGAACATAGATGTATCAATGTAAAATATACAATAAATTATATTAGAAGAGGTAGATAATACCGCATGATCTAAAAAAACGGCGTCTGGTTGGCTTGGAAATGATAATCGATGTTATCATTCCCCATATAATTTTACATATAAAATGACAGCAATCTTCATTTCATAACCATCGTTCAAGCCGTTTTTTTTCGATCATATTTTAGAAAGATATGTCTAATACCACCACAAATCTGCTACTAGAGCAGACGCTATTTTGATATTTTCGTATGCCTAAATTAGAGTAATGGCACTACAAAATATTGCCTTTTTTATTTAAGCGGAAGTACAATATGACCGAAAAAAAAAAACGGCGCCAGTGATGGCTATGAAATGCAGATCGCTGTCATTTTATATGCAAAATTGTATGGGGAGGGTCATCGATCGCGTCATTTCCAAGCCAACTTGACGTCCTTTTTTTTGATCATGGGTAGCTACTAAGTTATTAGCTAACTAAATTTCTAACATTTAATTAATTATTCTTATATATAATTTAATTTTTTTTAACCTACCAAGCAACAAACTGAAATTTTGTGATTAACATATTATTATAGAAGTTTCAAGAGAAACATACTTTTATCAAGAATGCTATAGTTATTTCAACATAAAATTCTCCAAAAAAAATCCTTTATGGGTATTTCGCCACTGCACTGCAAGAAAATCTACAAAATAAAATAGTTATTTTTTGTAAAGACTTCTGCGTTAAACCTAAACGGACACTGCTTGTTAGAAGTTATGTTTACAGTTATACAAATTTGCCTAACAAAAATGCTTAACATTTCGGAAAGTTTATCTCTTTCCGTCGTCGGAAGCAAAAAAAATACAAAGAATAAAGAAAAAAACTATTTAAAATATTTAAATTCAACTATTCGAGAACGCTTTACTTTTTTAAAACAGATACGTGTACAAGAAACCGTTGACGTTCTGTTAAAATGACATTATATATCAAGTTAAACTTCAAAATTAACAATTATTACCTGATAACAATTACTTAATAAGGTAAAACTAAAAAGCCCCAAACTTTCTTTATGATTATTTTTAAATTTTACGTATGTTATGTTCTTTAAAATCAAAGAAGCGATTGCCATACATTACTAACATCTACAGATGCATGAGTAATACATTTATTTTTATTAGATTGAATTAAAAAAACTCTTTTATTTTTCTTTTAGAGACTATCGCTTCTTTCATTATAATTTTGGCGTTATTAAAATTTATTCTGTGCCCTGTGTCCCATGAATGCTGACAAATCTTAGATTTGTGAAAATCTCCCTTTCTTAAATAATCTTTACGTTCTTTAATTCTAACCATTTAAGGGTCTAGATAACTATTAAAAAAATAACTATTTTATTTTGTAGATTTTCTTGAGTGCAGTGGCGAAATACCCATAAAGGGTTTTGTTTGGAGAGATGTATCCGCCACATAGGTAATACGTATATTTTTATAACATAAAATTTCTCTAATATCTAGAAAACTTACCTAACTTAGTTTCCTTTATTTTACTTAATGTGTCATCCAATAATAACTTAACTTTTAATGCTTTCCCATAATCTAAAAACTGCTGTCTGCTCACAAAGACAGGATAATTTTCGATAGAAACTTTCGGAAAGACAATTTTATCGTAAACTATACTTTGGAAGTATTTCTGGATATCTTGAAACTCTGGATTAACGAAAGTCGAAAGTAAACAAACGTTAAAAAATGCATCACAAACTTGCTCACTAATTTTAAAACTAAATCCCATTTTATTTTCTATAGCATTCAGAATAACTTCTTTGAACGATTTTGATCCTGGTAGAGTTCTTTGTCTACTTGCAACTTGCAAAATTAATTTAACATTCTCTGGTTTCGATTTAATTGGTTTTATTTTCAGTTTTATCATAATTTCCTTAATTTTATCATGTCCAAGTGTATTTAATAATTCTAATAAATTTTCCACTTTATTGTACATAGTATCAACAAATTCCTCCTGTTTTAAGTTCTCAAAAATATCGATTATGTCTTTGTCATCGTTCACAATAAGATTAGCTTTTTTACTAAACGAAAATATATTGTACCACATTTTTTTCCAAACAAAAAGCTTCATAACAACATATTTTCTATTATCCTCTAAAGAAATAAATCTCTTTAAAATTTTGTATTCGGCCTCATTTAAAAGTTTTCTCTTGAAGCAGTTTTTTGAAACTCCCTTGAATAGTTTGATTAATTCATCCAATTGCTTAATCTACAAAGAAAACATCTAATATCAAATGCTAGTACTAGAATTACGGATTACAAAGATATTATCATTAATTAATTTGAACTGAGTAAGTAGATAAGTATTTTATTATACTTAATTTCAAGCCACGCAAGTACCATACAATCGAAAAAACAGCGTCAGAGTTCGGCGAAGGATACTGTCTTGGCACATATATGGCGAATATTGTCGATCATCATATCCAAGCCATCTTGACGCCGTTTTTTTATCATATGATATAATGGTATATCATGATGTAATATCGAAACTTTACTAGAGAGAGTTTCTAGTTCTATGTACACAATAAAATGACGTTTACTAAACTACAGATTAGAGGTCTGCGTCTTTAAAAAAATAGATGTAATACCACAGCTTATTCAGTACACCACAACAGGCTTTCGATAGACTATCTATGGAGGGTAGATAGATCGATAGACTACCTACATACTTTCACCAATAAGGGTAAGTCAATCGACAGTTGAAATGAGATAATGAAGTTTAAAAAACAGGATTTAAAAGAAATGTCAATTTGAAATTAGGACATAATGTATGTATAAACATAAAAATCAAAATAAATTAAATAGTGGTTTCTCTGTTCCGATTAAGAGATACCGTCTCCTACGTCACCTTTTTGTCCTACAATGGCCGACTTAAATTCCGGTTTATCAGTGCCGTTCTAATTTTATTCAAAACGTGTAAAAATATGATGTAGGATAGACTCAATAATTTGTTGTTTTATTTTACGTTATCAATATATTATGTTATTAAAATTGTTATAAAAATAGATAAGTTATAAAAATAGATAAGTTATATTAAGTTATAATAATTTATTAACACAAATACCCGATACGCTCCTGAAACAGGTAAGTCAAATTGATGTATCTGTTACGCTCAATAGTCGAATTCGGGAATGCCCGAAAAAAAACGCAAATCTAATTTTGAGCAAGGAACATTTCCCAAACCCGAAAAACCAATTAACCAATGAATTAACACCCTCCAAATAACCACGCTAACCAACTCGCTAAATAACTAAACCAATCCAACCAAAAAGAGTGAAACCAATGCAATCAAATCACACTATAAGCAAAAAAAAAATAATCGAATAAAATTGATTTTTCGGGTTTGGGAAATATTCCTTGCTCAAAACCAGATTTGCGTATTTTTCTCGCATTAATTTGCGTATTTTTCTCGCATCTCTATTAATTGCCCGAATTCGACTATTGAGCGTAATATATCTAAATTCTTTGACATCTTTGACAAGTAGTAAATAAAAGCAAAAATGCAAGAAAAAATATATAATTAGTTAATTTTAAGTGAATTTCATAAATGATCGGTTTACTACACGAAGTTATTTTTCCATTATTTCCTTCTATTTTTGACCGAGATCTACCGCACGCTACACAACCAACTATTTTACAATCTTTCTCGATAAATCGCAATAATGTCGCTATTAATTTATGTTCTGCTACAAAATTTTCTTGTAGATTAAATAATAAAAAACATAAAACTCAGTAAAGACTGACAAATTTTCAAATCAAATTCAAATGTGTCAAATGAACTGTCAAACAGAACTGCCAAAGATCCCCACTCTAGGGCCCTCTCTCCGTCTACCATGCATGAATACATGGATAGCATTATACTCTTTCCTAAAGTATCGATGGACAGACTACACTGTTTTGTAAAGACACGTATTAATGTAAGAAAATATGTATTACCTGTAATTGCTTTCCCTCTTTAGGATTTAATTTTTTTAAACATTTTGGACTAGTTGGACTTTTCTGCGGAGATATCCTGTTAGATTTATTCGTCGAATCTGTGCTATTAATTTTCCTCGGTGTTAATAATCCTAAAACCATATATAATTTAAATATAAATGTTATAGTACGAGGAAATATAAACGGGGCACCTATTTAAAAAATATATCTTATAAGTTTCTCTGATACATTTACAAATATTATTTTTTATCTTATTGTTTTTGGAATCAGATGCATTCTTTAGATACAGGGACAAAATATAATCAACCAAACATTTTAGTATATAAAATAATTGGAACCGATGCGACGGCCTTCCTAAATCCGTAGTCTGAACTTTAAAGTGTAAGAAAATGGTAGAAATATCCTAATAAACATGTTAAACAGGGGCAAAAAGCCTGCTAATATGTTTGTTCTATGCAGTATTAATTATAATTTTTCAATTACCAAGAATTTCACAATTAATTCGTCATTGCTGTAATTCCCCATATAATATTCAAAATCGTATTAGTGTGCCCGCTTAATTCAAACCAAACTATCCTACGTTTCTTTGTAAGTGGTAGCATGATACAAAGAAAACAAGGTATGATACTGCGCAGGTTTGGTCACTACCTCACAGCTGCTAACTGCACCATTGCGCATTGGTCGTCAAGATCCGCGCACCAATTTCAAATCGTCAAACTGGTGACACTAATGTGAAAATTACTTTTCAAATGTCAAGCTCAATGATTTGACATAACTTTTTAGGTTATGTTATGTTCTAATTTTTCCCTATTTTTTTTTATTAGTGGCAATTGAACAATATGGATATTTTTTGTATGGTGTATGACGTCACAGGTTATATGCGCAAACTGAACCAAATTGGAGCCGCTATCGATCATACCTTGTCTTCTTTGTATCGTGGTTCAATAGCATACTAAATGAATTTTGTTGTTTCCTCCCTGCTATGTAAAAGCAATATAACATTATAACTGCTTTTTAAGTCTGGAACTACACTAAAAAGCGTCTTAACGAAAACCAGACCGGAAAATTTTAAATAAAAAAGAGTGTATTTAAGGTACCAGTGAATGCGGTGAGTCGTATATTACGGAGACAAAACGTCGTAACGTAAATGTACGACTTAACCAATATAAAAACAATACACAAAGAGGTGAAACAATGAAGTCAGGTAGTGGAGACTATGTATGGCTCAAACAGAAAAAAAATAAAGAGTTCGTAGGCTCGGGTTGTGTTATATCAAGCAACAATAACATCTTTGGCGATACAAGTATGGAAATTTCCACAATATAGCGTTCGTTTATCAAACGAACCAATGCTGACACAGGGGACAACCAACAATTTTTTTTTTAAGAAATCAACCCGCCATAGACGTACGCTTTGACATTGGTTATAATAAATGGAGCATCTAACCCGACTTCGTTTTCTTTATTTAGATAAACAGTATTTCATCTTTTCAACGAGAATTTACAATTACATATTACTTTTAAAATACCTTTATAGTTATTGCTTAATATCTATCTATATATTTACCTTTCTGACCTGCAGTGGTATTATTTTTGGTACTTTGTGATTTTGAACATGATGGTACTTGATCATCTTGTTTTGTATTTGTTGGGATATTTTCGGCAGTATTAACGTCAACTGGAGCTGAAACAGATTTATCTAAATTAGTCTTACTAGGTGATACATCAGACAGTCTTGTTTTGCCTGAAAATGACGTTTCGCAGAATATAAAAAAATTGTAAACACTCGTTATAATATAGTAATAAAGAATATTTTTAAATTTTAAAAACGAACGAGAAGAGCTTAAAACAGTAAAATTGGCATTCTACAGGGTGGTCCGAACTGTATTCCGGAAACTTCGGCAGCATATTCTTCAGATAAAAATAAGTTCGTGTAATTGTATGTTTCAAAATGCTTAGTTTCAGAGATACAAGGTGTAGAAGTTTCATTTTTATTTCGATTTTTTCCAAATAATGTATGAAGTAACGTCAATATTTAGATAAAAATTGGTATCTGGGAGTTTTTTGACATGAAAAATTTGATTTCGATGTCAATTAGCCTACATCTAGAGGGCTATTTTTTTCATTTACTAGTTTATACAGGTACGGACGAAAAGTTATTACTCTTCAAAACAGTTAAAACACATGTAGGTGGTGCCCCCTACAAATACGAGCCATACTGACATCAAAATCAAATTTCTCTTGTCAAAAAACTCCCAGACACCAATTTTCATCCAAATATTGGCGTTACTTCAGAAATTATTTGGAAAAAATCGTAAAAAAATGAAACTTTTACACCCTGTATCTCCAAAGCTAAGCATTTTAGGACATACATTTATACGAACGTTTTACTTATTTTTATCTACAGAATATGCTGTCGAAGTTTCCGGAATACAGTTCGGACCATCCTGTATATCAAAGCTAGTAAAATAAGTCTATAATTTTAATCGCTTTATGAATATTTATGTTGATAATGGTGTAGGGACATGTCTTAGGGTGCGGCCACGCTTGCGATCCATTTATCGCGAGCGATATATCGTGGACGACTAAATGACAAACAAATATTTCAAACACATTAAATATCATTGCAGTAGCCATACCAAAAAAGTCGTTCAGCGATAAATCGCTTGTTTGTCGTTTAGTCGTCCACGATTTATCGTAAGAGACAGATCGTTCACGACAATATAGCGGGTAACTTGTCCAATCTATCCATAGACGAGAGATTCGAATATCAGTTTTCGACATGTCATACAAACCTTTGAATAAAAAGGTTAAGGAAGGAGCATATAAAAAATAGCTCGGGTGCAACGGGGGCCAAAAATGACCGACTTAAATTCTGGTTTATCAGTGCTGTTCTAATTTTAATCAAAACGTGTAAAAATATGTGACTTGTTGTTTTATTTTACGTGGTTAATAAATAATGTTGGTAGTTATTAAAATTCTTACAAAAATAAAGGTAAATCGCAGGTAAATCATATCGACGTATCTAAATTCTTTGACATCTAATCTTTGACAAGTAGTAAATAAAAGCAAAAATGCACAAACAAATGTATAATTAGTTAAACCTAACCTAACCTAACAGTCCTCTATTTCAGAGGACACAATCCTCTTTTTTACACACCAACCTTAACATCTAAAAAAATGTCGTCTATCGCAACAATGCTTAATAAAATTGCTAATCTGATAACAGCATATCTTGCTAGGATGCGTTAAGAAAGTAAAAAAGACCATTAACCGTATAAAGTTTACATAACTTTTGGGTAAATTCTTGACATTTGAGCGAGGTTTAAAAATTTGTTCGCCTGACCCGTTTTTTTACACCCGCGTCTTCTATTTTTTATTTTGAAAGTTGACAACCCCAGGTTTACTACACGAATATATTAGATTTAGTGATATTTTTTTCATGTACACTTTGACTGACATCGTCCAATTTTTTTTTCTAAGATTTCCTTCATTTTTACATTTTGAAATATTTAAAGCGAACAACGAAACTACGAACTACCGAGGTACTGAAGTACCGAACTACCCCTAATTTATAGTCTATGTGTCTGGTGTATAAGCTATATTATTGTAAAGTTTCATTAAAATCCATTCAGTAGTATTTGCATGAAAGAGTAACAAACATCTATACATACAGACAAACTTTCGCGTTTATAATATTAGGAAGGATATAACAGGTGTTTTTTAAAACAGTTGTGAGTTGTGACTCATTAAAGGAACCAAAAAAGATCCATACCAGAAACATCCATTTCCATAGTGCTATTATTTGTTAACTCCATCCTTTTCTTTGGGGACACTGAACTCGGCTCTTCCGTATCATCAAATATAAGTTTTCTTTTTGACGTTAACGATCTAGCATATTTCTTCCTGCTAAACATGTTTGTTTTGGTTAATAAATATTAATACATATTTTAAACAACTACCACATATAAAAGATGATAATTGAGTTTAATATAATCATAATTATTATGAAATGAACAAAATTCTTACTTCTTTAGTGTATATTAATAAATAATATTTTCTTGCCTTTAGCTGTGTATTTCTTTCTAATTTCGAAAAATCGAAAGTAGGGAAAAAAATAAAAAATTAAAAGAAAAATTGTTTTGCTTGTCGTAAAGGGGGAAACCAAGCTCCATTCCCCATAGTTTCAGGGCCTATCCTTCATCAGGTGGGTTGTCCAGGGGCTGGTTCTCACCGATACAGCAAGCAAAACCTTTCCAATATCAATACTCGATGTAGTAAAGTGTCGGTGAGATATTAGCGCATCTCCCGTCAAAAGATAGTAAAGAGCGTTTTTCGGCCCGCTCCTTTACTACATCGTGTATTGATATTGAAAAGGTTTTGCTTGCCGTATTGGTGAGAACCAGCCCTTGGACAACCCACCTGATGAAGGGTAGGTCCAGAAACCGATTGTGGGGAGTGGAGCTTGGTTCCCCCCCTTTACGACAAGCAAAACAATTTTTCTTTTTATTTTTTATTTTTTTCTCTACTTTCGATTTTTCGAAATTAGAAAAAAATACAGTTAAAGGCAAGAAAATATTATTTATTAATATACACTACAGCTGTAAGAATTTTGTTAATAACAATAGCTCCCGTATATAGCGTTTAACGCCTTGGGAGTAGCAACGTACAGCTTGCAATACTAGAGCCGTTCGGTATACAAGGAAGGTAATGTGGCTAGCACTACGCTTCAACCGCCTATTATTACCTCAGGATTGTGAATCCCAAGTACTCATTTAAGGCTGAGTCGACCTAGGTACCCAAACTATTTTTATTTTAATAAAAATAGTCGGCTGATGCAATGCCGGGTGTGGGATTCGAACCCACTACCTTGAGATTGGTAGACGAGAGCCTGTACCTCTATGCCACCGGGCACCTTTAAGAATTTTGTTCATTTCATAATATTTGAGCGGGCGGAAAAACGCTCTTTACCATCTTTTGTCGGGAGATGCGATAATATCTCACCGACACTTTACTACATCGTGTATTGATATTGGAAAGGTTTTGCTTGCCGTATCGGTAAGAACCAGCCCCTGGACAACCCACCTGGTGAAGGGTAGGCCCAGAAACCGGTTGTGGTAGTGGAGCTTGGTTCCCCCCTTTACGACAAGCAAAACAATTTTTAATTTATTATGTTTTTCTCTACTTTCGATTTTTCGAAATTAGAAAAGAATACACAGCTAAAGGCAAGAAAATATTATTTAAATTATAATTATTATTAATTAACATGCATAATAAAAAAACGGCGTAAAACTGACTTCGAAATGACGATCGATGACACTCAGCATATCATTTCATATACAGATGCCCATCGAAAACGTTCCGCAAGGCATAACGGCCAGGGTATTTTTTTTTTCAAAAAATCCAAAAACACGTCAATTTTGTTTGTGAGAGGGACAACTTTTGCCCCAAAACGGATTGCAAAATCTTCAACCTTCTAAGCGGTCATCCCCCAACTTTTTTCAAATGGGAAGGGGGATCAAGTGGCATGGCGCCGCAATGAAAAGAGCTTTCTATTCTCTATATTTTCCCGCTTCGTTTTTGAAAATCGGTCGAGTCATTGAGAACATATGAAGGATTGAAATTTGAAAAGTTTATTTAAACATTTATCAGAGTAAATGATAAGGATAAAGTTCTTCGACCAATTTGCTGTTTTTTCTTATTAGTTCTAGATGTTTACGCATTTTTTCACTTGCAACAAGGTTGAACGATCAGGTGCGGTAGTTGCTAGATAGCTGTTCTGTGACTTGTGCGTTGAAGTTCTTCTCAATATCGTTAAACTGACCTACAATAGAATTTCCAAAAATACCAGCCCACACGTTCAATTTCTGAGGGTTTTGTGTGTGCACCTCGTAAAAAACTCTGGGGTTGTCCTCATCCCAGTACCGACAGTTGCGCCGATTAACTACACCGTTTAAAAAGAAAGTACACTCATCCGAAAAACACACATTTAAATTGAAGATTTTGCAATCATTTTTGGGGACAAAAGTGGTCCCCCTCACAAACAAAATTGACGTTTTTGAATTTTTTGAAAAAAAAATTACCCTAGCCGTTATGCCTTGTGGAACGGTTTCGATGGGCCACCCTGTATAATACGATAGCGGTCCTTATATTCAAGCCAACTTTGTCGCCGTTTTTTTTCCGATCAAATGGTACATTACATAATACAGGGTGAGTTTTCTACGATGTTCTCTATAGGTATCTCGGAAACTACTGGAGCTAGAGAGTCGGTCAAATGGGGAAAGAATTACAGTTTTCTGAGAACAAAACTATGCCTTTCGGATTTTTGAAAAAGTTTATGGCTTACTAGATATTTCGAAAAAAGCAAATTTCGGCTATTTAAAAAAAAATGATCCCTAGTTCCATTATAATCTATTTCAGACAAAAAGTTTTCAGATGAAAGTTGCAGATAATCACATCCTTGATTGATGAGACTGTGTTCTCCGTTTTTTTCTAAAGCCTGTCATTTTTGACATATGACACAAACAAATTTTTTTTAAATGGAAACCATAGTTGGCCATGATTTCATAAAAACGTCATTTTTTGAGTTTTTCAACGATGCTATGATATGTTTTTTTCGAAAAATTTCTGAGTGATAGCCAAATTTTATCATTTAAAAAAAAATCACTCAGTTAGCCATAGAAACAAGTTCAATCATTGTTGCTCTCGGAGATGTCAAATTGTCACATCTAAACAAAAATATTTTATCGAGACGCAACTAAATTGTAAATATGAATTTTTCAAATAAAGAAAAGCGTGTGGGATTCTTGAACCATAGATTTTCGAGGACACGTTGACGGGTTTCACTTACGCTTTTTAGAGAATGGTTTTCAAGACATGTAAAAAAAGTTAAATTTAGAGCCCATGCATCAACAGAGTCGTTCCAACATGACTTTCATTACGACGCTCGCCTTCATACTGAAAGAAATGTTAAATATTATTTATATCATAATTATGCAAACTGGAGGACCAATTGCATGGACCACCTCAGTCACCTGACCTATCCGTTGACTTTTTTTATGCGGTATGGTTAAAAACAAGGTTTACCAGAGAACTTATGAATCAATAGACACTCGAAGAGACGATACAGGAGAAATTTAATAACGTCGACCGCCGATTTGTGAGAAAATTCACATTTATAAATATGCATTTTATCTATTCAAAACAATAGCGGATGCTATTGAAATTGATGAACATTTGCTAAAATAAATTAAGTGTATGTAGTGATATTAGTTTTGTTAAGTTTTAATTTGCTTAATAAAAAATATTCTGTCTTTTTATAAGTTATAAATCATAATTGAAGAATACCATGCGAATTAAGTGAAATTAGTTAAAACCAGGGTTGGCATGATTTAAATCGTGATTTAAATCAAGTGGTTTTTTTAATTTTAATCATGTGATTTAAATAAAAAAAAATATTTTATTGTAACTTTATAATAAACCAAACAATAACTGTAAAAGTTTATAAAAATATTTCTATAACAGATATAAGAAAGAATAAATCGAAAAATAATTGTAAATGTTATAAAACTATATAAACATATCTATTCAGCAATTTAAATGTTGGACCGATTTTTGACGTAATATCGTGTGAATCCATTAGACTTCTAAAGGCAGGGATATAGTAAAATTTGTGTGTAATTGACAAAAAATCACTGTTCGAATACATATTCGCAAAGTCTAGTGCCAGAACTAGGCTCTTCTGATATAGAGACTATATCTTCATCCCGAGAATCTATAATCGTTGTCGTTGTCAGAAAATATGTTGTTTTATATTTTTTTTGCAACGATTAACGATTGTATGTTTCCATATTCCTACCGACATTTTGATCTGCAGTAAGTACTTAACATTTTGATATTAGATAATATATACTAATTTCATTCTCGACTTATGTTAAGACTATTTCCGAACAATAGTTTATTCTTTTATTAGGAGTAAAAATTATACTTTTTTGAAGGACCATCGTAAGCTGTTCTGATGTAACAGTAATCTCCTGTTACAAAAAGAACATTTTTACTCCGAATAGAACATGCTATTTTTTTTAAACATTACAAATGATTTTTTAATTTTCAATCATTGCAAATAATATAAACAGTAATCGAGCAACAATTTGTACACTCGTTGAATATGACACTTAATATCAGTTTAATAATATAATTTTGTACTTTTGTACTTAGGATAACATTTCTTTACTTTTATGCCTAAGCGTTTTACACAAAATTAATACTTTTGAGACGTTTGAAAAAAATCCTTTTGATCTGAAGCGAGCGACTTTTTTCCGGAATATATTGGTGACCGATGTGGAAACATGACACGCGCCGTAGTACTGCTTTTGTTATCGGTATGGACAGAGTTATGAAAAGATTTAGCCCTTTAGAACAGGACTTTAATTGCAAATAAGTCCTAGTTATTTGGAAATCCGATTTAAATATTGTTTTGAATTAAAATCAAAAAAATCTGATTTAAATAAAAAAAATCAGATTTTTTTTATTATTTTTTTAAAATCGTGATTTTTTCCAACTCTGGTTAAAACAGATAAGAATTGGCTATAATTCAGTAATTTTTCGAAAAAAACATATTATAGCTTGAAAAGCTTAAAAAATGGTGCTTTTTATGATGTCATGGCTAACTATGGTTTCCATTTAAAAAAAAACAAATGTTTGTATCATATGTGAAAAATGACAGACCACTGAAAAAAACCGAGAACACTATCTCATTAAGGATGTGATTATCTACAATTTTTCTGTGAAAACTTTTTGTCTAACGTATAGTATAATGGCATTAGGGAGCATTTTTAAAATAGCCGAAATTTGCTTTTTTCGAAATATCTCTAAGCCATAAACTTTTTTCAAAAATCTGAAAGGCGGTTATTTTTGAGCTCACAAAACTGCAATTCTTTCCCCGTTTAACCGACTCTCTATCTCCAGTAGTTTCCGAGATACTCATAGAGAACATCGTACGAAACTCACCTTGTATATTAATATAAAAAATAATTAGTATTATTTTAATGTATGTCAAAATTAAGTAAGGTAAATGCTTACATATCAACTATACCTTCAGTTTCCGTTCCATATCGTTTCCGTAATCTTCCTTAAAATTTGATTGTAGTAAAACACTATTGAACGTAACCATGGAAACGGTACGGACACGGAATGGATAGTGTGCATTAAAAAAGGACACGCACTAAATTGATTTTACCGATCCTATTCACATTCAGCGCAGCGCCAGCAGTCCGATTTGCCGAACACGCCCGATCGTACAATTTACCAATCGTAAGCAGATTCAGCGCGCAGTGCTAAACGTTTATAGTATCGGTAGAAGCGAGGAGTGTCTTACTCGGGTAAAAAATGTACACGTACTGCCAAAATATCCTTCCACTGCTAAGCGACTGCCAATGACTGCCCGCGACTGCCAAGAAAATGTACAGGTAATTCCAATAGTGAGACACCCCTCGGGTAGAAGTATTTGTCTTGTTTTTAAGGTGAAACATATCCTATATTATTTGCATTATTGAGATTCAAAATGAGTGAAAGTAATACGTTTTTTGAATTTGATCAAGTTGCAAAATAGAAATGACTGAATTTAAAAGCCGTGAATGTTTTATGGTCGATGTTCATACAAAATTTGATTTGGTATCAAATAACTATTCAAAGCATGTAAAGAAATGGATATGGAATTTTTCCAAGGCCACTAAGACGAACTGGATTGTATTTCGAACATTTCCAGACACTTTTTAGAAAAAAATATAAGTGCCAACATAATTGCAAAAATAAGGGTGATAAAAGTTCAAAAAACTGTAAAGCATTTGTTAACGTATTAATAAAGATATTTATACAGGGTGAGTGTTAAATAAGTGCAAATATTTTCAGGTTCAGTAGATCTCGATAAAGGAACATATTTTCGCTTTACCGTTTTTCAAATAAAAAATCCAAAATACCCCAGTTATTTTACTTTGAAATTTTACAAAAAAAAATAATTTTTGGCTAAAATTTTAAGAACCACTGGATCTTTTCCGGGTTTTCTTTCTTTTTTTTTAATTTAACCTACTATCTATGTTGCTATATCATCAAGACATTGTTTTTTAACTAAAAAAAATCCAAATTTTTTTTTTCGCGAAAAAAATCTCGTAACTGTGTTTCTGGGGTAATAAAGGTAAGTAAATCATATCAGAGCCAATTTTAATGTGGATGTATACAGGGTGTAAAAGGTAGGAGAGCAAATATTTTAATGGGTGATAGCACAGAATATCTAGCTACGCAACAGAAGCCTCGTTACATGTATACAATCGTAGGTAGCAAAAGGAGGCAGGCTTTAAGAGCCTGTCTCCAAATCAGATATTTTGATGTGGTAGTTTCACTACTACATAACAGAGGGCGATAAATTTAAAAGAAAACAGTTTTCTACAAACGAAATTTAAAAGAATTTTATGCAGTGTTGCCTTTGTGTAATTTATATTGTAATATTTCCTGATAAAGCCTAGCTTCAAATTTGCTACATCATTTAAACATATTAAGAGCTCTTTTTTCAAACGTTTAAGTATTTAATTTGCCATGTTAGTTGGAGTTAAATCTTACGAGCTGAATTAAAATCACTTCCTGACGTTTGATTCTAACTGAATCCTGAATTTTGATTGTAATTCGGCGACAATATAATAAGTATTGTTCTACTATTATGACACCACTTCCTGACGTTCGATTGTGTTCATACCGTATGATCGGGAAAAAACGGCTCGTCAAAATATTTTTCAATGCCGTTTGATAGAGAGTTATCCCGTGGTTTAAAAATAATTTTTAAGAATGTCAATTATAAGCTTTTTTCATAATTTAAATAAGTGTATAATAATAAAATACAACAATTATTAGGTGTGATCCTAAAGATAAAACACCTCCACTGGAAAGGTCGGGTATTTATGAAATTTCATGTAAAGATTGTAATCAGAAATATGTTGGGCAAACTAGAACATCAATATTAACTAGATTTAAAAACCATATAGCTCAGATAATATATGGTAGACCGGATAAATCTTGCGTTGCTGACATTGTATAGATATTAATAATTTAAAATTAGTTAGACAAGTTTCAAATTACAGGCAATTAGAAGATGCCTATGAGAGCGTCAAAGTTAATAAATGTAAAGACAGTATGAACAGAGACAATGGCCCAATTCCTTCCAGTTCTCTGTTCCTACTGCTCTAGTTTCGGTAATTCATTGTTACGCTCGGTTGGTTTTGATTCGCTTGGCCAGTTTTGTCACGCCCACTCAGAGCCAATTGAGCGAGTATAAACGCTTTATTTTGTACATAGTTTAGTTTTAATCATCTGTTGATGATGCTAACATGATTAGCGAAACGCGTGTCCAGTGTAAATGTAAAACTGTTTTGGTGTATTGTGGTGATTTAGTTTTTATTATATTGGAGCTGTGGTAAACAATAAAAAAATTATCTTTATCAGCGAAGCAGCGAAAAAAAATACATGTATTTTATTTATAAGCAGGTGTTTATGATGAAGCGGTGATCGACGATTTTTTCGTATAATTACTAAATTCTATGTCGATGTGGTTGCGTTTACGTATAAATATTAAATTCCTATCTTAACTTATTTTACCTTAATTCATCACTTCCTGTGTTACTCAAAGGGATATCAGAGTCGTCACAAATTTCGACAGATAAAACATCAGTAGGGTCGTTAAAAATTACATGTTCGTGAATGACAATTGTACTACTTGGACTTGTAGTTTCTAGACTTGTGCTATTGTTGTTAACAGATTCGTTTTCTCCATATATAATCGTGTCTTCCGATTGAGATGACGTTTCTGTATGGTCAGTTTCTGAAATAATTTTAATATATTTATTAAAATCTGTATGTTTCTTTTGTGAATTTATTTTATTCCCACTCTCTCGCGCAATAGTATACGTCATATTTCATATTATAAAGCGTTCATGATATTTTTTTCAATGTAATGAATTCGATTTATATTATGGATAGTGATTCTAATATACCCTAATGTTTATCATAATTTCTTTAACATCTTAATAATTATTAATTACCTACTTCTCATTTTACTCATACTGTCATATAGTCTAGTCAAAAGGTACGCCTTTTCCTATCAAGTAAAGTAAAATCATGATCGTAAACCGTTTATTTTTAAAAAAAAATTTTTCAAAAAGATAACTAGATAAAATCATTAGATATGTTTCTGAGCATCTGAAATGGTATTATAAGGATATCGTTAAGGTGTCTATTTTTTTATAACGACAAAACGTTTGGCAACATTTTTACGGTTCTCTCTTTGCTCAGTACATTAATAAACGCGTTGTACTCTTCTTACATACGGAAATCTCGACCCAAGACTAACCTTTGCCAGCTCTTAGTATACTTTTATCTTACATATTCGAATTTTTTTATGGTACATAGCATAGTAGAATTTAGTATTTAGAATATAATGTTCTTATGGGAAAAATATGAATAAAGTTGTGCTCTTTTGATTGCAATAGAAATCGCGCGAGGCCGTTTTTCTCCAAGTCGTTGCAACTCAAATACGTTTAAATAAAATATACGACGGCCTCCCCATAAGAGCAATGAGAGGATTTACGTCCCAGTATTGAAGGAGGACAGAAAATCGAGTCGAATGTTCAAGACATAGGTTCATCCTTGTTTAGTCAAACCTCCTACAAACCAAGGATAGACTTATGTAGGAAAGGCATTGAAATTCTATAGCCATCCTTCAATATCGGGACAGGAATTTAAGCGGTACCCTCCGTATACTTTATTTTAAACGTATTTGTTGCAACTGCAAGAGAACTACAAGAAAGGATCAGCTGTTTTTGAACTGCGCATGCCTTCCATCAAGAAAATTGCGAGTTGCAAAAACTCTTGCCAACTGAAATGGCGGGTTCATACAGCCAAATAAAATAAAATAAATAATAATAGCTCCCGTATATAGCGTTTCACGCCTTGGGAGTAGCAACAGTAGCAAGGAACAGCTTGCCATGCTAGAGCCGTTCGGTATACAATAAAATAAGAATAAAATAAAATAAGAAATAAGGAATTCTTATTTGTCAGCGTTCATCGTTCAGCCAAATAAAATAAAATAAGAAATATATATTTGCTCATGCGCAGTACGATGAAGCTGGATAAAAGTTAACTTTAATAATTGTTTATAGTAATTTTACTATTTATAGTATATTTGTTTATTTGATGCATACTATATTATAAATTTATACTTATACAAAATTATAAAATAAAATAAATCCAAACTGAAAATATTTGTAGGTTAGAATTAAGCGTGCGCAAAGCCAAAAGTTTAAAAGATAACCAATTCTTATTTTATATGTTATTTTATTTGGCTGTATGAACGCATCTCATATAACCAACTTTCTTATTTTAATTTATTTTATTCTTATTTTATTTTATTTGGCTGTGTGAATCCACCATTAAACGGTCATATTTCTTGATTCAGACTGTATGTCTAAACATTAGCTGCCACAAATAAACAAACAAACAGCATGTATGTGTTGTATAAACCCGGTGGTATACACCACGTTTTCGCGGCTGCCACAAAAACGCAGAGATTGCGACATCACACGACTTAATATGAGACATGCTATATGCGTTTTTGCCGCAGCACTGGCCCTCTGTAGTTTATATGGTTGATGCTGGTGCCGTTGAAACGCGTGCGTTTCTGCATCACTGCAAAAACGCGCGGTGTACCACCAGGCCACCGGGCTAAATGCATAATTAAAATGGTATTATTTACTCAAAAATTTTAGTTACAAATTCAATTTTTTATAAACAAGATACGAATGTTGCAGTTGAAAAAATCTTTTTTTGGGGAGATAGCTGAAATACATTATTATTGAACTGCTAACATAAAGTTAAAAAAAATAAAAACAGAAATTTAATTTAGCGGCGAAAGTGACAAAGTTCAGCTTAACTAGGTACTTCACACAGCTACAGTACAGATTATCACTGGGATCATTGACAGGCAACTTTACCCTTATTTGAGTTATGTATTTATAATCGGTTCTGAATTTGAAACACCCGGTATAATTCATACCTACGAGCCCTGAGAAACAAATTATTCAGAGGGTTAATTAGTTAGTTGTCAGGACTCGTACATGCAAAACAAGATGACCAGAGTTTCATGATCAAATGTGCTTTGAAATGATGACAGATAAACAATTCTTATGGAAAATTACTTTACATTTTGTTTTAACTGTTGTCTAAGTTGTATAAGCAAGCATGCTTGGTCACAAGACTTTATGTTTATACAATACATAAAATCTGTTCAATAAAATAATAAATTGGGAAAGATTCATTAGATAACATTCAAAAAATGGCACAATCATACATTTAAACTGCCATTCCCAGAATTTCATACTGTCACTGGCGAGACTGGTTGACATTTCAAAGAACCAATGAGAGCTGTACTAAATTTAAAATTGACAACTGTTTCAATTTTATACAAATCTCAGCAGTGGGATTCTATAAGCTCCGTAGCAAGAAATTTCCTGTCTAGCCTATGCTATTTGAATACAATTGATGAGTCACTAGACAGGAAATATGTTTACAGATCGGGTCCCAGTTTTTTGAAATGTCACTTAGTGTTACCAACGACAGTACAAAGTTCTGAGACATGCATTAAAATGACAGACATAGCTGTTACTGTCATGAATCCTCTTGTTGGACAGACTATAGGTACTATGTGCCTATACTATATGCCTATATGCATGATATATGCATTACCAGAAATATTTCCCAGTGACTTCACATCCAATTCCATTGTAAATGCTGTATTTGGAACTACAACAGACTTATTGGTTTTCTTTGAAATTTTTAATAATTCTGTAATGTTAGTTTGGCGTAAACGAATGCCATTCCGACTAAATTCTAACGACTGCTCTTCATTTCCTTGTAATATATTGAATTTTTTATTTCTTCTCCTATACATCGTTCAAGATATATCAATGTAAATTATACGATCACAGATACAGATGATACCGGTACAGCCAATGATGACAAAAAATTGTCATAGAAAATATAAAGCCAGGAAATTTCGAGACAAAATTTCAACAGTTTCAATTAATCTCACGAAAGACTGAAAAATAAAATCACTAGTATAACAATAACATTGTAACTTCAAATTCTTTTTGCGATATTAACCATAGATCAACCACACTATAATATAAATATATAATATAATAAACATAAACCACACCATAACCACAGTAACCACACTCATGAACCTAGAAACAAGAAACAAGACAACCAGACAGCAAAAAAAAACGAATTGGATACAAAAGAACTATTCAGAAAAAGGTATGGGGAAAGTTGGAAATCTATCTACTCACAATAATCGCTCGCGAACGACAGTGTAAAAAATGAAAACCATTTTACAAGTAAAAACAATAAGGTAAAGGTGTGGATCCGGTGGCTAACCTTGAAGCCCATATTTGCTGCATTTGATCATCGATACTACGCAAGCGCACATCGTCGATGTTGCCAAATTGCAGTTTATTTTCGAATTATTTGCAGTTGAAAAATTTCTTTTTGAGTGTTAATCAATAATAATACAATTTATCTGGATATCCAAAATTAAGGTAAGAAAGATAATGAAGATTGTGAAATGAAAGTATAACGAATATATAAAATTGTACTAATGATAACATTTATTATATATATTTACATTAGAATTAAAAATTATCATTTACGGATTTTTTCTTAATGGTTTTAAACTTACTAGAATTATTTTATTTCTTTCAAGTTATTTAATTTCTAGTTATTTACAGGCAACAATAGTTTTGATTATATGTATTGATGTATTGAAGTACTACCATGACGAGTCTTATAGAACAATATACACGTCAATGAGATAGAGGTAACATTTTACCTATAATGTTACTAATATAATATACTTTGATTATAATGTTTGAATTCCAATTTCTTAAAAATAAGAAATTAGTGGATCATAGCAATTTTAGACATATATTTTATCAAAGAGTGTGGCGATAAGACTAAAATAGAGGAATAAGTTTATGTTTAACCTTTTCTCTTACTAATATAATATACCGTATGATCGAAGAAGAAAAACGACGTCAGCGATGGCTATGAAATGAAGATCGCTGTCATTTTATATGTAAAATTATGTGGGAAATGTCATCGATCGTCATTTCCAAGCCAACTGGACGTTTGTGTCGTAGAATACATTACAGTATTTAATATCGTGTACTTTGATATTATTTTCTTAATTTAGTTGTAATTTCTTGTTTCCTATAATGCCAAATCTTGACAATATGGTGAAGGTTGAGTTTTGATCTTATTAGTTTTATACCTGTGTTTATACAAGACCAAATTAAGACTTGGATTAGTTTGTGATTTATATTAAGATCTTTCTTATAATATTTGTTATGTCTTAATCTTAATACTATATTATGCTTTTGTCTGAAAATAAATGTTAAAATATTTTAATTTTGCATATCTATTCCATATCCTTCCATTAGGAAAAATATGGTTTATAAATCATATATGCTAAGAAAATCACATAAATTAGGTGTAAGGGTAAGAATAGAGAAATCTTAAAGTAGCAGAAAATTAATGCAATATATGTATAAGCAGAATTAAACAAGGTAACTGTTAATGTTGCTGAAAGCTGATTCTACAATTTTAATTACGGAGGCTAAAAAAGGCCTTTTAAGGCCTGTAGTTTTGATGGAATGTTAACAAAATATTATGAACATGACATGGAGCTACAGCATTTAAAAAATTAAAAAAGAAAAAAACTTGGACATCCCCTTTAATTTCCCGAATTTTTAATAAAACACTTTTTAAACGAAGCATAATAATCTAGAGCAATTAGATTAATAATGAGAATCTAGAGTTTTATTTCTATTTAATTTTATTGACAATGAAAATACATAATAAGCGTTCACGTGTTGTGCGAAATATTAAATATAATATAAATAATATACCGCGTACTATGATTGAAAAAATAACGTCAGCGATGACTATGAAATGAAGATCGTTGTCATTTTTAAATGGAATATTTCATCAATCGTCATTTCCCAGCCAACTGGACGCCGTTTTTCGATCATACGGTATATGAGTTGAAAAAAAACACTGAAAGCACATATTTGTTTTCTACTGAAAATAATTCCAAAATAATCTTGCAATCTGGCAACATCGAAGATGTGCGCATGTGTAGTGTCTGACTATATGCAGCAAAATTCGTTAGCCACCGGATCCACACCATTACCTACAATTAATATTTAAGAAGTAATTAAAGTTAAATAAACGCCTAGGTAATGGTGTGGATCCGGTGGCTGACCTTGAAACGAGTTTTTGCTGCATATAGTCACAGATACTACGCATGCGCAAATCGTCGATGTTGCCGGAGTGCAAGTTATTTTGGAATTATTTTCAGTAGAAAACAAATAATTTTAATTTTCCTTTATATGTGTTTTTCAGTGTTTTTTGTCAATATATACCTGTATGATCGTATGATCGAAAAAACGGCGTCAGTTGGCTGGGAAATGACGATTGAGGACATTTCCTATATAAATTTACATAAAAAATGACAGCGATCTTTCATAGTCATCGCTGACGCTATTTTTTTTCGGTCATAGTACGGTATATTATTTATATTATTTTAATATTTCGCACAACGTGAACGCTTATTATGTATTTTCATAGTCAATAAAATTAAATAGAAATAAAACTCTAGATTCCTATAATTAATCTAATTGCTCTAGATTATTATGCAACGTTTAAAAGGGCTTTATTAAAAATTCGGGAAATTAAAAGGGAAGTGCCCAAGTTTTTTTTTTTTTTAATTTTTAAATGCTGTAGCTCCATGTCTTGTTCATAATAGTTTTTGTTAACATTCCATCAAACTACGGAGGCCTTAAAAGGCCTTTTTAGCCTCCGTAATTAAAATTGTAGAATCAGCTTCAGCAACATTAACAGTTACCTTGTTTAATCTCTGCTTATATATATATTGCATTAATTTTTCTGCTACCTTAAGATTTCTCTATTCTTACACCTAATTTAGAATAGCATATATGATTTATAAACCATATTTTTCCTAATGGAAGGATGGAATAGGATATGCAAAATTAAGATATTTTAACATTTACCTATTTTATAATATAGTATTAAGATTAAGACATAACAAATATTATAAGAAAGATCTTAATATAAATCCCAAACTAACTAAGTCTTAATTTGGTCTTGTATAAACACAGGTATAAAACTAATAAGATCAAAACTCAACCTTTCACCATATTGTCAAGATTTGGCATTATAGGAAATAAGGAAACAAGAATTACAGTAAATTAAGAAAAGAATATCAAAATACACGATATTAAATACTGTAATGTATTCTACGACACAAACCATCTCCCTTCTAAAGAGAAAAAGATAAAACATAAAGCTTATTTTAGTCTTATCACCACACTCTTCGATAAAATATATGTCTAAAATTGCTATTATTCCATTAACTTGATATTTTTAAGAAATTATCATGGAAATTATGATACAAACATTATAATCAAAGTATATTATACCTATTAGTAACATTATAGGTAAAATGTTACCTCTATCTCCCATTGACGTGTATTGTTCTATAAGATTCGTCATGGTAGTACTTCAATACATCAATACATATAATCAAAACTATTGTTGCCTGTAAATAACTAGAAATTAAATAACTTGAAAGAAATAAAATAATTCTAATAAGTTTAAAACCATTAAGAAAAAATACGTAAACGATCATTTTTAATTTTAATGTAAATATATAAATAAATATGTTATTATTATTACAATTTTATATATTCATAATACTTTCATTTCACAATCTTCATTATCTTTCTTACCTTAATTTTGGATATCAAGATAAAGCTGAAATTATAAAATTAATTATAGAATTTGTATTATTATATTATTGATTAACACTCAAAAAAAAATTTTCAACTGCAAATAATTCAAAAATAAACGACGATGTGCGCTTGCGTAGTATCGATGATCAAATGTAGCAAATATGGGCTTCAAGGTCAGCCACCGGATCCACACCTTTACCAACGCCTATCCTTGATTAATCTCGGGCAAGATCTCGGGATAAGGGTCGTATTCTTTGAATGTCGTATTAGCACGTAGCGCGGGTCTATCCATCTATGGTTAGAAGCGTTTCTTTCACCAAATAGTTCTTTCGACTCATTTGCTTATGTCCGACACATCTCTAATAGTAGATGTTTTGACCAGGTAAATATTTATTAACCTATAATTTTTTATAATTAACCTAAACAACAAAACAACCCTTTTTGCCCTTTTTCTGGGCTCTGTTCTGGGTTACCATTTAATGAGCTTTCATAAGAGGTAGGTATTTTATTTATGATGAATTAATTGATTTGTTTTTTTGTTAATATTCGCGTTTATTGTGATTCTAATATTACAGTAGAATAATTACATTAATTGTAGAAATAAAAGGCACATTATAGGTACTACATACTGTGCTAATAGGGTAATTCTAATCAAGTGATTTAAGTTTTAAGGCAGGTATGTCAGAAATAGAATCGGGTAATCACGATGAATTACTATTTAATATGTTAAAAGATTGTAAAACTTTGCCGAAATTTTTCGATAGCATATTTGGATTTCTCCAACGGAGGTATAAATGTATAAATTATATATTAGATAGTTTTTTTAATATTGTATTTTAAATAGGACTGATTTCTATTATACAGCAAGTCACAATGATTCATATGTTGGGTTACCAGAGGGATTGGCTGAGAATTTGGTCAAACATTTGTATAATAAATGGAAACCAAAATGTGATGATCAAATCATTTTTGAAGAAAATGAGATTCCCATTGAAAATGAAATTATTCTGAGTAATGATGCAACAGGTAAATAATATCAACTTCAAGAATGGGAAGAAAGATCTGCTTTTTTACCTTATTATTATACCTAATATGTATATTTTGTTTTAGATAACAGTTTGACAGAGTTTTCAGAGCGAAGTTCATGTTCTCTTTATTTGAATAGTTTCTCAGATTGTGAAAGTTATAATGGAGCAGTTGTAAACAATTATTGCTGGTCCCAAACTATTTCTGATATTGATGTAACTATAAAGTTGCCCAACCTATTCAGATATAAGGACTTCAAAGTTAAAATATCAACAAATCACATTTCAGTTCGATTAAAAGATGATATATTACTTGAAGGTATATAGTTTGTTCAGGCATTTTGTAAATTACTGTGTATTCTTTTTAGTAATTGACATTGTCATTTGATTTGGGGTTATAATTTTATTGACGGACCTCAATCAATGTCAAAATTTCCTTTCAGAAATTGTTATCATTTGATTTAGGGTTATAATTTTATTGACAAACATCAATCAATGTCAAAATTAAAAAATAAAAACATAAATATGAGAAATATAAGAAAACGTCAACAACCTTAACAAATTGCCTACAACCTAATTGAATTGCCTACCTATGAGCAGCGACGATTTAAGATCATGTGACCCCGGTCGTACGCATTCTCGATCGCAGGGTTGAGGCGAGATATTTGACGCTTGGGTGTGTTTTCATTGTTAGTTTATATCATCTGACTATTGACTATTGAAAAATGCGACAAAGTCTCGATCTCGTATGCATGACTCAGGAAGTCATCTGGAAAATATAAGTTTAAGTCGGTACATAATATGTGTATGTTTCATAAATATTAAATATTTACCATGTAGCACCTCATCTGGCACATTATTTATAAAAGTGGTATCTTCCAGAAGACTACTTTACGTCGTTCTAAAAAATATTAAAAATCATAAAATACATTTTATGTTACTAATACATACTTTCGTTGTTCTAATGTGTCGTTTAAGAAACCCAATAATTCATAATATTTATATTTTTTCTTTAATTGTGTTGCTCCAGAACCACTTCTTTTATATTCCATTTCGATTTTCCGCCATCGGACATACCGATCGCGTATGTACCTCCAGCGCTTTTTCAACTCATCCAAAGTTATAATAATCTATGTAAATTTATAAAAATAGGTATAAAATATTTTCTAATATCACAAATATGATCTTTATCTTTAAATATGTTATTATTTCGAGCCATAAATGATTAATTTGATTTTTTGAACGTTCCACTATGGGAAAGTATGGTCGAATAATGGACGTCGTTTTGATATCTCCCGTATCAAAAGTTCATTGATATCAAAAAAATCGGTTTCCGTTTCTCCTTCTTCTATTTCATCTATGTTATTTGTTGTTCTATTTTCTTCGCCGTTATCCTGGCACTGATGAACAGTCCCATGTAAATAAATATTTTTGCATGTACTGCACATATAAACAATCTAAAATCATAATGGTAAACTACATGGAAGTGATATGGAATGGTAAACTACATGGAAGGAATATTAATTATTCTTACTTTAATAGTTGATTCCATTATATTCATTTAACACTTATCTTATAAATTATTTACTATTTACTTGTAAAAAACTACAAAGTTTTACTATCTGTAACGACAAAATAAAATGTCAAGCTATTTTAAACAATTGACGATCGCGCCGTACGCGCCAAAACGGACGCGTTTAAACAGTTCAATCTCGATGACAGCGCTGTAGCGACGGACGACGCGTTACGGATGCATATAACCTCACCTTTCTCTCGAAAGTTACAAGTTTATAATAAAAGGCAAGAAAATAACCCACGATTTAAATTTGGCGAGAACTGTGGGTTGGAGTTGAAGAGTTGCACGATACGGCTAGACGCAACTCACCTTCCTATATACTCACGAGCCGCCACTGACGTAAACTTTGCCACAACTGTCGCAAACATAACGACTTAAGCTTGATTTTCATGCATCCGTTATCCGACGATACGATATTAATTTTATTGGTTGAATTTTAAAACTTCGATTGGTTAGAAACGGTTAACCAATCGAAGCCTTTAAATTCAACCAATAAAATTAATATCGTATCATCGTATCGTCGGACAACAGATGCATGAAAATCAAGCTTTAAGCGGCCCATACATTATCAAACAAATTGCGCAACAAAGCGATGCGCAACGTTGCGTTGCACAACTGATTCAGCGGTCCATACACTATCAAACAAGTTGCGCAACAAAGCGATGCACAATGTTCCGTTGCACAACTGCATCACTCATGCACTTAGTAAAATTTTGATCAAACTTTTTATTAAAAGTTGTGCATTGTTTGAGAAACAATCATGTCCTCAATTGCCATTGCGTCAATTATTATCGTATATACCCTAGATGATGTCGATGATACCAAAAAACGAAAAAGAAAACAAAGAATTTGGATGAAAGAACTAAAATACTGCACAACGAAGCGCAACACACATATACACTACACAACGCGTTGCGCAAACATTCCTGTTGCACAAAAGAATTCAAACATTCTTAAAACTCATCAAACAATTGCGCAACGCATCGAACACTACCACACATTGGCAACTCGTTGCGCAACAGCCTGCGTTGCGTAATTTGTTTGATAATGTATGGGCCGCTTTACATTTATCTTCTTTCTTTGTTGCACACGCGGTAGGAGCACCGCATGTTCCTACGCTACGCATGCTCTATCTATCCTTGTCGAGGACCTATCGTCCGCGTGCCAAATTTGAATATTAATTTAAAAAAAAACTAAACGTTCTCTAACCCAGTGTGAGTACATATTACAACGAAATGTTTCCCTTTTGAAAAGTTATACAATTTCTAATTACAATGAGAGAAATATGTGAATGTTAACAAATCTAACTATTTTTATTTCTTCCGAGTGGTGGTACTTCTTAGGGTTTGTGTGAGTATGCTTTTATTTTAAAGGACACAAGTTTAATTAAATTAAAATAATAAATAAATTTCTAAAAATTAAACTAAAATAAACTTAATTTTCTACATATATAAATTAAAATATAAATTAAAATTCTACATATACAAATTAATAAAAATAAACACAATTCTTAACTTACTCCTAACTAACATAACTAAAAAATTTATCCTACAAAATTAAATATCTACATATACAAATTAAAATAATCATATAATTCTTAACTAACATGACTAATACAAAAAATAAAAAAAAATATCCCTCAAAATACATTTGACTAATATTTAAGTAAGTTTCTTTGAATTGTGCCTTGAGAGACTATTGGAATTTTCTATTATTCTGATTGTAATTGTTTCAGCTTTCTGGGCCTGATGATGGGAAGTTTTAAGTCCCGAAACATGTCGCCCCTTTGCTTTCTTTGAAGCATTTAAATTTAAATAAACATCTTAAAGATTGTGAGTTATTTGTCCCCTTACCCGCCTTCAGAGGTTTTACTTTTTAATTTTAAAAATTTAATTTGTAAAATGCATATATTTAAACAATAAATTGAATGTGTACTGTCACAAAAAATTGTTTTATATAAAAAATATATTTAGCCACACCGAACGAATATCAATATTCTTAGGAAATCTAACCAGGAAGAATATGTGTGGTTTAAGATAAATAAAAGAACAACTGAATACTTTACTTGCCTGTTAAAAGATAATTCGGGGACCTTCATATTAGAACTTCCACACACCAAACATTTTCTAGTCATTTTTACTATTTAGTAGTAAAAAGTATTTAAAGAGTATTTAAAAAGTCCAACGAAAAAAAAAAAGAAATATAATTGCACAAACTTAAAATTAACTTCTCACTGAACACACTTGCATCCTTGGCTGTATAAAAGCGATCGATAAAAGAGTAATTGATACAATTTTTAAAATAAAAAATGCAAAAAACAAACGTTGTTACACAATGGTAATAAGATTATGACATATGATTATGACAATATGATGACAATAAAAAGTTGCTTTCCATAACAATCTACATAGTATATAAAATGCTAATGTTTATCTGTGTCGTCTCTACTGAAGTAACGACTTGCTCTAGAAAGTTGCTTTTTTTACTAAAAGATAGCTAATTGGCTCTTCTAAAAACTGTCGTCGCCGGATTTTTTGTTTTTAATTTAATTAAAAAAAAAATAAATAGTATTTTTTTTTTCCTTATGTCGTGGCAGATGCGCCAGGCTTCAACTAGTATAGGTATAATTTACACTTTTTAAACCGTATAAAATTGTGATTATGTTGGAAATACGTGCAACTTTTAATGCGCATGTGCAAAGTAAGGTCCTTGGAAAAGAGAAAATTATTGAACGTTTCATAAGTGCAATAAAGAAAGCTGGAAAATGGCCTGTCGTGATGTTGGAGACATCGTTTTTAATGCTACTCCTATGGCGTTTATGCATCCACATTTCGCCACTGCAAGAAAATCTACAAAATAAAATAGTTATTTTTTAGAACGTCCACGGTTTTTGTAGACGTATCTGTTTTAAAAAACTAAAGTGGTCTTGAATAAATATTTTAAATAGTTTTTTTCTTTATTCTTTGTATTTTTTTTACTTCCGACGACGGAAAGAGATAAACTTTCCGAAACGTTAGGCATTTTTTTGTCCGTTAGGCAAATTTGTATATCTGTAAACCTAACTTCTGACAAGTAGTTTCCGTTTGGATTAACGCAGAAGTATTTACAAAAAATAACTATTAATTAATAATATATATACCTATATATTATTTTGTAGATTTTCTTGCAGTGGCGAAATACCCATATAGGATTTTTTGGAGAGATGAATCCGTCACATAGGTATAAACATTTTTTATGGATATTTTTTGTATGGCGTATGATGTCACTGGTGATTGGCAAACTGAACGAAATTGGAGCCGCTATCGATCATACCTTCTATTCTTTGTATCATGCTATAAAAGTTTGATTTTTTTGGAAATACGTGCAACTTTAACGCGCATGCGCAAAGTACCCATACAGCACATAAAATCACATTTACGATGTGTATACATTATTAGATGCAGACACAGGGTGACACAATTCCCCCGATGTAAATATGCCACTTTTACACATTGTAGTTCAACACGTATGCACAAAGGTTAAACGTCCGCCTCACAATGTAGCCACAGTATAGCATTTACGTATACACAAAGTAAGGGATACACAGTGTGCCGTAGGATACATAGTGCTTGTGTATTACGTTTAAACTCTGTTTACACATTGCAGTTGTGACTACCGCGTGTATACGTATGTATTTTGCTTCGTATACCTAACCATCTTGTGCTAGATAAAACTACTTCTTATATGAAGGAATTTAGGAAATAATACAAGTTCTGATGCCTAACTTTTCGTTCTTTTTCTTTTTAAGAATTATTTATTCAATGATCCCAATTATATCTTTTTAGAACGAAAATTAGGAAGGCAAAACTTTGTATTTTTCAATAGAAAACACTGTAAAAGAACAGAATTTGTATCAAAATGTATTAACAATATAAGTACCTACTACAACAACATACTAAAATGGTTACACTGGTATATCGCTACGATTTGGTGGACCTCGTTTAGTAATTTTTTCTCCTCTTTTCCTTCCAAACAGTTGGTTTGTTAGCATACACATTCATCGAGCACTCTGTTGGACTTTGTTGTATTTTATTTCCAGATTAACAATCTCACCCTTAAATTTTATATGAAACTGATTATTGAATATTAAACATATCTGTATATTGATCCGTCAATAACTTACCGAATATCAGTGTAAGAAGTTCTTTGAAGTGTTTAAATCTTTCTTTCTCTGGTCTATTTAGATTTTTATTATTTCCAAATTAAAAAAAATTATATTGCAGAGCTAACCTCTTTATCATTATACGAGAATATTTGGAGTTTTCATTCATTGGAGTCAAAATTTGGTAAATTGGGTATCGAGTACGGGAAAAGTCGCTACTATAATATTAATAATACACTTAGGAAGGTGTAACAAGGCAATTAAAAACTTGTGCTTACCTTTAAATCTCTTTTAAACTACACACAAACAGAACATTTATATAGAGCTTCCGAATGATAAAACAATAATAGCTGCTAACACATACCACTGCTAGAAAGGAGAAAGGTACACATAAGATACACTTGGTCGGTGTATCTACGCTGAGGCTATCCGCGCGTGCGCACACCTTCATTTCATGCTAGAATGTAGACACAACAGTACACTATTACAAAGTGTCTATATAGATATTTATATTATGTGTATACGTCACATTTTTACAAGGTGTGTACTATAAGCACAACTATGATACGAAGTATCACACATACGTATGACTTATACATTGTATGTTTCATATACCGACGTCAGATTTCATTATTTTAATAATTATTTGTTACGTTACAAAAACTCTTTAGAATCCTGTGTGCACACGGTATACAACTAGTAAACACTGTATCACACAATTCTATCAATATAAACCTGCGTGTATCTCATATGTATATGTTAGAACTAGATGAACACTTAGGATCACTTTAACATATTTTGTTTTTCATGTGTCTCCCTTGTAGAAACGTAATTTCATTTGGACGTGCTGTATGGGTAATGTCCTCAGAAAAGACAAACCTATTGAACGTTTCATAAGTGCAATAAAGAAGGTTTGAAAATGGCATGTCGGATGTTGAAGACATCTTTTTTAATGCTAATCGTATGGCGTTTATGCATCCACGTAAAAATCGAGTTCATACGCATTGGCGTCCGTTTGTCGTTCCTTTAGATCTTATAAACTTCGTAGATAAAGCTATGCCATATGTAGATATTACACACGACTTTTACGGGACAATCACATGCATTTTTCTATTTATTTTTTTCTAGAACAAGATTATCGTATAAACCTATCTTTCTCTCTAAATACGCTACTGAGCATGCGCAGAACGATATTAGAGATGAAAGCTAGCTTGGAGCGTTTTTTCGCTGCGTTGACAACAATTACTAAAAATATAGACTATTAAAATTTTTTAATCAAGATATCACTAATACGTGTATTTATTATTTTGAAAATATTTGTCATATTATTTCAATATAATTTTTATATAAATTTTAAACAAAAATAAATCATCTATACTAATATATAAAATCCTTAAGTGACTGACATACTAATTAATCAGGATCCTGCTCAAACCACTCAATGTAAGAAGCTCAATTTTGGCATACAGGTTGATTCTAGGGTGTAGAGGTTCGATAAGAAGGGATTTTTCGAAATTCCAGTTTCAAGAGGGTGAAACCACCCCTCAAATATTACAATATTTTTTATTTAAAAAATGGTCAAGTTTTTGCAAAAACGCTTAAACACGTATATTTTATTTTGTTTTTTTACATATTTTAAGATTTTTTAAAAATGTATATGTACAGGGTGTTTCGAAAAATCTGGTCATTGATTAATCACGATCCTGTTTAAAGCGCTAGACGTAAAAAGCTGATTTTTCGAAAACAGATTGACTTTAGGGTGTACAGGTTCGATAAGAAGGGATTTTTCGAAACTCGAATTCTAAGGGGGCGAAACTATCCCCCAAATATTAAAATATTTTAAAAACCGGTGAGTTTTTCGGAAAAACTCTTAAACACGTATATTTTATTTTGTTGTTTTACATATTTTAAGATTTTTTATAAATTTATACAGGGTGTTTCATAAAATATGATCATTAAGTAATCACGATTCTGCTTAAATTGCTTGACGTTTAAAGCTGATTTTGGCAAACGGATTGACTGGGGGTGTAGAGGTTCGATAAGGAGGGGTTTCTCGAATCTCAAATTCCAAGAGGGTGAAAACGCCCCTCAAATATTACAATATTTGTTATTTAAAAAACGGTTAGTCTTTCGGGAAAACGCTTAGACAATCATAATTTATTTGGTTTATATATTTTGAATTTTTTTAAAAGATCATACAGGGTGTTCCAAAAAGTTGGGTAATTTCTTAACTACGATTCTGCTTAAACTGCTTGACGTAAAAAGCTTATTTTTGGCAAACGGATTTTTCGAAAGTCAAATTCCAACGAGATGAAACTGTCCCTCAAATATTATCAAGTTATATAATAATATCGCCATATTGTTTTTCTCATGCTGACATAAATGTGAGAAAATTTTATCCAGTTTGTATGTTAATGGAAATTCTTGCTTTGTTTTATCATCACCATTACAAATGATTAATTCGACGCGAACGAAGTCGCTGGTACACGCTAGTACAACGATAAATTCTCTTGACTCGTGTATTTGGCAAACATTTGTTACTGGCATACAGGGTCCTGCATCCGGCACTAGTGCTTCGGGCATCTGTACAAAATTTCTAAGTTATTTATTATAGAAGCTACGACCAAGCTACGACGCACTATCGCCGGACCCTGTATGCCAATCACAATTCTTTGTCACGTACACGAGTCGTCAGAGTCCGCCTTTAGATATCTATATTTACTACTTAACAACTATGAAATAAATTAGATGATGGGAGGGTATTTTGAATATTTCTATATTTTAGGAGAATTATGTCAAAAATGTAAATATTCTAATGCAATTTGGTCTGTGGATAAAGGAAAACTTAACATTCATTTAGACAAATGCAAAGAAATTTGGTGGGATCGTTTAATTACATCTGAGAACCGGTGATTATATGAAATAGACAAAATAGTAGTTTTTTATAGACCTATTGATTTGTTTTTAGATTGGATATAACAAAACTAGATTGTTCAAGGCCTTTTGAAGACTTACCTGAGGATGCACAAGCCAAAATTGAAGAGCTGGGATGGAATCAAGAAAGGAAGAGGTAGAACAAAATAAAATTATCTTACTGTATAGGGTGGTTGGTTAGTAAGCTAACCAACTGAACTGTATTCCGGAAACTTTGGAACCATGTTCTGCACATAAAAATAATGGGGGGTTTATACAACATAGTCGGAATCATAATCACAATTTTTGTCACAATCATAAAAGTTAAAACCATTATTTTAGATACGATCGTTTATATATCGCAATCGTAATTATAAGCATAACATAATGACCTTGAAGTTCGTAAATTTTATCTTTGATTGTGATTACCACAAAAATCGAAGATCACGTGCGCGACGTCAGTTTTTTATGGTTAGGGGACATTATTTTTTTTTTCATTTTAATGTTTAGTAATATTGAAGAGTGCAGGGAAGAAAGGGGGAAGGTAATTTTTTTTATGTTTTGAGAAATGTCAATTTTAAAGTTTGAAATCTTATTTTAAATAGAATAGTGACTTATTTGTTACTTCTAAAATTTAAATAATTTAAATAAGTACCTAGTAACATTTTCGTTAAGGATAAAATGAAAAATTTCCATTACAAGGTGCGAGAAAAATTTATTTTTAAAGTTACACAGTAAGTATGATAAATTAAAATGCTTCGTTTCGGAGACACAGGGTGTAGAAGTTTAATTATTATTTCGTCTTTTTTCCAAATAATTTCTGAACTATAGTCAATATTGTGATGAAAATTGGTGTCTGGGGGTTTTATAATAAGAGAAATTTGATTTCGATGTCAATTTGACTTTTACTTGTAAGGGGCGCCATATACATCTTTTTTAACTGTTTTGAAGAGTAATAAGTTTTTGTCCGTCCCTGTATTACACTACTGAATAAAAAAATATACATTTGTGGCTTTTTCTACCTAAAAAATGTCTTTTCTTGAGGATTCTTAATAATCAATACATGTCATTTATTGACAAAAAATAAACACTAGATAGATATTTGACTGAAATTATAAATTATGGGAACTTTTTTTTAAGCTAATCATACATTTTTCTAGAAAGAAATAAGATAAAACAGGTTCTGTTATCTTTGGCACCAAAATATTTCAAGTTTATTATTTCAAATTAATAACTATACAGTCAACATGTATAATTTTTGTCAATAATCACATGTATTTTACACACTGACTGACTTTTTTACTCGGTAATACTCGGTATATAGAGACGGACGAAAAGTTATTTAGATTTTAGAGCTAGATCCTTGGATAAAGACCTTGTTGTGCCTGTGCCCCTGTCTGTTTCTCCAGTGGACATTCTGCTTTTCCCTGGTTCAGAGTTTTAGTGCACTACGGGCCATACATTTGGGTATTCCCAGTACTGGCTCTGGACCAAGATAGGATGCCGATGATTCTTGCCGAGCTAGCTCATCGGCTTTTTTGTTGCCTTGGATGCCGCTGTGGCCCGGCACCCAGAATAATTTAATTCTGTTCCTTCGTGCCAGAGCTCCCAGTTTACCTAGGCATTCCCAGACGAGTCTCGACGATACCTTTGGGCTCCCTAAGTGCCGCCTGATTGTCTGAGCATATATTATAAGCTTACCTGAATAAGCTCTTCTATTGTTTTCTCTCACATATTGTAGAATGGCGAAGATTTTGCCTGGAATACGGTTGAGTAATTACCCAATGAAAAGGATAAGCTTACCCTTGGTCTTTCCCCAAATACTCCAGCTCCTGTTCCTTCAACAGTCTTTGACCCGTCTGTGTACCAGGTTAGTCCATTCTGAAGGAATGTTATATATGTCCACATTTCTCGGTCCATTTTGTTCACCTCGAATGGTTTGTGGTAGTGATAAAGAGGGTCATTTGGTCCGATCTCATTTAGAGTAGAGGTCCCCCGATAGAATCCCCCATCTTTAAGTGTCCTGTTTCTGTCCTATTTCCCAGAGACAACACTTTTGTTCTCGATAGAGTTCCATTCTTGCCTCCGCCTGGATCACTATGTGAAGAGGCGGAAGGTCCAGAAGCACCTCCATTGATGCAGTGGGCGTTGACTTCATCGCCCCTACGTCTTTGCACCTTCCTGAGGCTGAGCATTGTTGTTTGTTGCATTACCTTAGGCCACCATACCAAGGATGCATATGTTACTGAAGGCCTAACTAGTCCAGTGTACAGCCAGTGCATCATCTGTGGTCTGAGGCCCCAGATTTTTCCATGAAGTTGTCTGACTACCGCTAGTGTGGTCACCGCCCTCCTTGTGACATTTTCCAAATGTCGGTTCCAGACTACCCAAGTAGCATTTTCACGATTTGCGACCACATGTTTACTAAACACAACGTTGGATTACTTACAAAAAATAGTTAGCTCCGTACCTTGGGTATTAAAATAAATGTAAACGTTGTTGTAACGTTGTGCCGACGTTGAACTAGTACTACAACAAAGTAAAAGCTTCTGCGACGTCGAATAAACGTTGTCTTGTAACCTTTTTTGCTTAAGTGATCTTTAGGTGATTCCGACAACGTAGTTACAATGTTGGGCAATAAAGAGTTTTCCGACGTCACTTTCAGGACCTATTCCAACGTTATGCAAACGTCGTCTGTTTTACTAATTCCAACGTTGTTTAGATTTCCTTATTCTTACGTTGGTAGGACGTCGAGCCACTACCTTTTTGCAACTGTATTGAACCATAACCTTAAATCTTAAATTTTCACTTCATTCTTCTGTTCAGTCAGACAGTTCAGTGCTGTTTTTGTTTTTATAAAAAAAACTTAATTAAAATGGGACATAAGAAAGGTACATATAAAACTAAATTTAAATATACATCGACATATTGCCGATACTTTATCCACTCCCTCGTTTATTGAGATTATAGAGGGCGCACAAGCTAGACTCTAGGATGACTAAATTAGACAATCTTGCGACTAGTATACTACCTGTTTAGGCTGAACTGCGACTTTATTAGTCCAGTATGCGACTACTCGAACTACTCCATCTTAATCTCCAAAACAACAAAGTGAAAGCCGCCATGTTGTTGAATAAGAAAATGTTTCGTTCCTAAAATAGCAATTCCTGCTTTTTGAATACATAACTTGAAATATTTGACCCTAAAAAACACGCGGAAACAATTTTTTCGACTGCGAATAAATTATTCTCATTTTACTAAAAAAAAATTCAAGAAATTTTTTAAAACTTCTTTAATTTTAAGGCCCATTAGTATTTTTCAAAGTAGAAACAATACATTTATCAATAAAGTTGTTTGTGTTTAACTTTTTTACTTTGGGCAACGAGTTACAGAGTCGGTTAAAGTGTTTCAATAATTATGATCTTCAAACATCCTCCACACTTAAATAATTTTGTTTTGTTTTCCTTTACTGCCATCTGGCATATGTCTCTAACTAAATCATAAAAATAATATTTTTTCTATAATTATCCCAATTTAGGATAAAACGCGACTTAGACGCCATATTAATATAGTTTTGTATTTGTGTGAATTAGGATTTTAAACAACGTTGCAGTTTATACTAAATTAGGCTGCTAGCCAACGTCGGTGTCCAAAAATTATTCTCCAAACTAGTGCAGACTAGGGTTGGCACGAGGTTGTGCCGACGTTGCGTCCCGACGTTTGGTCGCGTGACACAACATTGTCCCGACGTCCAAATGCTGCTTGGGTAGTTTGGTATTCAGCGTGATTCCTAGATACTTGACCTCCCCCGAGAGAGGAATTTCATCACCGCAGAGTCTTAGAGGTCCTAGTCCCTCCAAAATGATGAACTTGTTTACTTATTTTTATGTGCAGAATATGCTGCCGAAGTTTCCAGACTACAGTTCGAACCACCCTGTATATTAAATTATTATTGCTATAGATTGGGTTTGCCAACCTCCGATGATATGGCTAAACAGGAACTTCTGAAAAAAGCGTGGTATGCAGAAAATTCTCCATTTTCTGGACCGTTTAATCCAAACGAAATATCCATTGAAAATGCGGATAATATTTAGTATTATAATATACAGTTATATTGAATTGTTACAGTTTTAATAAAACTCTCTCATAAAAATTAAGTGTTTTATTAAGTTTACACATACCTATTTTATAACATCAGCCAGATCTTGTTTAGTTGTTGCCCCAGCGGCGATGTAGCTTGGTGAAATAATTTGGCTTTTTGTTTGAATAAAGCTGCCTCTCATTTCTTAGTGTCTGATAAAAATCCGATATTTTTGTGAAAAATTACATTTTAGAAGGGTGCTGTTGTATATTTTCGATAGATCTTTATATATTTGTGGTGACATTATTAATGACGACTTTAACTAAAAAGAAAAAAATTGTAAAATTTGTCAAATCCTGGAAGATAAACCAAGTACCAGTACTGGATACCTCGCAGAAACATTCCGGAAAAGAGTTTTAAGTGAAGAGAAAGAACCCGAGACCTCCACGAGCAGAAATCAAAATAAAATTCAAAAGACTACTGGAAATGAAGTTTGTCCATCAATTACCTTAGTGAATTTTTTAAACTGCGACATTAAAATTAAAATGAACTCAGAAAAATTCATGTGTCTTTTTTGCACTAGTTACACAAATAACTATTATTATCATATATCGTTTATGATGTCATTTTGTAACCTTGGAATGAAAGATCCCATAAAGAACCCCGCAATTAGTGGAATAAAATAGAGGTTTCAATTAGCGTAGAAGTTTGTTCCTTCAATTTCAATGTAAGCATTCAGAACATTTAAATTAGTGGTAGAGTCATTTTCAATTAGTAGAAAAAGTTAACAAACCTTTGACTATTCCACTAATTATACTTCAAAATTTGCGGGGAATGTTATTTGGCCCTTTGATTATCATCCGTCAAGAGAAATTGTGGTTAGAAATCAAAAATTTATTGTTTTATAAGCTAAATATTTGGCTTTCTCTATGGATACAACTAACTATGGCAAGCCGTTGCTAGGAAACGTTAGTAAACTAAAAAGTATAAAGTGTAATTGAAACCACGAATTTATTCCACTTTCCGAGGTTCTGAATTAAGCTTTAGTTTACGATCATTCACAATGTTTAAAAAATACAATTAAGATTAATAGAATAATCCTAGCAACAGCTTGCGGTAGTCATAGGTTCATTCAGTCATTGTTGTATCCATAGAGAGAGCCTAATATTTAGCTTATAAAACAATCAACTTTCTATTTTCAACCAGAATTTCTCTTGACGGATGATAATGAAAGGCCAAAATGACATTCCTCGCAAATTTTGAAGTATAATTAGTGGAAAAGTCAAAAGCTTGTTAACTTTTTCTACTAATTGAAAAAGACTCTACCACTAATTTTGACGTTCTGAATCCTTACATTGAAATTAAAGGAACAATCTTCTACGCTAATTGAAACCACTAATTGCGAGGTTCTGAATGAAGCTTAAAGTTTGAAGACTTTTTCTACTAATTGAAAACTACCACTAGTCTGAACCACTAATATCTGACGTTCTGAATGCTTACATTAAAATTAAAAGGACAACGCTAATTGAGACCACTTATTTATTCCACTAACAAATTAAAAAATTATTATATACAGGGTAAACAACTGTTTTCAACTTTTTGTCAGATCAATTTTCACTCCTATCTTTTCTATAACATTGCTGGCAAAGGTTATAGCGCATATTTTTAAAATGTTTTCAATTTCATTAAAATGTTAAATATACAGAGAGTGATTTCAAAATTTATATTTTCGATTAAAGCTGTTAAATTTGGGTGGATTGTTGTACATTTTTTCTTAATGGATTTATCATTAAATTTATATTCCAAAATTGTCAAAATGTCAATGCCATTATTTAATGGTATTCATTATTAATATTAATAAAATAGAAAACAAATTTCTTGCAGTATAGGTATATAATAAAATTATATAAGGATTCTTGCCACTTAACTGCTTATATAGAAATTTAATTCTACGATGTGTTTGTCATAATGTGGATCAACCTGCTCTCACTACCGGTTTCGGAGCCCTACTCCATCATCAGGTGAGCTTGGGCAGATCCACAAAATGACAACCACAGCGCAGAGATAGTTAATTCCGACTTGTCGAAAAGTGTCGGTTAGATATTAAGTCCCGGACGGGAGATAGCGGCCTGCGTACAATGGTAGTACTTTCGTACCACCGGGGCGCAACTATCGATAGTAAAAGGATGGTAAAAGGTTTTTTTCAGGCAAGCCAAATTATAAAATAGAAAACATTATGACAAACACAGCGTAGAATTAAATTTCTATATAAGCAGTTAAGTGGCAAGAATTCTTATATAATTTTATTATATAGGTACCTATACTGCAAGAAATTTGTTTTCTATTTTATAATTTGGCTTTGGCCACACACAGTTACTGGACATGCTACAGTACAGTCTTATACCTTATCCTAGTTTCCTTCTTTTATATATACCAGAGTTTTCGAATAAAGTGTACTGCTGGCTGAATGTTGTAAGGGCAAGTGGCCATATCTGGATTGGATCGGGATTTGAGTGTTCCCAGAGTCATAGAACCTTTCCATAGAAGAAGAAGCATAAATTCATTGGGATCTAATTTACTTATACAAAAGTGCTTCGCTTGTTCTAACAGACAAATGGGCATCAAACTTTAAAAAATAAACACATTCTTTAAGATATTTTAAGGACCGTTATTCCGATTTGAATAAGATTTGGGGTATCCGTGTTTTTCTAAGCCATTTAATATTTGACTTTTACAAAAAAAAACAAAAAAAAAGTACGGAAGGGTAAAAACTACGCCCACCTTTACATAAATTTTTGTAGAAATGTTTTCCAACTCCACCGACGACCGATTTTTTTTGGTCCTTCTAGTATTTACTACATTTTTTGTCTATATACCCATTCCAGGTTACGGATGGAATCTTCCAGGTTCTTCAGTTTCGCTTCCAGTTGGTTCCCACTTGGAATCAAGCTATGTAGGTGCATAAAATCTAGTATACGCTAATAATCTAGTTGGCGAAAATATGGAATGTTATATTAGTATCACAAATGATTTTTGACAATAAGCTCCATAATTTTAAATTTATTAACGTTCGGGCTTATTTTTGCCTAACGCCCACTAACAGACACACGAAGTACTTTTGTATACCCTGCTGGCAAGCGAAGCCTTCGGTCGGCCTTTACATGTATAGAGTTTATCTGCATATAAGCTTACCTGCCAAACCTGTTTGTATCAGGAACACGCTGTGTGTAGACGGTAAAACGGTAGCACGCACAAACCAACAAGCGCGGCCTGCGTAAACGTCGCGCTGCTAAAGATTTTAGTTTGCGCAAACCAGTTTGTGCGGTGATATCATACATGTAGACGGTATCAGCGAGTTCAAACTACAGTTTTGTGACTTTTTATTATTATTTTAGTATTTATCAACTCTCAGAAAATGTCTGATATGCGTACTTATTCCCATAAGGAGTTTATGATGAGTTTCATTGAAATATATTGATCGTTGCCATGCCTATGGAAGATAAAATCGAAATATTATTCCGATAGAAACAGAAAAAATGCGTACAACTTAACAAGTATAGCTAGAGACGGGAGAAATATGAAATAAGAGACGCCCCTCGATGCGCAGTGGACAGCCCACAAATTTGCTTTAATCAGATTTTTCGTAGCGTAACTGCATCTCTCTTCCGCCGAATGCGTTCTCTCTCTATTGTGTGCGCGACCGGTGCTATCCCCAAGTCTCTTTCTATATTTGTCAAACTGTACAAGAAACTGGTTTTCTAACTTAGCTGGTTTGCTAACCCTAGCAGGCAACTATTAAGCCTGACCAATCACGTTAAAGTTTTTGACAAACACAAATGAATTAACACCCTTCAAATAACCACGCTAACCAACCTGATTGGTCAAGCTTAAAAGTTGACTGCTAGGGCTAGACCGAGGGGGAAACCGCTGACCTAAATTTTGTACACCAACTTCCCTTTTATGCAAAAACTTCCTCATACATCCCTAATACTTCCTTTACATCCTCAATACTTCCTCATACTTCCTCATATTTCCTCATACTTCCTCAATACTTCCTCATACTTCCTCATATTTCCTCATACATTCTCAATATATCCCCGTACATCCTTAATACTTCCCCGTACTTCCTTAATACTTTCCCGTTAAACCAAAATATGTAATTCAAAATATATCTCTATTAATTATACCAAAAATAGGCAGCGTTATAAAAAAGCCCTAATAGCAAAAATTTAATTGTTTACAGGCGTTCAAATAATATAACGAATAATATACAGGGTGGTCCGAATTGTATTCCGGAAACTTTGACAGCATATTCTGCAGATAAATATAAGTAAAAAATTTCGTATAAATGTATGCCCTAAAATGCTTAGTTAGTTTTCAATAATAAAAAAATGAATACATTGAATCAAATTATTCTGTTCAAAAATATATTCTTTAATTACAAAATATTACTTACATAAATACAAAAATAAACTGGAATAAAAATATGTAATCAAATCAATTTTTTTAACGTTTTATAAATATTTTGTATTTTGACTTTGTCGTGTCTACTAATTTTAAATAAATCGTTTTTAAGGGTCGTTGCTAAGGAAATTTATAGGACCTTAAAAAAAATAATTTTCGTCGACATCTAAAGGCGCATTCTCACGACTCGTGTACTTGGCAAGTACTTTTTATTGGCATACAGGGTCTGGCGGGAGTGCGGCGTAGCTCCTATAATAAATAACTTAAAAATTCTGTATAGATGCCCGACGCACCGTGTATACCCTGTATACCAATTACAAATGTTTGTCAAGTACACGAGTCGTGAGAATGCACGTTAATGCTGCGAGTACACACTCGCCGAGGCGACCGGAGGCGCGACACAAAATTAACGATATCTACATTGTTATTGGCTAGGACCGTTATTTTTGTCGCACCTCGGGTCGCCTCGGCGAGTGTGTACTTCCAGCATTAGATTTTTGGCCATTTAAATCCCCCAAATCGTGCTTTGCATATTGTTGTAAAAACTGTAATTTGTACTTTGCATTCACTAGATTATCAGTTATCCTACCTATACAGGGTTCGGCAATAGTGCGTCGAGCATCTGTAGCTCCTATAATAAAAAAGTTAGGAATTTTGTTTAAGGGCAAACTTAAATTATGTATTAGGATGTATTACAGGAAAATATTTTAACTTCTACAGGATGGCTCAAAAAAGTGAGTAGGTGAATACGATTTTTTTAAATGGAACACCCTGTATATTATTGCATTTTTGGTTTCCTTTTTAATCACTTTATATGCAGCGAAACGCGCGTCCTGTGTAAAAGTAAAAGTGTTTTGGTGTATTGTGGTGATTTAGTATTTTTATTTTGCTGTGTAACACCAAAGGTTCCAACCCTCAACTGAAAACTTTATATGCAGTCTAGTAAAGCGATCAAAAAGGAAGCCAAAATACAATAAAATACAGGGTGTTGCATTAAAAAAAACGTCCCAATACCGATTAATCTTTAAAATTTGATCCACCATCAGCTCAAAATTTATTACAGAAGACGTTTCGACATTATTT